TATACATTTGAAATTTTTTGTCAGTTATACATTTAAGTCAGATCTTCAAAATTTACTAAAAAAAAATTTTTAATATTGTTGCCATGGTAACAGATTTATCCAAACATAATGAAAATGGTTAAATTTTGGGTTTAATCTTGTAATATCAATTTTTTTCTAAGAAAATAATGAGAGAATTGAATGTACATAAATAATCTGAATGGAAACTTTATTTTCTTTAAAAATTGTCTAATTTTTTTCCTCATAGCAACAGAAGTATTTCGGTAGCAACCAAAGAAAATTGTGATTAAATTTTGAATTTAAAAAAAAAAATTGGTGAAAATATTTAAAAATAAGGTTTTTACAGTTTAATCAAGATGACTCATATATTGGAATATATTATGGAAAATTATATTATACCTTATTTTTCCCTAGCAACAGTTTCTGTTCATAGCAACCAACTGAAATCCTGTATAATAAGTAAAAAATGAACAGTTGACAGTTAGAAATTTTGGATGATAACAAATGGAAACTTTTTATCACAACATTGCTCTTGAAAAAGATTTAACATATGTGTGCTCCTAGCATCCAAGTAAGGCCCAAGAATCAGACTAAAAAGTAGGTGCTTAGGCCAACAAATTATTAGTTATCAGATATCTTGTTTCTAAAAGAAAATCTATGATGTTTGTGAAGTTGGTTAACAAAGACCTTTTTGTATACTAGTAGTGATAAATATCACAGTTTGAAAAGGCAATATGAAAATAATAGCATGTGGTATAGTTTCTTTTTATTACATTTTTGTACACCATTTTGCATCTGGTTTTAGTTGTGTTCAATGGAACACTGACATTGTTATTGTTAACATTCTGATTATGTATATGCCTGTTTCTCTTTGTAAAGTCCCTTGAAAATGTAACATCAATCCTGAAATCTAGAAGGGTATTAAACTTTTTCCTATGTTGATATCCTGCTGTGCGTTTCATCACAATTTGAATTTATAAAAAATAAAAACATTATTTCAAGTTAGGTTTTTTCCTATAAAGGCAAACCCCTTCCCCTCCAGAAATAACAATACATTACTCTTGAAAGAATTCAGCTAACCCCTTCCACAGGGTTAGGTATTTTCTTTGCATCATTCCTTCTTCTAGATACACAGAAGATTTGAAAGAAAAAAGATGAAGGAAAGGTTCCATTCATTTGTAAAATATGAATCATACATATATTCATATCTTTCAAAATCTACAATAGATAGCCATAACATTGATTGGTTGTTTGTTTCATGTCCAGTGGCAAATATTTCATGCATATTCATTTTATTAAGAAGGAGGCCCTTATAAATCCTTATTTGTTTACCTCTTCTCAATGCTAGTCTTCTAAAGATCTTTCTGTAGACTGTTTTGCATACAAAAATGAAATAAGGAAATGTGGTAAGACTGCCAATGTGACAACTTTTCAACAGTCGAAATGATGTGGATGTAAGACAATGACCATTCATAGTTTATGTGTGTAATAAAGGGATCACATGAGTTTATTTTTTCATATAAGAGTGTTGCCCATAATGTCTTGAATAGTCTGGTTTCAGAAGTGAAAATAAAAGTTGCTTCCAATGAAAATTAGAGGGAAAAAATCCATTGAGTTACCAAAATAATTAAAATGTTCCTGTATTTTTGTTGATGAAAAAAATTGTTTGCCTACAATTAAGTCCAAAAGAATTATTTTGTTCCTACATGTATAAATAAATATGCTCCCCCCTCCCCAACAGTAAATATTAAAAGGTCATCTTGTTATGCATGTTATGACAAAATGTGAAGCAATCCACACTAGAAAACCAACGTCCTGATTTATGCTAAAAGGGTAAACAAAAAGATGATAGACAACAACCAACAACAACCACGGAATAATAGGCTTCTGACTTTGGACAGAAACATACATAATGTGGTTGTGTTAATTATGATTATGAGCGCACATTACTCCCCAAAGAGAGGCAAAAGGGACATTGAAATGCATAAGTCGAAATAACTGACAAAGCAATGGTAAACACCAAAATAGAAAAAAGACAAACAGCAGTATACAAAACACAATATAGAAAACTTAAGACTGAGCAACACAAACTTGGGCAGTGAATTAAATAGACAAAAAGAGGAATAAATGTAAAAGTCTGCTTTGAATGGCTTGAATAGATGTAGATAGGAGTGCTAAGCATCCATCCAAACAGGAAATTAATGCTCTTTAATGGTTGACTTGACTCATTAGATTGGCAAGAAGTACTTATAAAGAAAATAAAAAAGACAAAACATGTGAGTGAGTGAGTGAGTGAGTGAGTGAGTACTGATCTAAGAGTACACAGTTACTGAAAGCTAGTTTAAAGCCAATTAATTATACCTATTAATAGGTATTGGTTTTTTTTCTCCCAGACTAACAAAATATTAGTCAGTAACAGCCAGTGGATGTAGAAAACAAGTTCCTCAAAAATCAACTTGAAAAAAATTTGCAACATACAATGTATGAACATGACATGTTCTTTCATCAAAGTTTAGGATACTAATATTATTTAATATCCCTCTTGTTCCTCTACTAAACATTAATAATAAGATGTGCTGATCAATTGGTTGCTTAAATTTAAGGTAGCTTTTAATCAAATGAGTAACTACATTTTTACTTCTATCTCGCATTTTGATTCTGTGAAACCCGAAATACGGTGAAAATCGTGAAGAGAAAAATGCACGTATGTCTGTTTTTTTAGTCTGACATATTTTGTAAATGGGAAGTGAACCGCAAAGTTAAGGCTCGGTAATTTGTTAGTCAAATTGTTACTACTAAAACAAAGTTGTTCACGGAACCATGTGCTTTTATAATTGTTGAAATAAACATCTCGGAAAAAATATTCATCATCTTTTGTTTGTGTAAACATCACTGTAAAAACGGTAAATTCTATTGGTGGGTGGGGCTTAGAATCACAACTTACGGATGCTGAATATTGTTGCATAATTCGCTATTCTCGTTAATTAAAATGAAGAAATTAAAATAATTATGATTGAAACTTAAATGTCACTTTCATTAAGCAAAAACATTGAAAGATTGTACGTTGAATGTTTTTTTGTAGTCATTAAAATTTGCATGTTCCCGCCCTCTTAATGACTCGCCGGAAGTCGTATAATGGGATTCCCCAAACACATGTTTACATTTTGCAAGTTGCTATATTTGTTCACTCAATGGGTCAGAAAAGAATTGTATGGACTCGACTGCATATTTCCGCGTTGTTCATTAAATTTCTGATATGTCAACGTAAGTTTAAAAAAAAAATGCTTTTGTTGCAATATTGTACGACTCGAAAGCGAGATAAGTGGCAGTGAACACTCGGAGTTTCAAAATAAAGTTTTTCTTACGGAAAATAATTGTTTACGCAAACTGTATCGTAAACATTGATTATTAGGTATTTTATAACCAGTTGGTATTAATAACCAACAAAAAATGTAGTTAGCATGACAATGTCAGTGTTCTGAAACTTGGTTGTTAACAAGAACTTCGAAAAAATGGCGACGGCTATTTATAAAACAAATCAGCACGTTTAAAGTATTAATGCATTGCGAAAACAAATATTTCATCAAGGAAATTCAAGTCAGATATTCTTATGAATATCCTTTTTATATTGAATACAAATTTTATTAAGTCTGATACAGATATTTCGTAGTCAAAGTGTTTCAACTGAGGTACTACACAGAGGCGTCAAAAGGCGTCATTATGGAGTAAAGGGGGTGGCGTCAAAAGGCGTCATTATGGAGGAAAGGGTTAAATTTACCTTTGAAGTTCATGTCTTGATGGTAATGGTGGTCAAGTTTGATTCCAACTTGTGCAAATGTTTAAGACATTGAAAAAGTTGAGGGTAATAGAACACACTTGCCTGGGTATTTCAGTCAACTGAGTCAATGATAAATAAATGGGAAATGTGTCCATGTTACACAGATGATGCCCCCGCTTGCATATAACGTTATAAAGGGCAATTTTTCCATTTGTAAAGGGGTATAACTCTTGAACAGTAAAAGTGATGCCACCAAAATTCAAACTCGATCTGTGTTTTGTGTTAATAAGCATTGTGCATAAGTTTCATAACATTTGGTTGAGGCAAACTAAAGTAAGAGAACGGAAACCAATTTTGGGACGTATGGACAGACCGACATACGTACGGACGTACAGACGGACAAGGGTAAAACTTAATGCCCCGTCCATTATGGCGGGGGCATAAAAAGTTGAACTGTGAGCTATCTATTGCTCACAATTGATACCCTACTATAATTTTTTGGCATACAGGAATTTGATAGGAAATGAAGGTTAACACACATCACATGGTATTGCATACTCACATGAAGCTAGATTCCAAATTTCAGAAAGCCATAATTAGTAGTTCCTAAGATAAGTGCATATAAAATTGAAGGGAAGGAGGGATGAGAATACAGATAGACGCAAGACAATATATCTCCTTGCTTTCAGAGTGGGGATATAGGAAATGTTTGTCATTGGACACTAAGAAAACAACAACCAATCAATCATAATGCACGTGCATCAGTGCTAATCTATTAAGTCATTTCTGTCCTATTTTTTAAGTTAAAAATGTTCATGTCTCTTAAATTATCAGACGTGTGATGTCCAATACTGAAAACTTATAAACATTAACATTAAATTTCCAAATTTTTTACTTTAGTTCTGAAGTTAGCTGACAAAATCAAATCTTTTTGAGATCTCAGCTCTATAGCAATTTTTTTTTTTTTCTAAATTACTATGCGAAAAGATCAATAAGCACCATTGTATTGTATAAATTAGGCTGTTAGTTTTCTCAGTTGAATTTTTTTACTTTTTTCATGTCAGGGCCTTTTACAGCTTGCTATGCATTTTACAGTTTTGTTTTTTCTCATTGTTAAAGGCCATACAGTGACATATAATTGCTATTGAACTTTAAGGGATAGTTGTCACATTTGCAATCATACCACATCTTCTTATTTTTACACAGACATATTATCACTGACCTTTGATAAAAGTCTTCTAGCATCTTGGAGTCTGTGCTGATGAAAGGCTACAATTCCTTGAAGTAAATGTAGCCTCATAAACAATGCTAGTTCTGTTCCAGATCCACCCTATAAAAAATATTTACATGCATATTCAGGATGATAACATGAAAATTCATTTATTATATATACTTAGCAATAAATATAAGTAAAATTTATAAATGTGTAATATAAACAATAAAAATCTTGCTGGATCTGACATCTTTGATCATATCGATATCAGTCACGACTGCAAAGGCAAAATGGATGACTGCTTAACATTTAGCGGCAAATATTACATGCATATTCAGGATGACAACATATTAATCTATTTATTATACAATTAATAGTAAATATAAGTGAATTGTATGTGTAATACAATCGATGGCAATTCTGCTGTATCAGCCATCTGAGATGATATCTATATCGATCAGTCACTGTGCAAAAAGCTTTATCAAACACCAACAGAAAAACCTGTTTTATGTTTATAATAAAGTATATATGATATATGGCTTTTTCAATATCTCACATCGTATCAACAGGAGACACCTATACAATCTCTATTTGAGGGACTATATTGGTTAATGGTTGATACAGGTGGGATATTGAGAAGCCATATAATTTTCTTCATTTATATAATAATGAGATATTTTTTAAGCTTTAAGAATCTTTCACACCATGTTTAATCCTGCCAACTCTAAAACAAAAGATTAGCATATTTTCTAAATGTGTATGGCTGACAAAGATTACTTCAAAGGAAATGGTAACAACTCACACAAGTACTTTGAGTCAACTGAGCTAATCAAGGAAAAATGTAAATTTGCCAATTGATGTTTTTCTTCCTAAAAAAATTATTAAGCGACATTCAGCAAATTAATATATATGACGATAAATGTATTGAAAAAAGTTACCACTGGTTTCTGATAAACAATGATCTATATTGCATTTGTCACCTCTAATTTTTTGCCATATTTTTTATTAAAATAACACATTAAAAAACTAAATATTTTGCAGGTGTTTATTGTGTGATTTTAACAGCCCAGATGTTAAATGATATAGTTTTTTTTTTATCAATTTCATCTTTAAGTATCTTTTCTCCTGATGAAAACTCACATAATAATTTTTTAATATTTTAATTTAGCTGAAAAATGTGCAAATTTTCCCAAAAATAAAACTTGCTTTTTCATCACCAGAAAAGGAAAAAGCTTCTAATATGGTTTAATATGAAATAGAAAATATAATGTCTAGCATTTAAGTGATTTTGATGAAATTAAAATGGCAATATTTTAACATGTACATGTATGCAAACCATTCAAATTCAATGAGCTATGATGAGGGGGTGGGCCATATAATATCCATGGGAATGAGGCATGTAAATGCTAATACAACTGCATACCAAATATCATTGATCTCCAACTATTGGTTCCCTTAACTGACCTAATCACAACTTATAAACTATGCAAAAGTTTCAAAGTCAATAGACCATGACTTAGAGCAGCAGGATCAAATAATCGCTATGGAAATGAGATGTGGCAATGCTTATACAACTGCACACCAAAATAATTGACCTTCCACTATTAGTTCCTGATAAAGTGACCTAATCACAAAATAATACATTAGTGTTGAAGCTTAGGCTGCTGCTGAAAACTTTTTTCAATTTCGTCAAAATATAGCAACTGACAAATAATTTTGTCCATGCACTGTGCTTTGACTGAAGAAACATAATTGTCATGTCAGAAGCAAATGAATTATGTGAAATATTTTCAAAACATTGAGATTGGATAACAACATCCTTAACAATGGGAATTCAACCAATGACCTGAATTTCTTTTCACTTTGGGGGTACAAACAATGAAATTAACCACAATCCTTCAGATTCTGATTTTGTGTCCCTTAAAAACTTACTTTTACAGCATTTAGTCTTTCAAAGTTTGATCCATAACTTCTGATAAAACAATCTTCACTCATGTTCAGTCTTTTTTCTAAAGAAAAATTAATCATTTCTATGAAAATTCAAGCTATTTTAAAACAAATTGATAATCAAAATTTTTTTGGATTTGAAGGGGACAAATATTCCAATATTTCATATACATTTACACTTATCACATAAAATGAAAATTCTCACATATTTTCTTTATAACAAGAAATGAGTGGCCATAAAATTCAAGATCCACAAATTAACCTTTTTAGATGACGTTAAACTTTATTGCCAAAATAATTTTTCCTTGGCATTGTATTTGGTTGGATGTATAATATAATTAGAGCTTACATATAAGTTTGAAACTATTTGTGGCATTTGTCAGATAGACAATTCTTATTATTGCTATTTTGTGCATTTTTCCTTTGATCTTTTTTGGTGATATTACTGGTCTTTTAAACTCGAGGATGTTTCTCAGCCACCTCTCATCTCAGGGCTGTCGCTCTTCGATGAGATTGTAGGCGAGAAACACCCTCTTGTTTGAAAAACCATCAATAATATATAAAAACATACCAGTATCTACATACCAAAAATTGTTGACCTGATACAGATACTTACTAAGGATCAGCCCTAACTGAACATGATAGCTGAAGTCAGATTGCAATTGTGAAAATGAAGTCCAGGCTATGATTTGTCATCCAGGCTTTTTTTTACTTAAGGGAATGTACTTACATGATTCCTCAACCCTCATCCCATTAACACTGAATTCTTAATCTTAAAAAATTATTGATCTGAGCAAATTCATGACATAATGTAATCTTCCTCAAACAGTAAATTTTATACAAATACTTTTACCGATAACCACAACATAAAATTAATGCTTTTTTTTTTAAAACAAGAGAAACCTAGTTCAGTAGTTCCCAATTGTTCAAACTTTAACATTGTTCATTATCACTTGAACCTAGTAGTCTATTCCAAATGACCTTGGGATAACACGGGAATCAGAGTAGCTTACAAAAGGATTGAGTTGATGGTTGAAAGAAAAAAAAGATATGTGGTATGATGGGCTACTGGACAACTATCAATCAGAGACCAAAGGTAGAGAATGTAAACAACTATGGGGCATTGGAAGCCTTTAACAATGAGCAAACTCAATATTGTATAGTAAGCTTTAAAATGGCCTGGCATGACAAATAAAGTAGCTGACAGCAACTAATGACAACTACTGAATTACAGGCTCCTGACTTGGGACAGTCACATAAAAGATGTGGTAGGGTTAAACATGTTTGCCAAAAAATATATATACTGTTTCCTGTCTCATGGCAAAATAAACAATAGGATAGCCAAGTCAGGAGCCTGTAGTTCAGTGGTTTTTGTTGGTTCATGTCTGTCATATTTGTTTTTCGTAAATTGTTCTTTTATAAATAAGTTTATTTTCTCAATTGAATTGTTTCATATTTTTCATGTTGGGGCCTTTTATAGCCGACTATACGGTATGGGTTGTTCCAACCCTTCCCTCACCTGGGACACTGAGGTGTAACAGCACAACATAGGGAAGGTCTATTCTAACCTGCATCTGGTAAATCTTCGACATTCTTCAGACATAAATAACACCACACAATATCCAAGCATAAAACAGCATAATTGTCTACAGCATTCAAAATATCAGCTCTGCATTTACTGTAAAATAAAATATCATTATATAAAAACTGTGGATTTCATTATTGTTCGTTGGATACCAATTTTTGTGGATTTCATGGGTACAGGGAAACCACGTATTGAAATATTCAACGAATTACAAATTTGCTTTATGAATATATGCAGACTTTTGGAAAAACCACGAAATCAAATATCCACGAAAGCGCAAGTTTTCCTCAATCCACGAAAATTGCTACCCATGAAAATAAATAAATCCACAGTATGTAACTGCTGTGTGTGCCAAGTCTATATTTAAATGCCCTTTCAATTTAACACTCTATTTGTTAAAACAGTAGTGACTTAATTAGAAGGAAGTGTTGGATCTACAATCACAGACATATTTTTCTATATTTTCTGTCTTCTCTTATTGATCAAAAGACAGAAAACACATTAACTATCATCATTTTTGTAATGCATTTTAAAATGTCTTGCCTTGTTCTAATGTGGTTTTCAAAGATCCTTCAGATGTTACAAAACTTAAAAATATAACAATGCAATTTTTATTTCCTGAGTATGTAAACAATTTAAAGGTAGCATTATCAAAAGGGTTTTATATCCTGTAATACCCTGGCCAAGTATACATAACATGTATCACATTTGCAGGGTGTGCACTAACAATGAGTCAATATATAGTTGCACAAACTGTATATTTCTTGGATATTGATGAACTTTAATTCAGAAATTTTTGCATGCATTTATCTCTGCAATTGTTGAAAAATCTTGAAAAAGGAAAGATGAATTCAGGAAATGCTGCATTACCAATTATACTATCAAAATTAAAAAAAATAAAATTTAATTTTGTGACACCTATTCCATATCAATTTTCCCAATAATAAAAACATCGCAAAAATTTCTGAATTTACAGTATTCATATCCACTTAAACATAGACACTATGCAGAAATAAACTAACACACAAAATATCAAACCCTAACAAGGCTACAGTTTTTTCTTCCTAGTTACATGTAGCTTTAACATGAAGTGTTAGCCAAAAAATATATATACTGTTTCCTGTCTCATGGCAAAATAAACAATAGGATAGCCAAGTCAGGAGCCTGTAGTTCTGTGATTTTCGTTCTTTTATGTCTGTCATATTTGTTTTTCGTAAATTGTTCTTTTATAAATAAGTTTATTTTCTCAATTGAATTGTTTCTTATTTTTCATGTTGGGGCCTTTTATAGCCCACTATACTGTATGGGTTTTTCTCATTGTTAATTGCTTACATCCACTTCATTTGAACTTTGGTGGATAGTTGTCTCATTGGCATTCATACCACATCTCCTTATTTTTATATAATAGGATAGAAAGGTAGGTAAAAGGATTTTTTTCCCATAGACAATATAGGAAAATGTTCTGGACTTTAACGATGCTTAATAAAAAAAAATCAACTCTTGACTTTTACTGTGCTTACCTGATGAGTTTAGCCCTTTTCAACTAATCTTTATAGTTTGTTCATATGTTGTGCTGTTACACCACTGTCCCAGTTTAGGGGAGGGTTGGGCGCCAGCAAACATGTTTAACCCCTCCACATTCTGTAATTGCCTGTCCCAAGTCAGGAGCCTGTAATTCAGTGGTTGTTGTTTGTTGCTGTATATCATATTTGTTTTTCATTCATTGTTTTGTACATAAATCAGGCTGTAAGTTTTTTTTGGTTTGAATTGTTTTACATTTGTCATTTCGGGGCCTTTTATAGCTAACTATGCAGTATGGGTTTTGCTCATTGTTGAAGGCTGTACAGTGACCTATAGTTGTTAACTTCTATGTCATTTAGTCTCTGGTAGAGAGTTGTCTCATTGGCAATCATACCACATCTTCTTATTTTTACATTAACCTAAAATGGCCATTAAATGTGTTAGGATAGGTATATATGCATGAAAATTAAGGGCTGGTGAAGTGGAAGGTTACACAGCTATAATTATTGGCCTTATCAGGTCGTTTTGATTCTACTTCTTCAATATGAACCTTTCTTATATGAACCATGTTTACCTAAACTCTTTATCTGCTTCTAATAACAGTAACAAGGCTTGTGCTATTTCTTTCTTCTTAAGAGCAACTCTCCCTTTCTCATGTAAGGTCATGGCTAGTGTCAGAGCCTAAAATAAATATAACCTATATAAATAATCTAATTTAAAGTCATGGTTAATGGCAGGGCCTTAAACAAATAAGGCCCCTATAAATAAAGGCAGTGTTTCATTCATCCATTTTCCATGTAAAATTATGGCTAATGTCTGATCCAAAACCAAATATGACCCATATAAATAGTCTCATTTAAAGTCATGGTTAATGTCCAGGCCTTGAACAGATAGGACCCATATAAATAAAGTCAGTGTTTCATTGATCCCTTTCTCATGTACAGTCATGGCTAATGTCAGGGCCAATTACAATCAGTACCAGATCTAGAAGTAACCAGAAAAGTCTTACCTAACTCATAAGCCAGCTAGATTTGTAATCAAACATGCAAAGAGAAACAACTCTTGTCAACAAAAGCAATTCTTTATCCTACTACAACATAGAATGTTAAGCAAGCTAGCTTTGAGGTATAAGGAACTAAAAAAAAAATTACAGGCAAAGGGAAATAACTCTTGTCACCAGAAACAATTCAAAAATTATCATTGTTATCCTACTACAAACCCTGGGGTGTGGCACTTTACTAAAAAGGACCAAAAACAACAAAAAAAACTGTATATCCAAAATGTGTATCCTTTTATGGTTTGTGTCAGTCAATCAGCCATGGATGTGGAAAAACATCAAATGTTATAGCAATACTTTCATGAACTTGCAATAAATGTGAACTTGGTAGCAGGTGTATTACAAGTTTTTTGCAGAAAGAAATTTTACAATTGAAGGGATGTAACTTTTGTTAATACTTTCGGCAGTTTACGAAAGAATTAATGACAATAAGACACATTAAAATTCACTACCCAGTATAAGAACCTTAATGTCTAATTTCATGTTCAATCCATTTGATTTTTATGTGAAAATGGTGTTACTTATATCTCTACTTTTCTTGCAGAAAAATTAAACAACAGAAACTAAAATAGATTGATTGATTGTTGGTTTTAAATGCCATTTTCAATACTCTTGGCTATATTTTGGCAATCAGTTTAATTTGTATTGGTGGAGGAAGCCTGTGTGCCCAGAGCAAACCATAGAACTTTAGCAGGAATACTGGCAATCCTAGGTATTAAGATCTAGGTTGAGTAACTTAAGTAGATATGCAATACCTTCTTTTCTTCTGATGGCAACTGCAGGGGTCTGCCTGATTGGTCTGCTATCTGTATTTCAAAATCGTCATCTTCATCTGTCGAAAAACAAATATTTGTCTTTTGTTACATAATTAAATAATCTTCAAAATACATTTAAAATATAAGCATCATATATGCCCTATATATCAAAGTACCATATATGAGGTTATTTTCTCTCTTCAGGTTTTGTTAGAGTTTGGAGCCTCAGAAGGGTCAGTTAAATCTTTGCTGTGTTCATTATTCATGTTTCATGATGTGTTCATTATTCATGTTTCATGCTGTGTTCATTATTCATGTTTCATGCTGTGTTCATTATTCATGTTTCATGCTGTGTTCATTATTCATGTTTCATGCTGTGTTCATTATTCATGTTTCATGCTGTGTTCATTATTCATGTGTCATGCTGTGTTCATTATTCATGTGTCATGCTGTGTTCATTATTCATGTTTCATGCTGTGTTCATTATTCATGTTTCATGCTGTGTTCATTATTCATGTTTCATGCTGTGTTCATTATTCATGTTTCATTGCCTTGTACAATGCATTTAAAATAACAGTGATATGCTTAAGCTTGCAATGGGTAAATTTTACAGTTAAATGCCTACTGAGAAAATAGCAAAAATTGGACATATAAGATAATATCTAATAGACGGTAATAATATCAACCAAAACTGCTTCTGTTATTTTTTTTTCTGTATTGTTCAAGGTTAGATGATTTACATTTAAGGAACTTCCATCATTTTCAATAAACATTGCACATGTACTTACTTTCAAAAAGCATTGTACATGTATTAATTTCCAATAAAAAATTGTACATGTATTAATTTCCAATAAAAAATTGTACATGTATTAATTTCCAATAAAAAATTGTACATGTATTAATTTCCAATAAAAAATTGTACATGTATTAATTTCCAATAAAAAATTGTACATGTATTAATTTCCAATAAAAAATTGTACATGTATGTATTTTCAATAAAATTTGTACATATAAACCTGAGAATGAAAATGGGGAATGTGTCAAAGAGACAACAACCCGTCCAAAGAGCAGAAAACAGCCCAAGGACACCAATGGGTCTTCAACACAGCAAGAAAATCCTGCACCTGGAGGCAGACTTCAGCTGGCCCCTAAACATAAATGTTTACTAGTTCAGAGAAAATGGATGTCACCTTAAACTCCGAAACATATAAATGAACCAAAGTTTAAACAAACATACAAGACTAGCTAAGGCCAGAGGTTCCTGAATTGGGACAGGCGCAAAAATGCGGCGGGGTGAAACATGTTTTGTGAGATCTCAACCCTCCTCTATACCTCTAGACAATGTAGAATAAACAAACACACAGCAATACACATAGTAAAACTATATATATCTATACTAACCATATACTGCTACGATTTTATATTGTAAAATGGTCCATTATTTATGAAAACTCATTAAAACAATTTTACTCCAATGACTTGTAAAAAAACAAAATGTACAAGATTGACAATGTCAATTTCTTAAAAAAAATATGTCTCGCCTTTTTGTAATTTTGATAATGCAAATGTTGAAATTAAAATAGCAATACTTTAACATGTATATATATATATATATATATTTATATATATATATATAAGTTATGCAAATATTCAAAGTCGATGAACCAAACTGAAGGTACATGGCTAAACAATCTCCAAGGAAATGAGATTTGCCAGTGCTAATAAAACTGCATACCAAATACCATTGACTTATTATAAGTCATTCCCTTTAAACCTAAACACAGACATTAACTTGTAAACTATGTAAAAGTTTCAAGTCAATGAACCATGATGAGGGGGTGGGGCTATATAATCTCCATGGAAATGATACTTGCAAATGCCATTAAATTTGCATACCAAATATCATTAACTTAACATTAACAGTTCATCTTAAACTGATCTAATCACAAACTAATACATGTAAACTAAGCAAAAGTTTCAAAGTCAATAGACTATGACTGAAAGGGCAGGGCCAAATAATCTCCATGGTAATGAGATGTGCCAATGCTAATACAACTGCATACCAAATATCATTGACCTACCACTAGTGGTTCACCATAAACTAGACCTAATCACAAACTAATACATTGTTAACGCCTCTGCCATCACCGCCACCTGAAACAGCATACGTATGTCTCGCTTTTTGACTCTGTCAAGGCGAGACAAAAACCAAAACAATCGATTAATCAAAACTTTGAATCTTTTAGTGTTAGTATGCATAAAAGACATGAGGTATATACCAATGACACAGCAACCCAATAACAAAAATAACCAAAAGAACTGTTAGAATTAAAATGTTTAACCTTTTCCTGCCTTTGTTGACAAGAGTTCAGCAGCTTTCTTTGTTGTCATAAACTTTGTTATCTCCCCTTGTTGTTTGGCGGCCTCTGATTCTGACACAGATAAACACAGGACTAAAACTTGTGAACTATTCTGAAAAATAAATAGAAAACACATGAACTTTGTTATATCCCCTTGTTGTTTGGTGGCCTCTGATTCCGACACAGATAAACACAGAACTAACACTTATGAACTATTCTGAAAAATAAGTAGAAAACACATGAACTTTGTTACCTCTCCCTGATTCTTGGCAGCCTCTGATTCTGACACAGATAAACACAGGAATAAAACTTGTGAACTATTCTGAAAAATAAGTAGAAAACACATGAACTTTGTTATCTCCCCTGTTTCTTGGCAGCCTCTGATTCTGAAACAGATAAACACAGGACTAAAACTTGTGAACCTAAAAATAAGTAGAAAACACATCAACTTTGTAATCTCCCCTTGTTGTTTAGCAGCCTCTGATTCTGACACAGATAAGCACAGGACCAAAACCTGTGAACTATTATGAAAAATAAGTCGGAAATATGTATTGCATACAATTAAATAGTATCTTATTTCTCACTTACATTGTAAATAAAGCTTTATCTATTGATGATTGATTGTTGCTTGCTTAATGTCCAGTGGTCAGTAATTATAAATCAAAATAGTAATCAACAATTTCCTATAGGCTTGTATACCAACTTTTGCAAAACCATGAAATAAAATATCCACTAAAAAATGCTACACACGAAAATAAATGAATCCACAGTACATAAATGACTATAGTAACCAACATACTTTCAATGAGTATTTTTTCATACATTAAAAGGACATACTCCCATAAATGGCCCACGAATCATGTCCATTTATAAAACTTTCCTTTCTACCCTTCCACATTCATGTGAGTGAAAAAGCCCTGAAGTAAAATAACACTCTAATTTTACTCATTCATTTCCCCTTTTTCTAAATATTTAACTTTATACTTTGACATTTTGTTCCTTCAATGTTGTCTCATTCCCAACGACTTTTCCCTGACAAATGATTTTCAGCTGATCTTGCGGGATGCCTATTCTATCTGAGATTGTCTTTCTAAAGTTCTGTCCTTTACTGTCTAATGAAATCTCTACAGATGTAAGACCAGGTATTTTTTCTTCCTGAAACATAAAAACCATTATAATACTCATAAATTTATAAAAAAAAATGTTTAAAATATATCATTCTATGTTACATATATAATACCTGTTTCTTAGTCTTGTACAAATGAATCTTATATTTTGAGAGAATGCATATTCTTTTAGTACATATTCTAGAAAGGTTAAAAAATAGAGAGCAAAACACCTAGTTACTCCATGTGACACAGTTATATAAAAATAAGGAGATGTTCGTTAAGCAATTAAAATATCCTCCATCAAGAATGATTTAAAACAATTATTTTTTTTTCTAATGCAATGCAGTACAATAAAGGTGATTTATATAAAGGAGTAGGTCCGGTAAGGGCTGATTTTGGCCTCAAAATTCAGGTTCATCTGATGAAAGATTTTGGACACTTTTTAAACACTTAAGTGTCTACTTCAGTCGATTCAATTAGTTTATGTGAAAGATTTGAACTGATTTAGTCATTAAAGACGCTCAAATTCAAGCTTAAATATGAAAAATCTATCAAATATGCCATAATATGTCACTTTTCAGATGGTTTTTGTCAAAAATGAAAGTGGCCGCATCCGTGTTCATTCTCAACCTTTATATATGTTATGTATTATCATCAAATACAACTTACATTTAAATATTAAGAATGAACACAAATGCGGCCACTTCCATTTCAGACGGAAACCGTCTAAAAATTAACCAAAATGCTAAAATTTCGAAGATTTCAGTAATTTAGCATGACTTAATGATGCTAGTACCCGATACATGTGCATTGTATTGTCAAAAACAGCCCATATTTATGTAACAGAAGTATTCTTCTTTCCAATAAATAGCTTAAAATTTACATTTTAACGATTTTGTAAAACTGCTATATTTTGGGGCCAAAAAGAGGTCTTACTGGAACTACTCCTTTAAATCACTCTGAAACAGGGTAACAGAAGTAGAAATTCTCTGGTTTACAAACTCTGGCCTGTCATATCTGATGAAATATATGCACAAGGTGATTTAGTTCAAAATTACTATTGCTGGTGAATATTCACATGATGATGATTGTAGATGATTTACTCTGAAATTTCTCTCTGTATATTCAATAAATATTACACGACAGGGTAGTAAATCACTCAAGATCTAAATTACCAGCAAGAGTGATTATTAACTGAATCTGAAGCACCCAAATTCATTAAGATTGACTGTGTACTGTGAAAATTCACCACCAAGAGTGATATTAACTGAATTACTGTTGATTCATTTATTCTTCATGTTCTTGTGGGTACCAGTTTTCATGGATTGAGGAAATCTTGCATTTTCGTAGATATTTGATTTCATGGTTTTGCCAAAGTTTGCTTACAAGCCTATCGAAAATTTGTAATTCGTTTGTCACAGTACTTGTATATACTGTAAATTCAGAAATTATTGCGAGGTTTTTATTAATGCTAATAATGCGAGCGGATGAAGATCGCAATAATAAGAACTCGCATTCTGATATCTGATACTTATATCTGTATGCAGATTTTCCAGAATTCGCAATAATTAATCTCAAATTTTAGTCCATTCTTCAAAAATTGCAATAATAAATGCACCCAATAATTTCTGAATTTACAGTACATTATTCCTACCTTTAATATTAATACCAGTAACACCTTGGTATTATAGAAAATGCAAAGGGAGAAACATCCTTAATCAACCTCATTTTGAGTTATTAATTGTATGTACCTTTGACTTTTGTCCAGATATTTTGACTTTGATTGTGGCTAGTCCAGATTCCTGGAATTTGTTTCTTTCCTGTAGTTTCTGAATAGCATGGATTCTCAACGACTCAAGAATATCTGTGATTTCATCTTGTGGTAGTTTTAAATCTTTACTAAATCTATCAATCAAATCCTAAAATAACAATACAAAATATGGTTGTTTTCAATTTTAGTGGTTTAAACAGGTTAAGGTAGTATGGGGGTCTTCGACCATTTTGGATTGTGAAGTAGCAGAAAACATTTGATGGCAAAATGATGAAAATTGTAATCCTGACTTTCAAAGAAATAAATAAAAATATGTATGTATAATTTTTCATTTTTGCACAAACCTATATTCATGTTGAGTTACAGTCTCACTTATATACAAGTATACCCACTATCAGTGTTTATTCTTACTAGTGAAGATATCTATTTATGTTGAGCTTTTGTTGTTTGGTTGCTAGTGTCTCTTTGATGTTCATCCTGAATCTCTTTTCATTCTTTTTTTTTACTGCCAAACATTGTAAAGTGATTTCATTGCAGTAAATGTGGTAAATGCAGCCCTTGTAGGCTGTAATCTACATACATGTATATATAAAATAAGTCAAACAGGTACTTGTGTTTTTGCTACCTATATATCAAATTGTTATCATGGAGTTGAATGCTTTTCCTCATTTTCCTGTATACCTTTAGTTATTCCAATGATCAAGACTGAAAGGGGGATGGTTGAGATTTTATAATAAAATGCTCTGCTGGGCGCAGCTTGATATGACCGCAGAGGTTGAACCCTGAACAGTTGGGGCAAGTATGGACACAACATTCAAGCTTGATACAGCACTGAATTTGGATTGTGATTAAATATTTGACAAAGCATAGGTTTCTGACACAGAATGAATGTGGTCTAAGAACTTAAAATTTTTTAATTTACCTATTCAAACCATATCATTATTATTTGCTTTTATATATAAATCAGAAATAACCAATTTAAAACGAAAAATTTTAAAGAAAAACAAATCCCTCCCCCCCCCCCCCCAATTTTTTGAACCCCCTTATGATTCATCTACCCTAAACTCAATCCCAGCCTTCCCTTTGTGGTATGGTATCTTGCAGTACAATTTCAGAGAGATCCATACACTTGAACACAAGTTATTGTCTGGAAACTAGAAAAATGCTTGTTTTTTTTTGGCCCCTTTTTGGCCCCAAATTCCTAAACGTTAAGGGCAATTACCCCCAAACTCAAACCCAGCTTTCCCTTTGTGATATGGAACCTTGTAGTACAATTTCATAAAGATCCATACCCTTACACACAAGTTATTGTCCCAAAACTAGAAAAATGCTTGTTTTTTGCCCCTTTTTGGCCCCTAATTCCTAAAATTTTGAGGCAATTACCCCCAAAATCAATCCCAGCCTTCCCTTTGTGGTATGGTACTTTGCAGTACAATTATAGAGAGATCCATACACTTGAACACAAGTTATTGTCTGGAAACTAGAAAAATGCTTATTTTTGGCCCCTTATTCCTAAACGTTTTGGACAATTACCCCAAACTCAATTCCAGCTTTTCCTTTATGATATGGAACCTTGTAGTACAATTTCAGAAAGATCCATACACTTACACACCAGTTATTGTCATGAAACTAGAAAAATGCTTTTTTTTTGCCCCTTTTTTGGCCTCTAATTCCTAAAATTTTTAGGCAATTATCCCCAAAATCAATCCCAGCATTCCCTTTGTGATATGGAACCTTGTGGTACAATGTCAGAGAGATTCATACTCTAACACACAAGTTATGTCTGGAAGTTACAAAAATGCTACTTTTTGGCCCCTAATTCCTTAACTGTTGGTACCATAACCCCCAAAATCAATCCCAACCTTCCTTTTGTGGTATTGAACCTTATGGTAAAATTTCATAGAGATCCATTCACTTAAACTAAAGTTAGAGTGCGAAAACCAATGTGTCTTCGGACAACGATGACGCCAACGTCAGACCAATATACGACCGCAAAGATTTTGCGGTCGTATAAAAAAAAGCTACTGTAGCTTAAAGCCATGAACACTGCCACATTTTTTTGGTATCTCTCCAAAATCAGAAACCATGTCAGTAGTTGTCTTTAGTTACATACATGCACATGTATACTTTATTCAATGTTTTTTTGTCATTTGTGGAATTGGACGATCAAGGAAGATCTTTGATAGCCTCTGTTAATTTTATACACAACTTTTTTCGAGCCATTTCGAGCTTGACACCTGTCTACTGTTGAAGACCTTAAGTTGACTTCTAGAAGTTTTTATTTTTTAATGTTGTTGGGCTGTTGTCTCATGATGTATAACCTGTATCTCCTTTTATTCATACATACATATGTATGATGAAGACATAATCTTTCAATCAGTTCAATTGAGGTCTGGAGCTGGCATGTCAGTAACTGATAGTAGTCTGTTGTTATTTATGTATTATTGTCATTTTGTTTATTTTCTTTTGTTTCCTATTCTGACATCGGACTCGGACTTCTCTTAAACTGAGTTTTACTGTGCATACTGTTGTACGTTTGTTTTTTCTACATTGGCTAGAGGTATAGGGGGAGGGTTGAGATCTCAAAATACATGTCTAACCCCGCCGCATTTTTTCGCCTGTCCCAAGTCAGGAGCCTCTGGCCTTTGTTAGTCTTGTATCATTTTTAATTTTAGTTTCTTGTGTATAATTTGGAGTTTAGTATGACGTCCATTATCACTGAACTAGTATACATATTTGTTTAGGGGCCAGCTGAAGGACACCTCCGGGTGCGGGAGTTTCTCGCTGCATTAAAGACCCATTGGTGGCCTTCGGCTGTTGTCTGCTCTATGGTCGGGTTGTTGTCTCTTTGACACATTCCCCATTTCCATTCTCAATTTTATGACATACTTTTGGTATATCTCCTTTTTCACCATTTTCTGTTGTATAAGGTGGTAGCCATAGCTTTATCTTCTCAGAATTTAACTTTTCCCTAACATTCTTCTGGTTCAGCTCTTTTGTATAATTTTCTGCCATCTAATGTTCTAAAAATATAACATGTTTTTGAAACTATTTTTTTTAAATAGGGCTAAAAAAGGATGCAATAATAAAAATAAACACTATTTATACATTGCGTATATTTATTATTATTGTATAAAAATAACATATTGCGGGCAAAAGATAACCAAATGATAGTGTGCAATATTCTATCATATTGCAATAGTCATGATAATTACAAATAAAGTTTCAAATTAGTGATGCAATCAATGTCGACAAAAATATATTTTAAACAGTTTTATAAGCTTTTCCATACAACCATAACAATACACATGATACAGGGATTAATGCATGAATATTGGTGACCCCACTAGATATATGTATATTACTATATATCATGATATATTGCACTTCAAAGTCCTTGCAATGTAAAAATCTACTAGAATGAAAAAGTCCTCTATCATGTCTATGAAAAAAATACTTAAGCAAGGATCATGGCAACTGACAGAAAATTTGTCTGTATATGAAAAAATATCTAACACTTACTGAGGTTACTAAATAATTTTCACTCTATTATGACATAGAAATGTGTGTGTCAAGTTGTCAATGAATTGAGAACTACATTATTAATCATCTGTTTCAAAATCAGATTGTGAGCTTCATTAACATTCATGTAGACCCTTTGGCTAAAATGGCTGCATTTTCACCTCAAAATTAACTCCGAGTACAGACAAACCCGTGTATCTGGAAAAGTTTTAAGGAAAAACATGCCCTAAATGAATAAAATTCAAATATATCTTTTGTTTTAGAAAATTAAAAACTTAACAGGATTTTGCAATGCACTTTTTTTTCATTCCTCAATTTTATAAAACATACAATGCATTTGAATTTTATTTATCTAAAGCATGCTATGCCTTAAAACTTTTCCAGATGAACAGGTGTGTCTGTACTCAGAGTAAATTTTGAGGTGAAAACGCAGCCATTTTAGCCAAAGGGTCCATATGAACCTGAAGGTTCATCATAACAAATGGACAAAAATGGCTATATTTACATGTACACCTCAAAAACTACTCTGAGTACAGACTTACCTGTCCAGCTGTAAAAGTTTTAAGGCCTGGCATCCACTAGATATATAAAAGTTAAATGCATTTTGTGTTTCAGAAAGATATAATCTTTTTTTGATTTTGATGGGCATTTTTTTTTCCTTTCTGCAGAAGGTGTAAAAATAAACAAACACCTGAATTGCTTTGATACTGTCCACTCAGTTAAACCCTTTAACAGTTTAACTCACCTATAGATGTGAAGATACCTATTGTCCCTGTCAATCAAGGACAATCAATACAATACAATAGAGTTTTTACCTGAGAGGGAGCATCTCAAAGTTGTATCCCAACTTAGTTTATTTTTTCACCTTCTGCATGAACGAAAAAAAAAATGCCCATCAAAATCCAAATCTTTCTGAAACACAAAAAGCATTTAACTTTTATCATGTTTATATATCTAGTGGATGCCAGGCCTTAAAACTTTTCCAACGGGACAGGTAAGTCTGTACTCAGAGTAGTTTTTGAGGTGTAAATACATAAAATTGAGAATGGAAATGGGGAATGTGTCAAAGAGACAACAACCCGACCATAGAGCAGACAGCCGTTTTTGTCCGTTTGTTATGATGAACCTTAAACAGAAGTGTGTCAGTAAGACTAAGAGAAGGCCAGAATGTTATGTGTATGTGCACGTGGTAGTATGACACTAGACCATTCAAGTATGTATTCCTATCCCGATTTCGTTTCAGATATGAAAAATAATTCTTCCCTTCAAGAAAATGTTTCATGAATTTCGAAACAAACACTTAAATTCTTAATTTTTGAAGTTTATTTTGTACAATACCTGATAACGGCGTCTTGAAAAGTCTACAATTTTCAAAGGCTATTTACAATTTGAATATGAATTTGTGATTATGTTACCTTTTCCAATGAATTACATAAATGATATTGCTGTTTTAGTTTATAGAAATGATCTCACTTTGGTTTATGCTCGTAACGTTTTTTCGGGGTTTCCTAATGTTTTGGTCAGGAGAACCGAATTTTCGTACAAGGTTTTCGCTATTTGGAAAAAAATCCACGATTAATATATTTTGGTCAAACTTATTCATTCTATTCTGTTTCTAGTAACAAAAAAAGACTTTTTAGATTTCAAAGAATGCAATATTTTTGTTCATCCGAAACTACCGTGGTGAAGATTATACAACAATCAGTAGCTTTTTTAAAAAGCTTGTCTTGTAGTGCTGTTTCGAACAGTCGTTTCGGTCATAGTCGATTCGGCCACACTTTTCCACATGCATGTATATACATTAATTGTTTTACAAAAGTTTGTTTTGAAAAGGAATATTATTTAACAAAAAGTTAGTTTGTCACAAAGTGTGCATCTGGTCTAAACACGTATGTATGCTTCGTAGGTCCTCCTTTCATTAGGAGCCCCCAACATGAGTTATGGAGTAAAGGAGGACATTTAGCACACTGTATCGGGCACATAGTTAATATGAGTATTTGCCTACCCAGTTCCCCAGCCTGGACGTGACGGGACTTACTTCGGGAAAGTTAACCTTCCTCAAAAACATGAATAAATACAATGCAATAAACTGACATACGAAAACACCCAATCACCGGCTCGCTCATGCTCAAGATATCAAAAGTATAAAATAAAAGTGCAAAATATATACAAAATAAAAGAAAATGTCATTCCTGGATGTCGCACAAATGCCATGGCAAACTGACGTCGGAATGGGAAACCGGTAAAAACAGTTACTTGGATTCCAAACCGATACCGCTTAATGTCCAGCTGTATTCCCGGTAGAGGAAAGCTGAAAATTCTACCATAAAAGATCCCGGAAAGAAACTACCAATTCATTATGAGAACAGCGTAAATCCTCAGACATCAGATAGATTGGTCTGATAGTTTCCTACATGAAACTACTAATGATCCCATCTGACCACATGTCTCAAACAAACCTGAAAATATCTGCAGAAACTTTCCTCAACAAAATAATATAATCCAAAACATAAAATATACGCAGTAAGGATACTAATTTTTTTCCATGAAACCACATTGACAAAAAGATTGTAATGATGTTGAAGGATTCTCTCTGCAAAAATTTTCACGTCCGCTCTTATCGGCATGCTTGACTCGACGAAGACATTATAATTACGTTTCCCTTTCCCTTTTTCTTTGGTGCTTGATTAATATATATTTTTTAACAGAGAATAGAAAATAAAAAAAAATCATTCGTGGACGAAAGAAAGAATACCTATTCGAAAAATTCGGCAAATCAATTATCTATCTTTTCAAGTTTCATAACACATAATTGTAAGTTTTAGTAATTTATCGGCGGAAATATGTTTTTTTTTTTGCTAAGATGTTGATTTAGTAACAATGCTTTGATGCCAATTATGTTTTTCTAATTACTTAACAATTTATATATTATTATAACTATTATCAACAATATTTAAAAAAAACACACATTTCTTTATCATTAGCTTAGAAATTATTTTAACAACATACAAACTTAAACAACTGTTACTCACGACAGGTTCTCACCGTGAAAGATAACATCTTGTACGTTTTGTATATGCAACATCTGGATACAAGTGGTCGTTAAAAATACAGTAAAACCTTTCGTTTACATTTTATGGTTTTATCCATAAAATTATTGTTCTTTTTTTTTTTTAAAGTTTTTTAAAACTGACCAAATGATAAAAAAAAGGGGCAAATATACCAAGCGAACATTCAAAACGTCAAAAAGAAACTGACAACGCCATGGCATGGCAGAAAACAATAAAACGACGACAAAACAAACAAGACCACAATACACTACATGAAAAACAAGAGGCTGAGCAAAACGAACCAAATCAAAAACCGGGGTTGATCTCAGGGTAAGCAGATCCTGTTCCACATATCACAACTTCAAAATCAAAATTTGGCCCAATGTGATCTGTAATATTCTCATTACATTTATTTAATCGCCCTATTCAATTTATTCAACATCGATCATGTCTACATGCTTCGAAATGATAATTTAGAACACCAAAAACAGAGCCTTACAATTATTTGGTTTCGCTGCAAGAATACAGGAAATGCGACTGCTAAAGTACGAATTTGATACACCATGGCACATCACAACGATGACATTTTGCCTGTAATGTCATGGATTATAGTCTAAATTAGCTTGTTTTCCAACATTGAATTCTAAAACGTCACAACAGACACGGACATAGGGAACTAGTTGGGAAATATAGACAACTTTAAATTAGAAGTCATCGTCTAAAACCGGAAAATTAAGAACAAGGAAAAACATTGTCCCTCTGAATTTTTGAAAGAGTTTCCTTTCGCCTTTTTCAAAATTAATTCATGTTGACCAAAGTCTAACAATGTAGTCAAAAAATGAGGTTACTATAATCATAAAAAGAACATTTGCATTATACAACTTGATATCTATAGAAATAAAAAACAAATCATCATGAATTATTCTCATCTATTAAATACGATATGCATATTCAATTGATATGTACAAAGGCCAGTTGTGGACACTACACTAAACGCTGGTATAGGCTAACGACACATTTTTGTGTACTATAATATATTATTCTTGTGTACATTATTTTACTTTTCAAGTGTGGATTCTACTTTGGGAAACTTAAGTTATGATCAAAATATATATTTTTCTTTTTAAATGATTCATTGTTTACAGCGATTTGAAGGAATAACATTTCAATGATTCAATTTTCAAAAAATTGATCATAAAGAGATAGGCGAAAAATACAACATGGACATTCAAACTATCCAGTCGAAAACAAACTGACAACGCCATGGCAAAAAACCGATAAACTACCAGAAGACAATTTGAAACAACATCATACAAAACACAACACAAAAAACTAAAGACTGAGCAACACGAACCCCACCAAAATCTGGGATGATTATCTCAGGTGCTCCGAACAGGTAAACATATCCTGCTCCACTCGTGGCACCCGTCGTGTTGCTCATGTAAGTACGAACCCGGTAATATCTCTAATTCGGTAGGTAACATTCGAGGAAAAGAGGACGGGATTGTGATTACGACAATTGGAACATATTTGAAACAGATATTCCATAACGATTAGCCAATTTGTGATGGCGTGCGTATAATTTTCGAAGTTATAATTTCAACTTCATCACTTGGAACTCTTGGTTTAAAAGCTTCCTTGTGAGTAGCAAACATCTTTCAGGGAAGGCATAATAGGAGTGCAAGCTCTGGAATTTCGTATCAACTGGGAGATATATACCCCCATAAGAAGGCGCTGCTGAAATGTGCTACATATAAACGGAAAGTTCACAATTCGGAAGCTAAAATCATCTTTGTCGAAAAAATCTGTTCTCAACCGACACTCATTGTCAATTTCTAGTTAAGGTATGAGGCAGGCTTAGATGTATCTGTAGTATCTTTTATTTCAATTTCGACGGGATAGATTCGTTCAACATAGTAGTCAAACTTTGAATTATTTAATGAGAGGACATCATCTATACAGCGGAAATTGAAGTTAAAGGATAATGCTAGCTTCTTTTCATTCTTCCTGAGAAGCTTCTGTTTGAAGTCAGACGCATAAGCATAAAGCAACAGTTCGGCAAGAAATGAAGCACGTCTGGTTCCCATGGGAATGCCGATTGTGTGTTGAAAAACACGTTTTCCAAAATTTTTGAAACTTTTTTGAACTTAAAAAATTGTTTCTTTTTGGTGCATTTCTAAAAAGATCACGGAAAATAAGAAGTTGAATCTGTGTACAGAGATCTTGTAGATAAAATATGCATACTCCCAAATTAGAATTTTTTGAAATGGGAGGAAGTAACAAATTTTGAAATCTAAGAATGATCTAAGTATTTTTCTCTTCAGAACAGATGTTGTAGAAATACATATTTAAAGAATTTTCAGTATTACATAGATTTTTACCTACAAATACGTTTTTATATAGAATCAAGCAAAAGGAAACAAGTCTATGTACCTTCTGCAATGAGGAAGAGGAAACAAAGGAACATTAATTTTATCATTGTAATGTTACCTACAATTTTTGGTTTCCATTTTAACAGAGAATCAAATTATTTGATTATCATTTCAGCATCAGTAAGAGAGAGATTTTGTTGGGATTTATGACAAAGAGTTTGTTTATAATCTTTTAAAATTATTACAGTTAAAAACAACATCTTCAGATGTAAGTTAATAAAAATAGCTCCTAGTGTAATAGGATTAAAATCCAGAATAAAACAATACCAATCTAATGAATTTTATATTGCAAACAAAAAAATAAAGCAAATGCTTATGAAAGATTTTGGTCCCCACTACATAAAATATTTTCGTGATTTCGTATTATTTATACTTTTAATTTTACGGTAGCGAGCAGTTAATATTTGTATTTTACCGTGTGTATAGGCATGCATACTAAAGATTGCAGTGACTTTTTGTTAGTAGTGAGTGAAAGTGTGAGTGTGAGTAGATTTTTTTCAGTAACTATATTCTTGTATAATATATATGAATTTTAAAAACAACATGGATAGGAATGTACATATTAATATATGGTTACCCCAAAAACCATAGTCAGGTGTTGATTGAAGGGGTATTGTGAAATCCTACCTACTGAAAACAAATAAAAGATAAAAAAAAAAAGAAATCAAGCATCTTGATAATGTCAGTTTCAGAGAATATCTTGTTTGCATCAGAATCATGTTTTACTAAGTAAGAGTTATCCCTCTCTTAGACAAAATACTTGTACCTACGTTAACTTTTTTTATGAAACAGAGCAGGACCAATTCTTTCAATTTGTCTTTTAGTTTGGAATGGGGAGTACTTGTGTAAAGGGTAGACAAAGTCAAATATTTTAATACTATTGCAAGAGGAAAGAGACTTTGATTGTTTATAATCCTGTATTAAGTCAGGAATGTGACAGTTGTTTTCCATTCGACGTTTGATGTGTTTAAGCTTTTGATTTTGCCATTTGATAAGGGACTTTCCGTTTTGACTGTTCCTTGGAGTTCAGTTTTACTTTTCAAGTGTAGATTCTACATTGGGAAACTTACTTTTCAAGTGTGGATTGGGAAACTTAAGTTATGATTAAAATATATATTTTTCTTTTTAAATGAATTATAATTGTTTACACCGATGTGAACATTTCAATGATTCAATTTTCAAAAGAAAACTGATCAAAAAGAGATAGGCGAAAGATACAACATGGGCATTCAAACTCTCAAGTCGAAAACAAAACGACAATGCAATGTACAATCCACACTTGAATTTTTTAGCACCACGTCTGATTAACGCCGACCCTAGAGTAGGTAGTTAAACAAAGGCACAGATTGAAATATTTCTGTGATAACAAATATGATGATTGAATAACTTTCAGATTCCAAAGTACAAATAAAATCATAGTTTCTAACCGAAGAAGTATGACAACCAAATATGTTGTGGACACTACATGACAACATATATATGGAAACCTTCTCTATATGCAGACTGATATAAGGAACTGATGCAACATATGAATTATTTCTAAATAATGTGAAGAGGTAAATATCATTTCATAAATATCATTCTGAAAAGAAGTTAACTTTTACGTTTATCCTAATAAAAGATGGGTTAACATGACAAAGCTAAATGACTGTTATCCTGTTCTCCTCGATTGATACATCACCTAATATATACGTGCAATGAGTCACACGACTGGTGCCACATTGTTTTACCTGTTTACCTTTACAGATCACTGTAGTTCACCCTTATTTTCGGTAGGGTTCGTATTCCTCAATTTATCGTTTTCTGCGTATTGTTTATCAATTGTTGTTTGTCTTTTCGTCATTTTCTTTTTTCCGTCGTGGTGTTTTCGGTTTATTTTCGACGTATGAGTTTGAATGTCCCTTTGGTGACTTTCGCCTCTCTTTTCTGTTTGGCTATGGTATTGTCTATTTTATTCGAATTACGGTTTTAATTGCTCCTTTTCGTATTTTCTCATTTTCTCTCAGGTTATTGAAATTAAATAAACATTTGTGTTGGAGCAAATCGCATTACTTGAATTTCGTTATAAGGCGATACTACAAAGTTTCCCATATACTTCATCGCAAATTTCTTTAACAGTCTGCATAGTGCATACATTATTTGTATTCTTTACTATTTGATTTAAAATATTTCTTAGCTGCAATAGACTGAGAAGCAGGTTATTGGAGGGGGTTCTCTTGTGTTTATCTTACTTCCAATTTATATTCATCTTTGGTTGTTTTTTCTGTAAGTTTTTGATCTTAGAGTCTCTGTAGTAGCTTAATTCAGATATGAGTATCGAACGCTGCAAACATAGTTCGTTCTTTAGTCTTCTCAGTGCCAACTATTTCACAGAAGCCTTTTCCCTAATGTATGATTATGGTTTCAAAATTTGAAACGTTATGAACGAGCATATTCACAGCAGCGTTATGAAAAAAGAACGACTGAAATGGACACTTTACAAGTTGTATGATCGTTATCACAAAATGTATAATCTACACGATGGGCTGTATCTCCAGTTACGATAAAAAAAAACTTGTTTACGATCTTAGACATTGAGACATGAGTAGAACAGTCTTTTGATCTGGAGTTTTACTGATTTTGTCAAGAATGTTTTACTGAGTCTGGTTTGCCAAGAGTGACTCATGCATAGCAGGAGAGTGACGTTTACCTCGTCGACGTATACATTCTCACTCCGTTCGGAATTCATTCGATATTCTATGGATTTTTTTATTGTTGTTTGTATTTGCAAATTTAGAACATTAGTAATCTATTACCGCGTATTATTTACTTGCAATAAAACCATTTGGTCGATATTTTGTAAATGAACCCCTCTCAACAAATCGCTATTCTGTGTGAATGAATTATTCCATATTTCGGGATATTTCTAGAACATGCATTGAATTAAAATGACATACAGCATATGCCATGTTGGCAGTGGAGTGATTTTCTAATAAAATATAATTCATTCTTAAATTCGTCTCAAATTTCAGTGCTTTTCTAATTTTCTGATAATATCTAATTAAATTTGTAACTTTTTCTCAGGCTTCATTTAAAATAAAATACAAATAAATCATTAAAATTATGAATATACAAAATGTTTTATTATTATACAATACCTCATGATGATGTAAAACAATATGCAATAACAATTAACAGAAATAAAAAAAAAGATTTCAACACAGTATAAATAGCATCATAATCAACACAACAGACGGGGGCGGATCCAAGATTTTTGAAAAGGGGGCGTAATTCCATAAATCTGAAGATATACCGCCGAGCGTAGCAATGCAAAAAAAAAATTAAGGACGATTTTATGCTAAAAAAATATATATTTTCCAATTCAAGAGGGGAAGTACGACCCCTGCTTCCGCCACTGACATACATTAATGCTCTATCTGGTCATATTATTCCTTTTCAATATAAACAATATCGTGCTACCACACCTAGGATAAACGTTTCAGATCCATGCTCTACGTTTTCTCTCTGCGGGGCGAACATCCTTCTGTGTTTATTCTTTGTTAGTCAATAACAGCGCGCCATCTCAACTTCAGTTAAGTTTGTATTGTTTTTTCATCATTGTTCTTGTCCGGAGATTCGTCTCCACTGTCTGTATTTTGAAAGCCTGGGTTATCTACACCTTCGTTTTCATTTGTGGTTGCTGGGTCTTCAGCTTGAACTATTGATACAGTGTCTTTTACTTTTGGGTCTTCAGCTTGAACTATTGATACAGTGTCTTTTACTTTTGGGTCTTCAGCTTGAACTATTGATACAGTGTCTTTTACTTTTGGGTCTTCAGCTTGAACTATTGATACAGTGTCATTTACTTTTGGTTTTTCAGCTTGAACTACTGAAACAGTGTCTTTTATTTTAGAATCTGACAGAGTCACTATCAAATGAGATTTGTAGACTTCTGGATAGTCTGGATGATTTATGTCTATCGTATCATCAATGACATCTGCGAAACAAAAAAGGCAAATATAAAGTTTTAGGTTAAGAAAATTTATATGTCCGATGGTTTAAAAATTCAATGTATTTTTAGGGTTAGATAGAAGTCAATTACCAATCCGCTATTACGTGATGCCAATTCAGTTAATAAAACTTATCAACGTATTTTATAGGAGTAACACAACAAGTGTCACATGTGGAACAGTATCTGCTATCACTTTCCTACCACCTAAGATCAGCCCTTATGTTGGTGGGGTTTGTGTTGCTAGGTCTTTAGTTTTTAATAAAGTGTTTCTTTGACAGTTGTTCGCCTTTTCGTCGTTCTTCGTTCGTTGACATGATTTTGTTGGTCTCTCTTCAACTTATTAGTTTTTATTTTTCCCTTTGGTGTCTCCCGCCTCTTTTTTGTATAAAGGAAAATCATTCCCACGAAAACAAAAACATAAGGATAAATAGAAAATCAAATTGATGAAATCTGCGCATTGATATATTTAATTGAAGATGATTTTTAAATACAAAAAAGTATCTATGGATAAAAATTATATGAAAGTAGCGTCATTTTTGAGTTGTTCGAAAATATGCTGTCACGATAATTTGCCATCAACATTTTTTTCTCCCCCAAATATGTTAACTGGTAATTAATTAAGAATGGCTTACACAAGCAGCACTGACTTTATATATTGTTCAGAATGTTAGATATACCTGATTCTAAAAGTATTTTTTCCTCATTAACTTGAGTTAATTTTTCTTCATTATGCACTGGAACCTCGATTACATCAGAGTCTTTATGAGATCCGGTTTCTGTCGTTGTAATCTTGTTATCATGTGATGGTTTTGAAATCTCCAGATTTGTATCTTTGTTATCATGTGATGGTGTTGAAAACTCGAGGTTTGTGTTTTCAAGCGGTTCTATTGCAATTTCTGTCATTTCAGGCTTTTCCTTTAACTCAATGAGTTCATCCTTCACCTTTGTCATATCTATTATTTGTATATGTTTATCATTAACATCCGGGCTAGTTGTGCAAATTTCGATGGATTCTTCCTCAATATATCCTATGAAAGAAACAAGTTTTTAAAATGAAGCTCTAATGTTGATCATGTTATGGTCGATCAACAGCATTAGCAAATTAATAGATATATTTAGAATCTAAAAGCAAGAGTTAAACATTTGTGTACTTTACAATTTTTCAATCAACACAGAACTATAATGATGTGCTTGGTAAAAAGTAACATTGTAAAGTTTCTCTGTGTGCTTCCAAAATATTTGCATTTCCCGCTGGCAAAATTAAATTCAGATGGTTTGGGCTATTCTATATATGCAATCCTGGTCTATTAGTTCTTCGACGTTTCATAATTTTGCTTTTCAAGACCTTCCGTCTCGAGCGCAGTACTTATAAAGGTTATTGTAAAAAAAGTCTTGTACGTGCGGCTTTCATATCACAAGTAGCACCTGCGATAATCACCGGTTTTAGGTTGGGTTCGTGTTGCTCAATCTTAAGTTATATCTATGTTGCGATTTGTAGACTGTGGTTTGTCTTATGGTCTTATGGTGGTTTCCCTTTTTTCGCCATGACGTTGTTAGTTGGGTACCAGAATCTGCCGAGGTTTACCGATTAAATGTTGTTACGTTGGGCAAAATTATGGCAAGTGGATTTAGCTATGTAAAGCATTGTCTAACGATTACACCTTCGCAGGATTTTTTATTTGCGTTTATAATTGAAATAAGGAGATGTGGTATGATTGCCAATGAGACAACTATCCATCTGAATTCAACTGACGTGAATGTAAGAAACTATGGATCAACAATGAAAAAAACAATAACGTAAAGTCAGCTCTCGCACATTTATAAAAATAAATCCGTAACTGTAAATTATAATGGCATATACTAGAAGAACGGGAACACATTCTACTGGATTCACACGACACGAGCAACACACCCTGCAAGTTTATATTTCTTTTATAACAGCAAGGAAATGCAAAGATTTTTTTAAAACATATTTACATCAAATTTAATAATGAAATTAGCTAAATTATCAATAATCGTTTCAATCATTGTCAAAAATAAAATTTATATTTTATGATTAAATCAATTACCTTTTTGTAGAAATTTTGGACCAAGAACTGCCATTAAGGTTGCTCCTATTGGTGCACATATTATAATAGCAAGGACTGACAATGTTAAAATATCTGTGGCATATTTTACAATTTCCTGGTCAGGATTTGACATTTCTCGAACTTTATCCAATGCAAGTCCTCCTATAGCAGCCTAAAAATAACAGCAAACATGAGATTGTATTGTAACTAAGAACAACTTACCACGATCCTCTCATCTATTTGTGAAAATATCGCAAAGAACATGTGTCACGATTGAAAACTCCAAAAAATTATTTGAATTAAGAGTAAAGTAGGTGTGTAATGCATTTGCAAACATGCGTTGCAGGATCTCAACAGTGACGACTTCTGATTGCAATGTTGCAAGTTCCCTATTCATATATAACCCGAAAGGCCATGCTAGAACTTGTGACCTTTGACATGTATCTAAGACTTGTAAATAGACAAAAATAATGTGAGCCTAAATCCATAAACTAGAAATTCTACTTAAAAGTACCACTGTTGCAGGTTAGGGAGAGGGTTTGGTGTCTGGTGGAGAGTTTTCTCATTGGCAATTATACCACATCTTCTTAATTCTATGAGGGGCGTAAAGGGGGGAGGGGTATCTGCACGGAAGAACGCGAAATAAAAATTGCCATTTCACGAAAAAACAATTAAAAATTTCTTGCACGTTGATCTTTTTACCGATTTCACGAAACACGGTGAATAACGAACCTTTTTCACGGTTGCACGTGAAATAAAAATGGCAAAACACGTTGCACGAAAATAATCCTTTACCACCCTCTTCTATTATGGGTTCAGTCGCGGATCATGTAAGACATCATGACAAATCATGAAAAAGATGAAGGTATTCTTTGTGAATGGTTTAAGGCTGTGGGAACAGATCAGAATTATAAAAATATGATAATAGGTCTATGAACAGTCATGTTAAATATATTAAAATGTTTCAAAACACTAGTCTATCTCTATGACTTTTTTTTTGTCCCTGTAAAAGCCAAAAATATATATATTGTTTGTCTGCATGTAAATCACATCATATTTAAACTGCTTTTTCAAAGGAAAAAAAATAAATAGAGAAACATATGTCTACAAGAAGATTTATGTAAGGATTTTTGTTTCAATGCATGAAGTTTACCAGAAAAGGGATTGGTTGATTGTTGCTTGCTTAACAGTTTAGTGGCAAATATTTACCAAAAGAGGGATAGGGTTGGACATAGGTATCTCTTACTGAAGCGTTATAAAATTACCTGCACAGTAGCTTTGGACAACCAGGTCAGAGTTATAAAAATTCTTTCTTTGATATTAAATCCAGTACGAAGTGTAACTGTAAAGTCTACTCCACTTCTCACTACTAGGCCAATTGCTAGTGTTAGGATTCCCAAACCTGTAATAAAGAAGAAAGTACAATGAAATATCACCACAAGGGTAGCAAAAACCCACTAGACCAGGGGAAAATTACCATATCAGAGAGGCGACCTTTGAACTGAGATTCAAATTAAATATGTATGACTGCAGCGGGACAAGAAAAGGGTAACCTGACAAGAAGGATTTTTTCGTAATATAGGTGACCTTCATAGAAGGTTTGACAATTCATATGAGTTAAATGGCATATGTGGACTCTTGCTGTTGTAAAAGCAATGCGTTTTTTTTCATTTGGTTTTTTTTTCTTCATTCAAATGCCATATACTGCCGCATTACGTTAAATGCAAAATCCAAATTGTCAATGCATATAAAAAGATACAAACAGATATTATTTGATTGGCCGAGAAAAACCTTTTTCTAATCAAGCCTTAATGTAGAATATATAGCATTAAATAGAACTTAAATTTCCAGACATTTTGTTACCAAAATTTTCCATAATTTCCCTACTTTTCTGTTGTTTTTTCAAGGAGGGTCGTGGTGCTCAGTCATTAGTTTTCCATGTAGAGTTTGTGAACTTTTTTTCGAATTTTTCGTTTTTTTGCCATGGCGTTGTCAGTTTATCTCGATGTAAGACTTTTGAATCCCCCCTTGATATTCTCCGCCTGTTTTTTCCTCTCCATTATTACGGACAGCAGAAAGCACTTTTGAGGAATGGTGAGAAGGCAATAGACAACAAAAGATTACGACAAATAAAAAAAAAAAATTGTGTTGTCTTAAAAATACCAAACACGAAATAGTCGCATTTTTGAAAATATATCAATTTTTTTATTCGAAGAGATTTAAAAGCCGACATAGATGGTCAAAAACTACATTCAAGTCTGAACAATTGTCCATATTATAGCATTGGCTGATCATGTCTTTTTAGTACCCACCAGCTGTACTTGACTGTATTTTCCCAATATCAACTGCTGCGCCGATCAATCCGAAAAGAAAATGTTGAGCAATCAACCACACCAAAGCCATCACACCGGATACTTCGTCCTAGATACGAAAAAAATACATATCAGGTATTAGACATTATAGACTACAAGAGGAAGGCCACATTATTTAATACGCTGTAGGGACTGAAAACTTACAGAAATATAGGTTGATATCTTGTAAAACGATGTTTCAACCGTATTTTTGACAATTTCTCCTTCTTAGATTTTACCAAATCTCTCGTCCTGGATTCATAAGTGACCCTGGGAAGTAATATTGTTCAGCCATTAATAACTTGATACCAGAGGGTCTAGATAGCGTTTACAGAATAGAGAATAATGGACCAAGAGTACAGAAAAATGGAGCATAGAAAATAAAGAATAGAGAATAATAGGGTTCTGGAATATAAAGAATAGAGAATAATGGTGTGCTTAAATATAAAGAATAGATAATAATTGGCAAAATAGATAAAGAATACAGAGAAATGGCTTTAACAATTGAAGAATACAGAAGTGTAGACCCCGCCATCCCCACCCTCATACTATATTAGTTATTTACCTGTTCACCTGGTTTACGGCGTAGTCGCCATTTGTAGCCTGCAACAGTTGCAGTCGTTAGACATCCAAGGGGACCAGCTCCTGATAGTCCAATTTCTGAACTTCCAAATATGGCTATCATTCCGAATCCAAATAACAACAAAGAACGATAAAACACTTTATTTGCCTACAAATATGAAAATTGATGATTACTAGTATACCTATTAATCAAACAAGTTTTGTAAACATCGTAAAGATAAATTGATACAGAGATTTCACTGGTATCCAGTTAAATCTAGTTTGTGTTCTTTACAAATTTAGTTTTGTCTAGTATGTTCAGATAACAAAAGTACATACAAATACCCTTGACTCCACTTCATCTTTTGACTATATAACATCCGATTTCCTATCTAATGTAAATTTAGATTTTTTTAATGTTTTGATCATTGCGATGGTATAGGTTTTGCAAAAAATAAAAAAACTTGCATTCATAATAATGGATATCATTTTGTATGCATCATTTTCTGAAACAGTAATAATTATTAATCGCATTGTTTGTTCATTGTATCACAATTCGCAATGATAAATGCAAGCGAACATTTCTGGGTTTACAGTTTTTTTTGTACAAATATGTGTGCCATCGTCAAACACATGAACCATGAACCATTTTATAACAAGCTCATTGTATCTTTAATACTTACGCTGTCTTTCGAAGGAATGTACCATAGAAATACCCCGGCTACAAATCCATACACTATGCCTACAAATACCCCTAAAGGACCTTTCACAATGGTCACAGCTAGATCACCTAAAATAAGAATTAATTGTTTTAACCTTTTTGGTTTATTAATAAGTTATTTAAGGAATGACTGTTATATTTTTTCTGTCTATGAAGAAATAACATAAAAAATGTGGTGCACACTGAATAACCCGCGTAGCGGGTTATTTCAAAGTGTGCACAACATTTTTTATGTTATTTCGAATAGACAGAAAAAATATTACAGTCATTCCTTATTATTTAATTCTAAATTGCATTTTTAACCGGAGTAAATCATGAAAAAACGTTGATGACGTCACGGTCACATGACAAAATTATGTCTATTTGAGCTGATAGACAAAACACTGTCAGCCAATCAGAAGACGCGTTACATCCAAAATTAAATTATTTGTCTACATTTTCATTTTCATTTTTGTATTATTGAGTACTATGCCATAAAAAATATATGGATAAATTCTTTTGGTCATTGTATTTACGCATCTCGTCTATGCGGGTTCCTTGTGACGGTGAATCAAGGAAAATGCGTCGATAGCAGCAAAAACAAAATAAGAAAATGGTTGTCTTATGTCATATGTATTTCTTTTTGTTATTTTTAAAAAAAAAATCGGAGTTGATGGAAGATCGTTGATATTTGATGCTTAACCTATTCTCATTTTGCTATAGAGTTGACTATCTAGAGTTTTAGATATGGTATTGTCAACTATCATCGTTTTATACTGTATGCTCCCTCTAGATATATTTAGGATATTTCTGTCGTTGGGTTGCTGTCTCATTGACGTATGCCCTACACCTCCTTTTATCATCCTATTTATATTCAAGAAAGACAGCGGACGAATTTCTGAATTTAATTGTCGAAATATTCGATATAATGATAGTTTAACTCTCGTTTGGCAAAAGGCTAATGAGTTCGGCTGTTGAGGGCTATCTTTCGTTTAGTATTTCACCCACAACCGACAGTTCAGCCTTCGCTTAAACGGAATCGACACGGACTGTTATTGTATCACGTTTTGCAATTATTTATTGCAAGACCCATACGAAACATGGTAGCGTCGCTGCTTGTACATCTGAATTAAATTTAAGACTTTGATAATTTAGAAAAAATATTAAATATGAACTTATTATTTTGACAGTTGTGGTTCCTACCTTCAGAAAATATAATTCCCATGAAGACAGAAAAACCTGTGACACACAGGACATTGTCAAGTCCTCCAGCAGCCAATAGCATTGTTGGAATTCCCTTTGCAACTCCGTACTGACGATCTTGTAAATTCACGAGGGAGGGTACTGTTACAGCTGGTGACAAAGCTCCCAGAATGCATCTTGAATAAATAAAAAGTAATTCGTTGAATACCAAAATCGAATCATCTTTTTTAAATCAAAGGCAGATATGAATACTAGATATTATTCGAGCATTAGTGTGGTGGAGGTAGAATAGTAATAAATGATCAAGACCCTTAAAAACCTGCAACAACGAAACATTGACGGATTTTTTTTTTGTATAAAAAAACAAAACAAATAAAAATAATTGATAATAACGATGACATTCTCAATGGTATTTGCTTCAAAGGTAATGTGTTCTCTCGAAGAATATAATTATAATATCATATTCATACAAAATTGTAATTGACTTTTACAATTGTTTTAGAATAAAGAGGGCATGCACTTCAGCTAGGACAGTAAAATGCGATACTGGATGACAAAGTATAAGTGAGGGTCTAGATAAGAGGGGCCGGGGGGGGGGGGGGGGGGGGGGGGGGTATTTCCGTCTTGTTTGATTTTTTTTAGTCATTTTTCTGTATTCTTTATGTTTGTGTCCACTTTTTTCTTTTCCTATTTTTTTCTCTCAGTCATTGTTCTCCATTGTTTGCCTGTTCTGTAAACTCCATCTACACCCTCATAAGTTGGAATGAAATTACCGTAGAAATATGATATTCGAATAAAACTCCGAAACAGTGGTAATTTTTTTTCTGCAGCGGTTTCGGATTTTAATTCGAATGAAAACCGTCCATGTTGACCTACCCTAACATGAGGCTCCATATCCATGGAAACCCGAGGATAAAGTGTGATGCTATTCCCACTGTTATTATCTCACAAGTACATGGTAAGAATGCCAATCGTATAACAGCCCATGATAACTTTCGTAACTTCACAATATCTAGACCAAGTCCTGCCCTGGTTAATATGACAGTTAAGGCAATTTTTCTACAAATATATAAGTAAAACATTATTCATATTGATTAGTTTTGACTCATGGAATGAAAACGACTATTATATGTTAAAATTAAATGAATAAGTATGAAATCAATTAATTTAGCTCATTGTAGGCGTTTATCAACTTGAGAAAAATATACTTAATATACTCAAAAGCACTTACAATAAAAATCAGAAAGCAAAAGCACTTAACTCTTAAATAACGGAATAAAAGATAGTGTGAGCATATTATTGTCCTTCAAAATAAGATGTTACACGAAATAAACATATTTATAAGAACACGTATACAGTTTGTATATCAATCTCTACAAATCAATGTTATTTTTATCAAAACTTGCCTGAGTGCACCTGACCATTTAGAGTCGATACTTTCACCAATCGTGTTGACGCCTGGTATATTTCTAAGCAATACTCCAACAATTAACATACCTAAATGCACAATACAGTAAAATCATTATCAACAAAACTATACTGTTAGTATCCTATAAACGAGAGACTGGGATAGAGCGTATTCTTTCATAAGCAATCTACAGTCTTCTTTTTTGTTCAATTTAATTAAGGAATGACTGTAATATTTTTTCTGTCTATGAAGAAATAACATCAAAAATGTGGTGCACACTGAATAACCCGCGTAGCTGGTTATTTTAAAGTGTGCACCATATTTTTTATGTTATTTCGAATAGACAGAAAAAATATTACAGTCATTTCTTATAATTTAATTCTAAATTCCATTTTAAACCTGAGTAAACCATGAAAAAACGTTGATGACGTCACGGTCACATGACAAAATTATGTCTATGAGCTGATAAACAAAACAACGTCAGCCAATTAGAAGACGCGTTACATCCAAAATTAAATTATTTTGGTATAACCAGTATTTTCTTCTGTGCTAAAGTGTAAAGCGCAATGACCATTCATCTTTTTTAAGGGATTCGAGCATATTTTCTTTAAATGCATTATTAATTTTTAATTTCTTGGGGGAAAAAGTTTCAGATTAGAAGTTTAAATGATGTCGCTTTACTTCGACAGTCAAAAATAGACAACATAACTGTCAGATAATTTCAGGTACACTCGGAGACAGTGGCTAGCAATTACCATAGATCGACTAAGATACAATTGTAAGCCATACACTGCCTTTTCTATTCCTTATCCAACTTTGTATTTAAAAAGACCCCTTCATTTCAGTATGCCAATGTCATGTTATTATATATAAAAATTAAGAAGATGTGGTATGATTGCCAATGAGACAACTCCACCAGAGACCAAATGACGTAGAAGTTATTATACATTTTTCTCATACATTTATCAAATTCGTTTTTTTACACAATATGCCATTTTTATTAGTTTTACAAGGATAAAGTTTATTAGGGTTAAATAAAAGGAAATAAATTATAAAAAAAACTTATTTAGTTATCTTACCTAACAAAGGAGGAAGTCGAATAAGAGAAATAAAATAGCCTCCAATAGCACAACCAATAAACAGTATCAATAAAGAAAATAAATTTCCTCCTGGAAGTGCTTGCCCGTGAGTTAACGAATAGATGATAATCCACAACTGGACGCAGACGACAGTAAACTGGAGGTAAGTGGCCACATTTCCATGAAGAGGTAACATGAATGCATGTTTGAATCGCTGTCCTCGTGATGGATTCTCAGGCAGGGGGTTGTGGCTTGTAAGACATGGTATACAGCACGTGGTACATGTATCTTGTATCTGGTCTATTTTACTTGGTGTTTTCTTTGATTCATGGTCTTTTTTGTTCGGAATGTCAACTTCATCTTCATGTCCGTTTGGAATCTTTCCGTTTCCGGTACCATGTTTTACGTCTCGTTGGCGTATATCAGATGTTCCGTTCATTGTTATTGCATTTGTTTCTGAAAAATATGGGTTTCGTGTTAATACTACACTCCTGATGAATGATATTGTCATATGCTGTATTTGCATAGATATTATATGAATACGAAAAAGGACATAGTCCTATATGAGGCTTATGGGTATACGTTTGTGATAGAAACAACCTCAAAACAATAAAAAAAATAAAAAAAGACATCTAGAAGTCAAAAATATAATTATATTATTTTTAAATTGTTCAACTACAGGATGTTTTAATTTTATTATAATTAGACAGGTCTTTTTTATGTATATTACCAGAGACATATGTATTATGTGTCTCTGATATTACGTTTGAGGAAACAACTATATTTTGCTAGGGAGGAGTCTATGTTTGTATAAAAAACAATCTGTCCTTATTTTTGAAGATTATATTGACAAAAAATTGTAAAGTTTCAAAATTCGTTGAAAAATTTGATTCTAAGATTCAAAAAAATAAAAAAAAATTACTAGTATTTCAGATAAAACAATTTGTTAACAAATATGTGTCACTTCAATGTCAATCTAACACAGGATGGACCAATGTGTTAACTAGTATATCGGTCACTTGCCAATCTAACACGGACGGGACCAATGTGTTAACAAGTATCGGTTTCTTACAAGCTTGTCACTCAAACACGGAATGGACGAATTTGTTTACAAATATGGGTCATTTGTTAATCTTTTGTAGAACTCATTGTGGAAAAATTGAAAAATCCCCTGAAATTCCGTGTGACGTTATAATTTAATGTTTATGGGGGCATGAAGATTATTTATAGTACATCGGCGACCGTCAATCACTACACATATAGTATACAATGAATGCTTATAAAATATTCAAAAAAATAAGTGTATGAACTTTACAATGAAAATATACCTCGAGGCATATTGTTGTCTCTTACATGGTGTTATTATAATGTCAACAAAAACAAAAATAAAGCGTACTGGTTTAATTTTGTCATAGTCTTGTGAATGAATACATGTAAAGTTCTAAAAAAAACATATGCATAGTTACAGAGAATATAATATTACGATGAGAACAATTATTGAAAATGCAATGAGCTGAGCGAAATACAAATGATTAATAAATACTATTATAAAATAAGATATTGAACAAAAGACATATATTATTATGGTATTAATATGCATATATTGGTTTTGTTTAACCAGGATCATATATTTTAGCTTAAATAAATAGTATTCACATTGTTAATTTGGCATTATTTTAGGTATTTGTTTCTTTTCAAAAGTACCATGGCATAACATAATAATATTCGTCACCGATTTCAGATGAGTCGAAAAGGTGACACAATCAATCAGTTCTTGGTATAGTTTACCATCTTTTCGGTTCAGTTTGCAAACGGTTATTCCAACATTTACTGACTTACATATAGCAGCTTATATAATAAACATGGTATTTTGCTCTCTTTTCCTTCTTGTAAGCCACACCAGAAATTGATAAGACGTTACTTGACGGTTACATGAGATAAAGTATCTTCCCAATTACCCACTGCATCATGAAATTCGGGTTTAGTTGCATCAGACGTAATATATTATGTTTGCAGAACGCAAATGGACTTATTGTATCTAAAATTTCCAATCCCCACATTTTAGTATATAGGTTCAATTATAATAGCTTTACCAAACATATCGTGTTGACAGTCGAAACATGTGCCTTTTGAACCTTTCTTTGATTTGTGAAAAAGGTTATGTTGAAGGACAGGAAAGCTTTAGTCTTTTTTCTCTTTCACATCAAAATGCAATAGTTTAAACCACCTAGTGAGTGTATATATTCCAGTATAATGTAAAACACAGGTCTCAACTGATATGAATGTTAAAAGTCTTAGCATTGCATACGCTTGTCTTTATTACCCATTAAGTTATAGACCAACCGCCCAGTTTAGAAAATAAACACTTGAGCTACCAATTTAATGTGTTTCCCCTGACAACAGATTCGTACATCGTGGTTTTCTAAATGTACTATGATAAATTCTCTTTAAAGCATCACCCCCTTTTGAAATAAAAAAAATCGTTCGACACTATGTATCCGAGTTTTATAAAATGTATTTGGTCTGCAAAAGAGACTAATCTCTACCCTTTTAACTTTGAGATATACAACTTACTTACCCATGTAACCCCATGCAAGTTTTATTCCTTAAACTACTTTTTTTTAAATTCATCATTTTTCATTCTCCAATGAGATTAAAAAAATCTCGCTTGACCTTGTACGGGTTATCATCCCCGATAAATACATACGTCCAAAATTTGAACCTTAATTTTGGATAAAAGTTCATGGTTCATCATTCTTGACTTTAAACTGTTAAAGTAATCTAACATCACCAAACATGCGTGATATTGATGATATCTCCAATAGTTTATTTATATTTAACTTGCTGTAATTCCTGACGGGTGCCACTAGCGGAGCTGGAACTTCTGACGGGTGCCACTAGCGGAGCTGGAACTTCTGACGGGTGCCACTAGCGGAGCTGGAACTACTTTCACTTCCGGAGAACCTGATTTCACTTGCAGTGTGTGTTGGGATCGTGTTGCTAAAACTTTATATTTCTGTTTAGTGTTTTGTGAACTGGTATTTATCTGTTCGTTTTTTTTTCTTTTTGACATGTCGTCTTTTTCAACCTATGGTTTTTTATTGCCTTTTTTGTATTTTATCCTTCCTCCCTCCCCCTTTTTTAAAAAACTTTCCAACATATAAGTAAAGATAAAAAATATTATAATAGTGTCCTTGGGGGACAGCCTTGGTCTGTTGAAATAAGTGAATCTAATTTCTTCGGGATAAATTCCGTTTACTGAACCCGTTCAATCACGAACGAATAAGCATCAGTACACTCCGGGAATTTAAATTTTTTTTTTTTTAACTATTTGGTCATTTGATTTGAAAATATACCTTTGAAGACCCTATATACGCACCGGTGCATTACAACTGCGCGCAGCTTTTGGTTACATTTGCGCGCATTCATTTTTACAAAAATACATGGATGTGCTGAATGAAATTGCTCATTGTAGTGAGCAAGGAATTATTCCGGGCCATTTGTAGAAATTCAATATGAAAAATATGTAATTTAAAATTATAGATATGTTCAAAATTGATAACTATCGACATATCTATTATGAAGTATCTTTATATTTATCTGTGTTACCTGTAAAATGAATGCGCACAAACGCAAAAGAAATAATCCCCAAATGCACGCAAATGTAATGCGCCCATGCGCACACATAGTGAAGAACAATATTTTGGTTTATATTGCGCAGAAATATACTAGACGTAAGCCAGCATGTTGTTTATATGGTAACAGCATCTTCTAAAACTCTTTAGATAACATAAAAAAATCAGTTATGAATTCGAACTTAAGACAAACCGTCTAACATTCAACTTAAAAAAATAATCGAAGATTAAGGGGTTAAAGTCCATGAGACAGAAGCAAGACAATACAAAAAAAAGAGATAAAAAAAACCAAAAGACATCAAGAGGTTGCAATTAATTTCATTTTGACTAAATTTTTTTTATTTTAGAATAACATTGTAGGTTAAAATATACATGACTTTTTTGTACTAGATTTTGAAATGCCTGTGGTATTTCCTTATTTAAATAATTTAACCACTAGATTGCTGTACAAAAATTGTGACATATTATCAAATAATGCATACAAGTCAAGTATGTTTTATATTTAAGAGTGACAACATTCTGTTACAGAATTCTGAGGTCTGGGTTACAGGGCTTTTTAGTCAGTTTTATTAATGAAAACTGTAAAATTGTAAGAGTTAATATAATTACTTAATATGTAACATATCTTTTCGTTATAATTGCATGTTTAAAATATTAATTATCTGTAGTTTTTGTCTTTTACAAGGTTAAAACACTACTACATTTACTGTCCTAAGGCACGATGGCATGCAACGACATTTAAAATAACACGTGACGTTTAGCCCTTATTCATTTGATGGTACACAATTACTATGTACAACATGACCACAACAACCTTATTGGTGTGTAGTTGAAAATTGCAGTATTTTTCATTTGTTAATGATGTCAAACTTAAGGAAAAATTGTTAAAACTATATTTATAAACCTATAATGGGTTACTTGTATAAATTGTAACGGCTTGGATGGAGAGTTGTCTCATTGGCACTCATACCACATCTTCCTATATCTGTTTGCTTAAAAATATCGTTGTTGGATTAGAATTCTAGATTAGTAATCACAATGCTTAATCAAAAAGAGGAAAGGGGGAAAAGATACCAAGGAGGCACTAAAAATCAAAAGTTGTAGAAAGCCTTAATAAGTATAAGGCATTTATACCAAAGTTTTCTCCATAAGTCCAAACGAAACTAGCTACTTTGCCGGTTGTTTTTTAAACTTTTTATTCATTTTCATTGATCAATGTCTACTCAAAGCAGTTTATTTCAGTTGAAAATGAAGCAACATTCTAGAGCACATTTCTAAAATCGATTTTAAACCTTTAAAGCTATTCCAATTTGTGGTCTATAAAGTTATATAATTGCGAAAACAAAGAACACACCCTATTACCGGTTATCGGTACGGCAGATGCAATAGATTAGGTGTTCTCGATTGCTATTCAAATCTGTTTTACCTATTATATCTGCCGTTCCGAAAGTAATAGGGTGTGGAGAATTTGATAATTGATATAAAACAGCATTTCGTTTTATAATATTTACTAATAGATATGACATGTAAAGGTCCAACACTTAGTGTCCTGGCTGATGATGTTGTTCTCTTTTATTGTATGTATAATTGACAATTTTCATTGTAGCTTTTGACCCTATTGTGATCTATATTTGTAAAAAAGTTAGTATCATTATGTTATAATTGCACATACATGTATGCAATACTGGTAGGGACATCCTATTTTGAATTATCTAATTTCCAAATTTCTAACTTGGAAGTTAGAAATATAAACCTGGAACTGAGAAATGTCAAGTTCTTGAAGCTAAGAAATGTCTCCTTGAAATTGAGAACTGTCAAGTTTGAAATGAATAATTTTAACAACAGAATGTCCCTACCGGTTTTTTCGTACACATGTTATTGATGTAAAAAGTAAATTATAAATCGAAGAAAGATGCATGCAAAATAAAATAGTAACTGGAGTACGAAATACATTGTAATTAGATGCTATTTGATGAAAATATAGAAAACAGAAAAAGATATAGAAAGACAGAACGAATTAAGGAAACCATTTACAAGGGGAGTGGTTTTCATTAAGGACTAATTAAGAAATGAAAAAAACATGGAGGTGATGTCCCCCGGTATGACGTATTAATTTGACATGTGGTAAAAATAATGTCCGAGCAAAACAAATTTATGATGTTTTGTGTCGGATAAGTGAAAAACTAGACAAGAATAGTTGTAACATATCTATCAACCATTTATGGACAAATGTCAAAAATGTCATATACGTGCCAGCCAATTTTACATCGTCTCAGTTTGGGTATTATTTTCATTTCAATAAAAAAAAAACGTTATTTATCTTAATTTAAAAGACAAAAAAATTGACAAAATATCAGATTTTGAAACGGTTCCCACTCCTTAGTGTACTGCAACCAGGGAAGATTCCAAAAGATTTTTAGGAAGGTTGCGGGGCCACGAGGCGAAATCCCCCTTATGACTGAATTTTCAGTCTGACTTTTGCCGGTTGACTACACCATATTTTTGTGGGTCCTTACGGACCCCCTTTTGAAAGTCCTGGTTCCACCACTAACAACCCATAACAGGTTTGGTTTACTGACAAAAATAGAAAAATGTTTGGAAAATTAAGATCGCATGAGATTTTGACAAACATGTGCATACAAGATAAAATTTCCCTGATTAATTCACTAGAAAGATGAAGAAGAGAAAGTGCTTTATTACAAATACAAAAAAACATATACACTCAAATAAAAAGTATGTTTAATTATAAGAAATAACATCGCAGGCAATGGAGATGTACATGTGTGCTTCATTCGACAGTTCCCACAAATATTTGAAGACATACCCTTTTAAAACGAGATAGGTATGTAATTGTCTGGCACGTTAGTGTTCTGATAAGTTTGTATAGGATTTCAAAATTTTTATGTTATTTTTTCACCCTTCAATCCTTGAGATTTTCCTTGGCCATTTCTATTATCGGAATCTGTTCTTCAACTTTATATATAGCATGGAAAGCTTACATTCATTGCAACCGTATTAAAATGCAGAATAAAAATTTTCATGTGTATGTAATTAATTAATAAGTTATTTGATTTCTGCTTCGAACTAATGGTTGCTGCACTATTTACGTGCACCCGTATCACACAAAAAATAAAAAGATGTTCATTTGTATGTAATATATTATGGAATTTGATGACTGCTTCGAACTATTGGTTGCGGCACTATATGTATGTAATGTTAATATGCATACATTAACATATAAACAAAATTAAATAAAACATTTAAATTCATACCTGATTCCGACATTCTGATGCCTCTATTTCAAAACAAACAAAATCCCAACACAATTAAATAAAATATTTAAAGTCGTACCTGTTTCCTCAATTTCGAAGCTTCTATTTCAAAACAAACAAAATTCCAATGCACACTTAAATAAAATATTAAAATTCTTACCTGTTTCCGCAATTCAGATGCCTCTTTTTCAAAACAAACAAAATTCCAACTGACAAAAAAATATATCTTAATGGTCCTGCCTGTCACTCTAACATGTGACAACCGTAAGATGGCAATGCATCAATGGACGTATGTATGTCAAAAGCGTAATTGTTTAGAATACAGAATTTTATGTCTGTTATATTAAGTTGTTCTTTATTTCGTCACTTTACGTTACACAAAACGATAAATAAAAAAGGTGTGACAAGATATAAAATACGATTTATTACAGTGGTCAACCTTGAGTCATATTGATGAGGGACACCTAGAGACGTAACTAGACACGGAACAGAGTAAAGGCACTACATTGGGATTTAAGGATCGCGGATACCACGTCTTAGTAGGACTGTGGGAAGATGTGGGGAACCGCTCTCCATCCAACGAATCTAGTATTGAATTTATTGGCAATGAATAGAAAGCTATAATAACGTGCAGAGGCTGATTTCGGTGGGACCCAGGGGGCCTAGACCCCATTTATGGAGCTACATATATAGTTTATGCATGGCATGTCAACTTGTCCCATTCCTAACGTTTGCTCGTTTATGGCCCCCCTTTTCAAAATCCTGGACTCGTATCTGATGTGTTGGCTTTGCTTCGAAAAATATACAGGTTTCCTACTAACAGCGAAATTCAAAAATAAAGCTTCTTCACAGAGGTATCTTAAATTTTCAGTGTATCATAACATTTGGTTCAACACCGCGCTCCCTCCTCAACGATGCAAATCTCGCAAATAAACATTTAATAAGAAGTTTTAAAATGTAAGCAAGGGGATCTCGAGATATAGGATATATCTAGCTCCCTGAGTTTGAACAAACTAAGAATAAATTCAAAAATGACTATCAAAGAATTAGAATTAACGCCAAACTATTTTTAAAGACGAAACAGAAAAAAAAAAGAAAAAAACTAGAGGCTCTCAAGAACCTGTGTCGCTCACCTGTCTCTACTGTGGTTTTTGAAATAATGCAAAATAAGGTTAAAATCATAATAAATAGTATTAGATACCCTAATAATGATTGAGGCCAAGTTTGGTTTAATTTGGTCAAGTAGTTGAATTAAAAGCAGGTCATCCCATTGTAGTCTTACAATAGTTACTGACGACCCCTTATCATTATATAAATTAGTTTTCAAGTTGTGACCATCTGAAAATGGGTTTTTTTACAATCTTCCCATAAATTTCTATAGTAAACCCCTATGTTCTATTTTTAGCCATGGCGGCCTCAGGGTTGGATGACAGGGTCATCGGATACATGTTTCAATCAAGATACCCTATTGAAAATTGTGGCTAAGTTTAATTCTATTTGGCCCAGTAGATTAAGTGGAGAAGATTTTTGTAAAAGATTACGAAAAATTTAAGCAAAATTGTTAAAAATTGACTATACAGGCAATAACTCCTTAAGGGGTCAATTGACAATTTTGGTCATTCGACTTATTTGTCAATCTTACTTTGCTGAACATTTAACTGTTTACAGTTTTTCTCTATCTATAATAATATTGAAGATAATAACTAAAAACTGCAAAATTTTCTTAAATTACCAATTCAGGGGCAGCAACCCAACAACGGGTTGTCTGATTCGTCTGAAAATTGTAGGGCAAATAGATCTTGACCTGATGAAGAATTTTACCTCAGATATAAGCCAAAATCTACATTTTATCCCTATGTTCTATTTTTAGCCGTTGCTGCCATGTTGGTTTGCAGGCGGGGTCATCGGACACATTTTTAAACTAGATACCCTAGTGATGATTGTGGCCGAGTTTGGTTAAATTTGGCCCAGTAGTTTCAGAGGAGAAGATTTTTGTAAAAGTTAACGGACGATGGCTGACGACGGACGACGGACGACGGACGACGACCGCCAAGTGATGAAAAATGCTCACTTGGCCCATTGGGCCAGGTGAGCTAAAATTACAAGTATTCCACAAGGTTCTAGATTTAGGACATTCATATTCATTGATTCATTAACCTGTTATGCTTTTCCTTAAACATACTACTGATCTATAGAGATTGCCCGAATTTCAACATTCAATGCATCATCTTGCAATTGCCATTCATGGCCTTTAATGATTGACTGCTGGTTAGGAATAAAAATAAAGAGTGCCATAATTTAGGTGCCATAATTTCTTTTTGTATGAATAACACTAAAAAAGTATTTTTCGATTAAAATAAAACTATTTTCGTCCTTACCATGCACTAACCACCACGTACAGTAGTGCATATTCTATACTGGAGGCATGAAGAAAGGTAACTATGCTAGACTATTTTCAAAGCAACAGAAAATAACAAACGTAACAACTTCGACTGGAACCAGCAGAATCTTTTAATCGAAATATAAACTAACTGAATCTTTAAATCGAAATATAATAACACAACCTTCGAAAATCAAGTAATTCCAAAATAAGTTAGGAAGAAGGTCACGGGGTATGCGGTTATGCTGACTGTTGAATTATTTGGTAAGATCTCCCTGTAACTGCTTTATATTTCAAACTTATTTTTTTTATTACAGACTATAGTTTGAATTCCAAAAAAAAAACAATTCCGGTTATAATATAAAACGAATGCTCCATATGGTGTTTCATTATCTTATTCTGATAATACATCTTAAACAGCAAGTTTAAAGCCATTTTTAGCCACTCGTGGTCCCGTCTCGAATGCCGGATGTCGAGCCGGGCCAAACTAAAGAATTGAAAATTGAAATGTGCTTCTTCTACGCTTAGCATGCGGCATTAAGGAATAAGAGCAAAGAGTCTTTGTCCTGGAATCAGACTAATGTGTCCAGTCCAGATATATCTTCCGTTAACATTAAAGATAAAGACAAAACTTATGAAGGTCGATCATGTGCAAAATCTGAAAATGAAAAAAAAAAATATATTTTTGTGTTAGGGAAAGTTAAATCCAGTCACTTTGTATTTGCTTTTGAAATGAATCTTCAGCATACATTGATATATACCTAGGTCAAAGTTGCGTTAAGTCTTTTGACAAGAAAGAATTCAGGATTTTCAAGAGGCTTTTCACTGACGTTATATATCATGAATGTATGTCTCTAATCATTATGTGTAGTTGTTTAATAAACATTGATAAAGAAAGAATGATTTTGACGTTGAAAATATTGTCAAGTTTTATTAGAATGTTATTCTTCGGTCGCTTTTTATATATACGTGTGGTTTTCTTTCTGACTATCTTGTAAGTTTTAAAAACTTTACTTGACACTTTACACCTATGCTTCCTTGAAGAGCTAGTAATATTTAGTGGTTTGAAAAGGACAAATAACATTAACAATAAATTCAAAAAGAAATAACTGACAGAAGATATTTGTTTTAATATGACAAGGACGACTTTTACATGACAAAAAAGTTTTGTGCATCATATAACGTTTATTCTACATTTGAAAAATGGCAGAAAATTGGTTTTCAAAAACAAACCTTTCCGTCATTTTTCACCTTTTCAATGTCATATTCATCTAATGACCTCATATAACATGTATTTCGATTTCAATTCAAATTTCATGGAGTCAAGGTACAAACAGTCACAAAGAAGTTGAAATTGGACAAAATCGGAATGGGTTGAGACCAGCTTCGTCGACAGGATAAGCATCTCTTTCTATGCATGTACAACTATAATATACGAGTACTACATATATTTCTTTCAATTTGCAGATCAGCTACTACTTCGAGCACATAAAGAATCATTTCTTTGCATAATGTTTTATCAATTATTTGTATAATTGACTGTGTGTTGAATAATTGTCACCTGGACTTCTAGCATCCTGCAATAAAAGCTCTGCTTAGGCGGGTACTCGGTTTGATTGTGTAGGATGTTTAAAGACTCATCCACGCAATGTAGGTGTTAAATCCGATGTCTCCTGTATGGAGAATTTCACGCTCTGTTCACGTAAGAGGGACCTTGAAAGAGTTCTTGGCTAGTTGCAAAGCAAATATCTTATCCAGATACCCTCTTTGACAGTAGCAGTACAAATTTCTCTCCCTTTAGCCTGGTCGATTCTCTTTGCAAAACCTTCCCATTACCATAATTACTGAGATTTATAATTGATAAAATATTCTCGTCCTGAATCTGCATGATATATTTACCTCTGATCATTAAGGATGTTCGCTCCTCTTGTTTTTGAATTTTTGCCAGATATTTGGAATCCTATGGTTTTATCCATGTAGTTCCATTAAACATTTTGCCCGCTAACCCCTATTTTTCTTTTCATAATTTTATTACATAGAGTTTAAAAATCCATATTTGAAAATCCTCTAAAATTCTTGTTATTTTTTTAATAGTTTTTGAAAGGAAAAGGGTGCCAATGTTAAATGTATGAAAAGTCTAGAGAGAATCATTTCCCGCCATTTTCAATGGTTTATATATAGAAAACAAGCACACGGACCCTTCATTTTTATCTGCTTTTTTAGTTCCTTTATTTATATACTATCAATTTATAACAGTCTTTTAAAAAGCTAATTATTTTGAGACAGAGTAGCGAACATCCTTAAGCAAATGACAGTATAAAAAAAGAAATTAAACTTCAGAATTTGTTTATTACTTCCTCGTTAAAGTATGTGCAGAATTCCATTCTCTTTTAATGAAAGAAAACAAGAAGAAATGTATATAGATAATTGCTCACATCTACGTCATTTGGTCTATGGTAGATAGTTGTCTTATTGGCAATCATACCAAATCTTCTTATTTTTGATCATCGAAATTGCCATGTCTATCAAGCTTTTTATTCTTTTATACTATTTTATTTGGTTTACTTTCTTCTCAAGCATGCTCTTGGTACATTTTCACTAGCTCGCTATTGACAATGAGTATCATCAAATGATGTGCTATGCACTAAAATGTATACGCGGTAGTATGCATGTCCATATATAAACAGTTTGTAGTGTTTCAAAATATTTGTATATAAAAAATATGGTACATTGTTAGAGATTTAATAAAAATTTACATAATTATAGGCGTCCATATTTGAATCTGCATCTTGATAATGATACTGTGCATTCCAGACAGGTCTAATTCCTCCTTTTGAGATTGTCGACGGGTTATTATATGTATCGTGCAGTGAATAGTGTTCTCTGTGTAACACCCTCTGATGCCATCGTCCTGACATTGTATCATAAGCCATAACTGGAGTTGAGGGGTTGTTGTATGAATAATAATCTGGCTAAAACAAAAGACGATCAGCGTGTAAGTATATAATTTAATTTTGGATGTAACACGTCTTCTGATTGGCTGAAAACGTTTTATCTATCAACTCATGCATAGACATAATTTTGTCATGAGACCGTGACGTCATCAACGTTTTTATCATGATTTACTCCTTTTTAGAGTTAAATTATAAGAAATGACTGTAATATTTTTCTGTCTATTCGAAATAACCTAAAACATGTGGTGCACACTTTTAAATAACCCGCTACGCGAGTTATTCAGTGTGCACCACATGTTTGATGTTATTTCTTCATAGACAGACAAAATATTACAGTCATTTCTTAAATAAAGTAACTTTATAAAGAAAAAACAGTAATGTCAATGATGTCATTATTCTGTTTGTCTCCTGACTTTTTGCAGGAATTTTCCGATTTGGTCTAAATGACCTTTTGTGTCAACTTGTTTTCATTAAAAACTAAACGGTGAACCTACAATGTACGGTGTACGGTTGACTGAATTCAATATGAATGCATGTACAAAATATTAATGTACGTTTTTATATACTTTACCTTCTTTGAATCAATGACTATGTCAACATTATAAGTGAGACAGCAAAAATTTGAAAGCTCATCTATTTTTTATGTTAGTTAATAATATCTCTTCAAACCAGGATACCAGGCTTAAAATTTTCTATGCCAGACGCATATTTCATCTACAAAAAACTCGTTCAGTGATGCTCGAAGAAAAAAAATCAAAAGGCCAAATCAAGTGCGAAGTAGAAGAGCATTAATGCCCCCAAAAATTCCGAAAGTTTTTTTAAGCCACATACATCTTAGTTAACGCTTTTGTTAATAAAAAAAATTGCTTCAGTTTATATCAACCTTCGTCATGTTTTTGTGTATAGGCTAATCTTCGACGTCACACTACTCAATCCAAATCATAACATAGAACGTTGTCTGAGATTTCAGGGGAGGATCCAGCCATTTTTAAAAGGAGGGGATGGGTTTCCAACCCAGGATAAAAGGGGGATCCAACATATGTCCCCATTCAACAGCATTAATCGTCAAACAAAAGGGGGATCCCCCCCCCCCCCCGATCCGCCAATGGACTACCACTGTGTTAAACATTTCCATTATTCAAAATGTGATAATTATGACAAAAGTAATGCATCTGTGTAAGATGAATCAACTCATACCTCTACAGACTTTTTAAAGTCATTTGTACTGCGACTTTGGTTTTTGGAGTGTTTTCCACGTCTTCTATAGTACACTGTTAGACAAACTATAACAATGCCAAGGATGGTTAAACCAAACACTGCAATGCCTACTCCTATCACGACTGGGTCTATAATATGAATAAAAAGTCTATCTTTTGTAAGCTATTCATTCAATCTGTTTTTAAATGTATAATATAAAACGGGAGACAAGGAGTACTGTATTCATGTCTTTTGTTTTTACTTATGTGCTTTGTCTATATATCATTTGTTTAGACACATTTGTTTGTTTTTTATAATGATTAAAATTATAACACAATGTTGACTGCTGTACCCCTATTTTTGACATTTATTCCTATTACGAAGTGTTTGGTTTGTTCACACATTGTTGTCAATATGGAATTTTATGCGACTGTCATCCAAGTGAGAGGTTTAGCTAGCCATAAAACCAGGTTTAATCTACCATTTTCATATAAGGAAATGCATGTACCAAGTCAGGAATATGACAGTTGTTTTCCATTCGATTGATGTGTTTAGGCTTTTGATTTTGCCATTTGATAAGCGACTTTCCGATTTGAATTTTCCTTTGAGATCGGTATTTTTGTTATTTTATTTTTTTGTATTTTTTTTTAATAAATATGTTGTTAACTGTATACTATAAAAAGGGAGACAAGGAGTACAAGTACTAGTAATACAGAGAGAGAGAGAGAGAGAGAGAGAGAGAGAGAGAGAGAGAGAGAGAGAGAGAGAGAGAGAGAGAGAGATTTCATGCATTGCTTTGATTGGAAAGATAAGCAGCCACTTAATAGAGAAAACCAAAATGCACATCAACAGTGTACTTCTTCTTACACGTTTAAAATGACAAGAGTGTGACCATTAAGTAATTAAATTAACGTTGTAAACCTACCTATAATACCATTCGTATTATCTACAACATCAGTTACATTGACAGAAGATGTATCTGGCTGCTGAGTTTTGTCTGTTGACACTAATGTTGCTTTCTGTGTCGGTGTTAATTCTCCTGTTGTAGTTACAGCTTTGGTTGTTCCAACTTTTTGTGCCGTTGTGGTTGGAACAGCTGTTGTAGTTTTAACCCGATTTGTTGTTAATACTGATGTTTTTTCATGTGTCGTTGTTAATCCCGCTATTGTAGTTATACTGTCAGTTGTAGTTACAAAATCTGTTTTTGTTGTTGTGGAGGTGGCTGTTGTAGTTTCGTCGTGCTCTGTTGATGATTTAGGTGTTGTTGCAACATTTAAAGTTGTAAAAGTTTTGGTCGTTATTAATTGAGGGGTTGTAGTATCGGCCTTTGTTGTATGAATTACGGACGTTGTAGTTTTTGGTTGTTTAGATGTTTCCATTGTTGTAATTTTAGTTTCGGAAGTGGTTTCCGGTTTTATAGTTGTTTTCAACGATGTAGTGGTATCAGAGTCCATTGTTGTAACATGTACTGTACTAGTCACATAATTTTGTGTCGAAAGAGACACAGTCGTTGTTTCAGGGAAACATGAACCACAACAAAAGAGAGACACAATAGGCTGAGAAGAACATAGGCTTGGATTGTTAGCATACGCATCTGCGCATGTCCAGCCAAGGTTACTAAATATAATACCTTTCCTGTCACCATACAAACAGTTCTCTGTAATAGAGTTCATTCAGTTTATTACAAAATTACTGTGGTATTGTTCTAGGCAACATGGTGTGTACTTTTACAGCTTTTCGGCTGAATTGACATTTATGCTAAACTAAAGTGTTAATAACTCAAAAGGTAATGTTTTTACTTATCATTTCAAACAATAGCAATCAACTTAACAGACATTGAGATTGATGTATTGGGAATGACATAAGTGGAAGATAGTAATTTCACCTTCAGTTGGAAAACGTTACGTTTCCATAACTAATTATAAATGCTTATTTGTTCATTTGCTGGGATTTAAAACACACCAAAGATACCAGGCTTTTAATTTGGTACGCCATATGTGCGTTTCGTCTACACAAGACTCATCAGTGGCGCTCAAATCAAAAGAAATATAAGGACAAAGTTAATACAAAGTTGAGCATTTAAAATTGAAAATTCCAAAAGGTTATGCCAGTACTGTCAAAGCAATCCATATCCAGGGGTTGAAAATTCTTAGTGTTTTGAGTACTAGTAATTCAATATTTTATTAACAACAATTTTACAGATACTTAAACCACCTTGTGCAATGTTATGTAAGTACTCAGCATTGATGCGCTCAGATGGACGATGAACGAAACCGGAGAGAATGGGAAAACACCATTGTCATGGAGTTTTGACAAATTAGACAAAAAATATAACGTACTGATTGTTCGAGATTTTGTTTAACTACTACTGTTTAACTACTACTGGTGCTTGAAAAAAAAATTGAAACACAAAACTATCAAGTCAAATCAAAATAAAAAATATAATAATTTACATTAATTCACGTATCAATCACCTACATAAAGGCAAAGAAAGTGAACTTTCCTATAATACATTTTTAGAATATGTAAATCCATTGGCAAGTTTCCTCTTACGCAATCATCGAATGTGACTCATCATAGGATTTTCATTTTCCATACGCAACACGAGGATTTCACTATTGTAGCACATGTTTACTCTTCAGGAGCATCCGGATTAACCACAGACATTTGGTGGGGTTTTTGTTACTCAACCTTTAGTTTCGTGTGGTGTTTTGAAAACATTGTTTTATACTTATAATTGAGAAACAGGAACTGCTTACCGGAGAACCTGAGTTCACCCCCAGTTTTTGTTGGTGTTCGTGTTGCTCAATCTTTAGTTTCTGTTCAGACTATTGATTGAGATATAAGAAAGTGTATTAGTTATCCACAGGTGTCATTCGGTTTATCGAGAGAAATGATCGTGAAAGAATAACTAATGGTGGTCCAGCATTGCGATCAGATCGTGAAAGATCTGGTATAGGATCGTGAATGAAATATTATCGAGAAGACACATGCTCCGTCAGTAAATAATCTTATTTAATCAATTATTATGAAAAATATTGGAAGAACAAAACTGTCTGTCAAAATGGTTCAACATTCTGATTAGTATTTTAGATAAATCAAGACTTAAATATACACCATTTTTACAAAACTACAAAAGGTAGATTGCTCTTCGAAGTTCAGAGAAATAAAAATGTAAACAAACATGATTTTTTTTAAATGTTTAATGCATAAACTACTTTTCTCCTAGAAATATCGTTCAATATTACTGTTTGAAATAGTTCTTAAAGTTATTTTGATTTAGTTTATTCAGAAACTGTGCAAAAACGGTAATATTTGTAATAAAATGATATTACGGATCGTGAAAGATCGGGTACCGCATTTGAATGATCGTGAAAAGGATCGTGAAAGATCTATTGCCGCTTATACGTTATTGCAAAAAATCCACGAAAACGCTCGAATCTTTCTTTAAACAAGTGATTATTTATGCTTGTAATCGGTATATCAACAGATTGGATTTACATGACTTATTCCGCTTCACTTTTGTTTGTGAATAGGGTTATAATGGTTCAATGCCATTGGATTTGATTTTTTGATAATACCACACCGACTAGTTTTCTTATAACAATATAAGGGTGTCTGTTCGTCCTGCATAAGTTTTATTTTGTTTGAAAAGTTAAGATTGTCTCATCTGATGCCCATTAATTTTTATGCATAGTCATATCTGTAAAACGAAGATCCTTGCTGATTTTTGTAAAAATTGGGGAAAAAACATTGTTTAAAACAAAAGAGCAGAAAAACAACTGTCATATTCCTGACTTGGCACAGGCATTTTCCTAAGCAAATGGTGGGTTAAATCTGGCTTTCTTGCTTGCTTATACGCCGACTTGTATGACAGTTGTTTAATGTTCCGTAATATTGCCAAATTAGGGGAGCAACACTAACAGAATTAATTGGTTTACGTGGTCATATCTGGCATCCAGTAGCATACATAACAGATATACAACACAGCTTAACTTAACGTTCAATAGATATTAGAAGATGTGGTATGAGTGCCAATGAGACGACTCTCCATCTAAGTCACAATTTGTAAAAGTAAACCAAGGTCAAAGTACGGCCTTCAACACGGAGCCTTGGCTCACACCGAACAAACACACTTACAATCGAATCAAACAAATACGCCAGCCAAAAAGAGATTATGTAGTTGATAATACAGCCAGTATAGTAAAGCATAATTAAGGAGCCCCTTAATTGTCATGTAAATATAAATATGTTCGTTTGCCGGATTTTAAATCTTGCAGGCACCGGTATGAAAACTCGTGCGCACGACTCTCGAACTTGTGTGCATGACTTTCAAACTGGTGCGCATGACTTTCAAACACTTGCTCACGACTGTCAAAAATGGTGTTCACGATCTTCAAGATCTGGCGCGCTTAACTTTGAAACTGGAGTTCATGACTTTTAAACTGTTGCGCATGACTATCAAAATGGTGCGCACGACTTTCAAACTGGCGCGCACGACTTTCAAAGATGGTGTGCAAGACTTTCAAGAACTGGGGCACACGACTTTCAAACTTGTTCGCATAACTTCAAAAACTCTTGTGCACCAGTTTAAAAGTCGAGCGCACCAGATTTTGAAAGTTATGCGCACCAGTTTTTAGATGTCGAGTGCACGACTTTTCAAACAAGTGCACACCAGCTTGAATGTCCGGCAAATGAAATTATTTCTATTTACTTGGCACTTAAGGGGCTCCGTAAGGGTCTCCTCTCATAATGACATATACACTAACCGGATAAAATTCATAAAAATTAAAATATAAGTACAAGGGTATACAAAATGAAATTACGCTATAAAAATCCTCATGTGTCCTTATCGCATCTCTGAATCAAACCACTTAAAGAAGGTTGAAAGTCAAAAATCTGAAAGCTGGATGCATATATACCAAACCACGACAAGAGGCATACGATCAAATTGAACATAATACTATAGTAGTACAAAGACAAATAAAGATAAAACTGCAAAGTAGATAAAATGATAAACAGAGTCAACACCTTAAACCCTGGTTCATTATTGTTTGCGCAGGCACTGATTACGTTTTACAAACTAGATCTGAGTATCAGCTGCAATCTCTTGAAAATCGTAGGAGTTCAGAAATGTATACTTCATAGGCGGATGAAGTTGGTAAATCGCTGCTAAGGTGAGGAAATTTTATAATTTCAAATTTGAAATCATCTCGTTTGTCATACTAGACTCGGGTATTAAAAGATGACCGCTGTAGTCAAATTCGGGGTTTATGTTTAAAAATGATACAGAGGAAGCTGTATATGTGGTGTCTATAATATCTAGTTCATGACTATTAATGGGACCAAATGAGAAAAGTTCGTATTGTTAATGGAAAGAAAATATTCAATACACCTGTGTGTAAAATTAGATGATAGAGCTTATTTGATCAAATATAAAATTAAAAATGTGGTATGATTTCCAATAAGACAACTTTGCACATGAGACCAAAATGACACAGAATTTAACAACTATAGATCAGCATACGGCCTTCAACAATGAGTAAAACCCATACAGCTATAAAAGGCCACGAAATGACATATGTAAAACAATTCAAACGACAAAAAAACTAACGGCCTGATTTATGTACAATGAACGAAAAACAAATATGAAATACACCAACAAACGACAACCACTTAATTACAGACTCCTGAATTGGGACAGGCACGTACATAATGTGGCGGGGTTAAACTTGTTAGCGATCTTCTTTCTAACCTATCGTGCGGGTGCACTCGACTTCAATCTTAATTGACTAGGATTGTCAGTTTTCCTATCGAAGGTCGGTGGTTTTCTCCGGGCACTCCGGCTTCCTCCACCAATAAAAACTGGTCGCCACGAAATAGCCCAAAAGCAGTGCTTAAAGGTGGCGTTAAAACACAGAAAATCAAATCAAATTTTTCTAAACTGGGGCAGTGGTGTACCAGAACAACAATTGAACAAACTATAAAATTCAGTTGAAAAGGGCTAAACTCATCAGATCGATACAAAGCAAAACAAGTAACAAAAACAGAGTGGACTTATACATTTTCATTACTCTTTCGAAAACAAAAGCGCACACATTAAGATATTTACGGGGGAAAACCACAAGACCCCCTCTCGCTTCCTTCGTTTGTGAATGCATTACACACTATGTATACACAATATTGACCTTTCGATCATTTACGCTGCTGTAGGTCTTGCTATCTTGGATGCCTAGTTACGCGTAGCATTGCCTCATAAATGAAAACAGGTCTAAATATGGGTAAAAATATATATATCACCAACAAAAATTAAAGCAATGATTTACGTTCTTAGAAAGTAATTACACACTTCAACCAATTACAAGTATATCAATTGGTAATCAAATGCTGTTTTCTAATCATTAAGTCTGGTCACGCCTTATCTTTCACGATCCAAATAATGCGTTGAATGATCTTTCACGATCAATTTTGATTAAAAATCAACAAAAATAGACTTTTTCAAAAATAATATGAACTTTTTCAAGTAATAACATAAATATATTTTACTGGACTATCTGACATATAAAGATTTAGTTTTAAATATATCATGATATATTGGAATGTGACTATTATCGTTACAAAACGTGATTTTTTTCTTAATGATTTTCATAGGATTGTGTGTCGCCTTTTGTGTTTTCTTAAAAAGTACTGCATTTTTTCATTTATTAGGTGCACAGTTTTATTGAGGAAGTTGAATCATTTTGACAGACATAATTATTTTTTCTTATTTGTTTCACCTTTTGAAACTACAGCAGATTGTTTCATAGATTTTGAAGTAGAATTACACTTAATTGCATTCACGATCCGATACCAGGTCTTTCACGATCAATTCTCTCGATAAACAGAATGACACCCGTGTTATCATTTATGATAGATATTTGTTGTAGTTATATTTTTTTTTTTTTTGACGTGAAAAAAAACTAGCAACTGAACAGTAAAAGAAGTTGGCGGCGTTATAATAGCATCAACGCAGAAAACCCTCCAACAATGTCTTTTTCAGTTAAATCAAGTATTTGAAATCAACGAATCCTTTTTGTCATACTTAAGGTTGACGATAACATCATTGCCATTACATTTTTGTTCTCCGCATTTCTCCTCATTTTCGTTTGGTTGTTTATATGTCGCGCGTGGGAGAACCTCCCAAGCGCGATATATAAACAACCGAACAAAAATGAGGAGCAAGTGCGGAGAGCTAATATTAATTAGATTGATTTAACATTGCATAGTGATAAAAGAAATAAAACTGGTCTTGCATAATCGACATGGCAGTTTATTGAATGCACTAAACTGCTGCATGCCGTTCTGTTTTTTCTCGAATTGCAATGGTCTCGATCATCCAAATGCTTTATGAATCTAGTTTTTTCTTTGCAAAGACAGTTGTCAAAGTAACAGAGACTAGAATTGTAATAATTGATGGACTAAAAAAATAATAACCATACATTCTTCATACGAAAATTATCATAAATGATCACGGTAGTTAAAGTATATACATCAGTGAATAATAAGATATATAAAAGGATAATAAAAAAAACAATAAATTACGCAGGTAATTACATATATGTTATATTTTAAGTAAACTTCGGAACGTATTTGATTTTTTTTATTAATGGTAATGAATAAAAGGAGATGTAGATTATTACGTCAACGAGACAGTATCCTAACAACAATATACCAACAAGACATTCATGGAACAATTTAGTCTTCGACAATAGATAGGTGTTGATACAATATGCCAAGCTCTAAATCGTCCCAAGCTCTAAAATTGTTAAGCAGATACTATCGTCCCCTACAACCAATTTCTCCAAATGATAACAAAAGTATATAAAAATGATATGAGACAACTACTGATCAAGTTAATGACTTGGGACAGGTCGTAAATTTTTACAACAGATTCAAGTAAAATACATTCATATCTTGCAATTGGTATTTGAAACATCCGTTTTAGCTTCGAAGTTCAACATTATTTCATACGACTATGAAATTCAAATTCTGAGAAATTGTCATCGCTGTTTTATTTATTCATGGATTAGTGTGATTATAAATTTTCATTCCTTTTTTGCACATGCTTGCAAGCAGTCATTAAAGATACCAGGCTTAATACTTTGTACGCCGGACGCCCTTGTCGTTCACAACGTCACCTGCATATGGGATATACATTTCCCAACTCGGTATTCAAGAGCTTATACAACTGCTATAACCAGACTTTATAAAACATCACCAGTGTCTGAGCAGAAAGTTGATGAACCACGGTTATGTCAAAGAACGGTTCGTCCTTTTTCTAAAAAGGTTCATCGAAAGATACCAAGACCTTGTTGATAAATATTTCGTATCAAATTTGCCAAATAATACATGATGGTCTTGAAGTATAGATTCTAACTACGAATGATCAACTTTTGGTGTCGCCTTCTAGTTAATACAAATGAAGATAAATTATCCTGTATACTTTATAAACTATTATACATTGATTGTAACAATTATGGTATTGGAAATAAATGGATGTTATTTATTAAGAAAATATTTGATGAATGTGGCATGTCAAATGTATGGCATTGCCAAGATTATTTTAACAAAAAATGGATAAAATTAAGTATTGAGCAAAAGCTAAAAGACCAATTTCGACAAGACTGGTTTGCAGATTTACATCAATCCTCGAAAAGTTTATGTTATAGAATTTACAAGACCGAATTTAAATTTGAAAAGTATTTATCGATTTTGCTTTTTAATTTTTTATATACTTTGTGTAAATTTAGATGCGAAACACAATATGTATTATATATGAACTGTTATTTTCTCTGTAGCTATGTACTAGTTTATGAGAATAAAATCATTCATTCATTCATTCACTGTTTAGTCCATTTTGGTATATACTTTTGGCGTGGCTTGGTATTTATGCATCCCGACATTGTGTTATTGTTTAATGGTCATTTTTGTATTCTTGTCTTTCATGTTTGCTTATGCACATTGTCTATAGAGTGTCTATATGCCATTTTTTTTTCTTTGTATTTCTATGTAGACTTTTGTTAGTCTTTTTGTCGTTTTTGTTTTGTTGCCATTGTTTTGTCGGTCTCTCTCCGACTTATGAGTTTTGATTGTCCCTTTTCTAACTTCCGCCTCGCTTATATTTAAGTTGCATCCCTTTTATTGTTCGAGGAATTGACCTTACCGTTCCCTATGGGGGCTTTAACATCCTGGGTACACACGCCAGAAACACACCACTACAAATGTATGACAAAATTGTTATTTTAATTTAATATGTAAACTATGACACTGCTTGTCCAATTAAGTTGTATTCTAATTGCAGTCTTAAATACAAATACCATTGAACTTTTCGTCCTCTATAGAATATTGCTTTACAAATGAAACTGCAAAGCATTAATCTCTTAACAAAGTTTGTGTGTAGCTATTTTATTAGAAAATATCAAATCAACAATTATAAAGGTAACTAAATACAGAATACAATTATAAATGGATTTAAAATAGAATTGTTTTAATACACATATGACAGATTAATAATAAACCTAGAAGAAATAAGGCAAATGAAGTCATGAAATTTGTCTTTATCATTCTTTATCACATGAAGATACCGAGTTTAAAGAAAAGAATTGTGAAATATCACTAATGCCTTTTAATAAAAAAAAAGGTCCAGCTAAGATTAACTAAGTTTTTATTTACGCACCTTTTGATTGCCGCAATGAGTTCCTTCCCCTGCAATCGATGACTGACATTGGGAAATGTCTGGTTTGTAACACCAAAGAATATTACATATGGTCGAAAAATCGCCGTTATATTGTTCCTTTAATTATAAAAATATGGAAATAAATTCCCAGTAATTTATTTTATAACAGCAGCAAAGATTTCTATTAAAGGTCTATCTCATTTACAATTTTCTAAGGTATATATGTTACAGTGAATTTGTATAATCAGTGATTATGTAGAATCCCTAAAATTTTCAGGGATTATGTAGAATCACTGGTTAGTTTAGGGGTTATATATAATCACTAAAATTTTCAGGGATTATGTATAATCACTAGAAAAAAAGTCAGGGATTATACAGAATAACTGAAATGAAGAATTAGTTTCATTTATATAGAAAATGAATAAAAGTTAAATAATTCATTCTTTAAAATCATATTAAAACATCATTATAAACATATAGATTGTAAAATGTAAAGCACAAAATGTTAAAATGATAACCTCGAATACAGTAAAATGTTATGCACAACATATCAAAATGTTAGGAACAATATACTAAATTATTAAGCACAACATATTAAAATATTAAGCACAATATTTTAAAAAACAAACATTACATTCACTCTGTGGTTAAAATTAAAAAAAAATTAGTAACTTTCTTAAACTATCCTGGATTTGTACCAAACTTGGACAGAAACTTGTTTATGATCAAAAGCTAGTATCTAGAAGGAAATTTAAAAACAAATTATTTCCTGTTTATCCGTACATTACTTATAAATGGACTTAGTTTTTTTTCAGCTAACATTCAGTCTGCAGTTAAAGTTACAGCAAAAGTAGGCGGAACCCTTACGAATTTTTCTATACATTTAGTTTCTTCAGTTCTCTCAGTTTGAATTTCTTGTTCATTTGAACACAAAATACACACAGATGTTTCATAACCTTCCTCACCATTTGTTTTACTACAAATAAAATGAACTGTGGATTTACAGTTTAAACATTTTTTGTCATATAAATGATCTTTGAAAACCATAATGAACTTGAAATTAAATAAGTTGCATATCATCGTCAGATATTTAAGATTTGTTGTTTTTTTTAGATCCATGCCCACCAGCCCCAACCTTATGTTAATGTGTAATGATGTAAAGAGTGTTATCTATATGAAATATAATAGATGGTAGGAGCCCTTAAACAATTTAAATACTTACTGTTCACTTAAACTTTCAAGGAATAAGAAAACACAAATGACAAGTTATCTTTATCTAATTTTTATCAAACACAGGATCTTTTAATTATTGATAATCCCTGAAATCATACTAGGGAATTTGTAGAATAATTATATTAATGTTCAGTGATTATGTAAAATCACTGGTCATTTTCAGGGATTATATATAATCACTAATGATTTTGGTGATTCTACATAATCTCTGAAAAATCAGGGATTCTACATAATCCCTGATTATACAAATTCACTGTAACATATATATATATAGTGATTGTAACTTCTCCAGTAGAGTTATAGGATGGAACGACTGAAATTGACATCACGTAGGATTAACATTCACATCACCAATTAGTTGACCAATCCAATATACTTGGTTATGTCAACTCATGAGAGATGTTTTCGCTGTCTTTGACATATGGACACCGACATAGTTTTCTGATCTGTTTTTATCGTTAATTCCCTTTTCTGAATTTCATTTTAAGAATAAAACGAGGGAAAAGTTAACTCCAATCATGTCTTCTAATAAAAGAAAGGCGAAAGATACTACTCATGAATCGAAGACATACTGACAACGCCAAAATAAGCTTCACACGTGACAGTCAAAGTCACTGATATAAGAATGCGCCTTTCAAACTATAAACAAGAAGTGGTTGTACAGTTACTCCTTTTTATAAAAGTCAGAGCATTGTTTCGTTGAAGCATATTTGATGAAACATTAGTTTGATATCAGTAAAACTACTTGATATTATGATGACAGTATTACAGGATTCGCCAGGTTCCGTGTCCGATGTGGTTTAAGTATAAGTAGTTCATCAACAGTGATTACTAGTGATCATACTGATGTTGTGAGTTCGAACCTCTCTTCGTCAAGGTGTGTTAAACCTCGGTCTAAATTGACTATGATGACCAGTTTTCCAGCCACAGTTCAGTGGTTCTTTCAAGGTATTCCAATTTCCTCCACCACCAAAATTACCGTCGTGATATAGCTAAATGTGCTAAACATGGCGAAAAATACCAACACTGATTCAACCATATTACAGGAATTATTATGCTATTGATGATATATAATACGTAAAACAGTTTATTATATTCGGTTTTGAGCGTTCCTGATTAAGGTAAATCCTGAAAAGAGCTTCAAAGGCATTAAATTTAGAAACTGTTGTTTTCGTTTTATTTTTTAATTGATAAATAGGTGTATGCCTTGTTTTCTGTAGAATTTGAAAGATCCTCTTTTTTTAAGACATTTAAAATTGCGATATAGCCGTTTTGCGCTGATGTGTCGTAAAGTGAATAACAACCAATAAAGGTTTCCTGTAATCAGTTAAATCATGGAAGTAAAATCAATATAATACATCCATGGTTAAATGAAGGTTTTATTTAGCTGGTTTTTTTTCGATTTTAGTTTCAAGTTAAATGCTCTCCAACTGTTTGATAATAATTTGAATAATTTTGGTTAGGCAAGACGACGAGGAAATCAATTAAACTGCAACCCATTTCACAAAATATATTACGAGAAAAAACTCATGAACATTTAAGTATAACTTACGATCAATTTTAGTCGTAGGATTTTTTTTGAAAAGAGCCACTGTTGTGTATCAAGTAATTATATTTTTATTTACCCTGCACAAGCATGATCCATCTCCGTGCAAGTAAGTGTTATACATACCGACTATCTGCATCATATAATTGTGTATTTATTTACCCTGCACAAGTATGAGCCATCTCCGTGCAGCTGTACACATTGACTATCTGCATTATATACTTGTCCTGCCAGAAACTGGTCGTAAGGAGACTGGGCTGTCGGGTCGAAACTTGTACTTAATGTCTTCATACAATTGTTATTAGCCCTATGGATATGAAGAGCGCCATATTTATTTTGACAATCATACATTTTTTCTAATTATATTTCATTTTTTTATTTATAAGTCGAAAACAAAATTGTATCACATTTCAGAAATGTTCTGCACTATAAATCATAATAAATAGTTAGTTATATGCACAGATGTAAGAAAACGAACAAAAATGGTTATGACATTCATATAAAAATAAGAGGATGTGGAATGATTGCCAATGAGACAAATCTCCACCAGAGACCAAATGACATAGACATTAACACCTATAGGTCACCGTACGGCCTTCAACAATGAACAAACCCGAAACCGCATAGTCAGCAATAAAAGGCCACGAAATGACAAGTGTCAAACAATTCCAAAGAGAAAACTAACGGCCTGGTTTATGTACAAAACAATGAACGAAAAACAAATATGATCTACAGCAACAAATTAATGTAATCCCTTCCCCTAACCTGGGACAGTGGCGTAAAAGTACAACATGAGGAATGAACTGTAAAAATCAGTTAAAAAGAAAAAATGCATTATTGATACCGTCCCTACCAGGCATGGGGCGAATTACATTGCAATGTAATGCATTATATTACAATTACTTTGACCAAACCATGCATTATATTACAATTACAATTACATGCATTTATCAAAGTAATGCATTATATTACAATTACTTTTGCAAAGTAATGCCTTGAATTACACATTACATTTGAAAATTTTATTAACTGACTAGAAAAATTAAACATTTTATAAAACAACTAGAAGTCACAAAAGATTCTAGCATATGCAGTAACTGTTCCATGAATTGAATATAAGTATACATGTAAAAAGTCTATTTAATTCGACTTTTACAATTTTAATTATTTTAACTTAATGTTGACTTTACTTTTATAAATATACTTTTTGTTGTTTTTTTTTTTTTTTAATTTTAAACGAAATATTTAATTACTGTGAATTACTTCCCTAATTATAAAATAAACATAGACATTAATTAATGAAAAATTGTCTAAATGGTGAAAATATTGATTGTAAAACAAACTAATTAGTGTTTATAACAAAGTTTAATTATCTTTTATTTAAGCAAGACAAGATATTCTTTGACCTTATGACAACACTACAGTTATGTTTTTCAAATATCAATCTTTTTATGCAGGAAAATGTATGAAATAAGATGAAATAAAGAATATATTATAATGATTAACATATTCTTAGTTAATCAAGAAATCTTAAATTTGGTTAGTTAAAACTCCAACAATATGTTAAAGATGTAGTATGTGAAAAATGTAATGCCATGTAATGCATGAAATTACACAACTTTTTGCTAAAGTAATGCATTATATTACAATTACATGTAATGCACAAATTTGATTACACATTACATGCAATTACTTGGAAAAATGTAATGCATTACCATGCATTACAATTACAAATTTGCATTACCTCATGCCTGGTCCCTACTAAAGTAGATTGATACTGTCATAGTACACTGATTTTACAAGTCCTTGATGGTATCAACCCCGTAGAGTTTTTTTTTCTGCTTTGTAAATCTAAAGATGCGGGTTGACTAAAATTGACCGTACACCAATAATGTATATTTAACTTAAACTTCATTTGATTTCCGTTAGGCACTATATTCGATTTTGAATCTTATTTGGAGAGAAGAACCACTAAAATTCGTCAGTGGTTATTTTGTTTTTGTTATTAGTATATGATACAATTGTTTAATCTGTCAGTTATTGAATTATTGATGGTAGATCCAAGTGTGTGTGTGTGTGTGTTTTCTAATCTATTCCATTAATTTATATGGTCATATCTTTTAAATTAAATGTTTACCAAACTTTGAATTCTTCGAAAATCTAAGGATTAATTTTTCTACATCATGAATATATATTTGGCAAAACCTTTTGGAAGTTTTGGTCCCCAGTGCTCTTCAATTTCGTACTTTATTTGGCCTTTTAACTTTTTTGATCCAAACGTCACTCATGAGTCTTTCAAAGACGAAACGCTCGTCTGGCGTAAACAATTACAATCCTGGCATCTTTGTTAGTTTTTTTTAGACTTTTCTTGGCGAGAAACGTACATGGAACATTATATGTCTTTTAATTTTTTGTATCTTTCGGTTGATTTCTTATTGACATATTTTATTCGCTATCAAGTTATAGTAAGACACATACCAAATGAATGTTTCTATTTCAAGCATGAATTATCACAAGTTAACAAATTTGACGCCCAGTAAGTAGTCTGTCGCTGCAGTCTGTCTCGCCTCTAATACTACTTAAAACTTACGAATCAAGTTGATCGATGTATGAGGTAAAATATTCTGTAGAACACGAAGAGAAAATCCAAGGATGTGCTGCAGTGGCCCCTTGTTGTGGCATACTAGATGCTGCCATTATATATGCGTCAGATGGACTACACAGGTTTCCAGAGCCGTCATGGCTAGCGCTCAAACTACAAAAATTCAATTATATAAGCATTAATAAAAATATATTTTCTGTATGCTTATACATTTAATACATGTCTACTTTTTCATTTACGTGCATATTATATATTTTTACTAAAAAAAACAGATAATTCAGATTTTAAGTAACTTTGTGAAATATCTTTTTTCCTTCTCCAATGTTTTTGACATCCTTTTTAAACCCAACAGCACACTTTAAATCAAACAGCAATCCATGGTCTTAAGCGAAGTCTGAAGCAAGGTTAAATCCAAAAATTTTACAATGCATTGGGTTGAAAATTCAACCAAATGATTCAATTGCATAACAAAAACAACAAACATTTCAGTTTTGTCCTAGGGTTTACCGTTATGAAGTTCAATTCCCGCTTAAAATTTAAACAATATATGAGCAACCGGGCAAAGACGTTTTGGGCTTTGTGTACGCTTCAGATGAGAATAAAATTTTACACACAGTCGATATTAAGATTAGAAACGTGATTGATTGTTGGTGTTTAACGCCACTTTCAGCACTATTGGCTATATCTTTGCGGTCAGTTTTAATTGGTGGAGGTAGTCAATGCCCGGAAAGAAAACTGCTAATCCTAGTCAAGTAAGATAGGAATCGATCGCACCTGCCACGTGCGGGGTTCAATCTCACAGTCTCAGGGTTGATAGGCTAGTGATTCTGTAGATGAACTACTTAGACCCCTCGGCCACCGAGGCCCCTGGTGACTATCTTGTTTAGTACTGAAGAAACCACATATCAATAAATTCGGAATGGCGGCATGATCTCTTATCTACAGTTAGGTACATGTGGATTAAGAAATTGACGCTCAGATCCATCGATACAAAAATATTGCATTATAATCAACAATATACGTGTCTGTAATATTCTATGTACAATCTAAATGGATGAAAACGGATAAATCTTGTTTTTAAGTATTGCAGAATTTGATTAGAATGCCTATCCTAATAATCGTAATGTTCAATGTAAATATTTCGCTTAAAACTATCATGGAACTTATGTATAGAAAATGAAATAATCTAGCCTATCATCAAAGAAAGATTTATAGGGCTTACCAGTGTCCCAATTCATGTGCTGCTGTAGTAATGACAACAAAATCAAATGCTTCCTCTACTATAGATTGACTGTTCTCCGAACATACAGCACTAGTGAAAGCGAGACCTATAAAATCAATCACAACTCATTGTAGATTTGGTAATGACCATGTCCCAAATGAACCGCTATTTAATAATATAAAACCCGTGCTGTTGGTACAGTCGACTTGTGTTGTTTTTTTTAACCATCTTGAATTTACTTTCACTGTCTAATAAAGCCTTTTTTTATGTTATCAAAAGTTATATAGAGATTTCTTAAACGAGTACATGTACCCGTTATCTCCAATTTTCGAATAATTAAAACGGGTAATTCTTGATAATTTGAACCGTTGCATAAAATTTGAAATAGACACAGCGCTGAAAGCGTCGTACAGATACATTTCATATTCTAAAAAGAAAATGGTATAACCCGAATAATTCAGTCCCTCCCCGTGATCGATTTTCCCATTCGCAGGATCTGCCTATCCGTCCGGAGAACCAAAGATCACTCCTAATAGGGTTCGTGTTTGTGTGTCGGTCTTTAGCTTTGTATACAGTTTGTCTCTTGGTATTATTGCCCATTTTAAGCAAGAATGGATAAGATAAATAAGGACACGTTGATCAAGTCATGATAATAAATGCCTTCACGTATCTTAAAATTTGCATTTTAAAAGGTCAACATTAAAATCTTCAAATACCCTTTTGTATTATTAGATTGTAAAAGTCTTACCGGCATTCCCTGTCAATCCAGAAGCTGTCAGATCATATCTTAAAATTAAATTGATATAGTTTGATGGTTTTTATGGCTGACACAAAACTTTTTCATCTTGGAGATCACTGCTGTTTGATTTAAGTTCTCAAACGAAATTCTTGCAATGTAAAGATATAATTAGACTTCAATACATGTAGTGAGTCTTTTTACGTTGTAATGTTACACTATTATTTCAGGTTAGGGTGAAGGTTGCGCCTGTTTAAACGTTTAAACCTGCTGTATTTGTTTGCACCTGTCCTAAGTCAGGAACCTGTTTCAGTGGTTGTCGTTTGTTGATGTGGTTCTTAAGTGTTTCGCGTTTCTCTTTTTTTTTTATAGATTAGATCTTTTATTTTCCTGTTTGAATTGTTTTACACTAGTCATTTTGGGGCTCTTTATATCTCGCTGTTCGATGTGAGCCAAGGCTCCGTGTTGAAGGCCGTACTTTGACCTCTAATTGTTTACTTTTAACACATTGTGACTTGGATGGAGAGTTGTCTCATTGACACTCATACCACATCTTCTTTTTTCTATTTAGGAACTTATAAACATTATCTTCTTTTGGGCCCTGGTAATAAAAGAAGGATATATAATATGATTGCCAAAATGAGACAACTATTTACCAGAGTCCAAATGACGTAGATTTAAGCAACTATAGGTCATCGTTCGACAACAAGCAAAACCTAAACGGTATAGACAGCTATAAAAGGCCTCGGCAAATCAAAATTTGAAACAATTCAAACGTAGATACATTAATGTGTAGTTAGATATTGGGCTATCATATCACATCTATTTGATATTCAATCTTTTTTTGAAATAAAAAGCATCCAAATAATTACTGTTATTGGGGAAACGATTGCATTCATGCAAGTGAAACCCTTAATGTGACAGCTTGCTTGGTAGTTTTCCAGACTGAATCACTACTTTTGAGATAAACAAAACATAGTGAACTGAGGACAACATTCTATACATCCTATCCATGAACATATCAATCAGTTTAAGTGAAATATATACTCGGATATTCAAATTGCAAAATGCAGTGTATGTGTTGTCAAGAAAACAGACATAAATTGTGCACGGTGCATGAATTTAGTATCTGTTCATGATGTCATTGTTGAAAAAAAGTTATATATAAAATTGTAGTTATTTTCCTTTGCCCATAATTGTAGTTGAACCAATTCATACTTAGCGCTTCCAATGCTTAAAACAAAACAATGTTTAATTTTTAGTTCCCACCACAAATAAAAAGCAATCTTTATACTTCAGTTCTCACAAGCACTTTATTTTTACTGGCATATACAGTTAATTTAACGAATTAATCCTAGTCAAGTATAAGGCTTTTTTAAAGTTCCTTAAGATGATAATCTCAAGAAGTTTTCACAAGAGTAACTGCTCTGGGCTATTGGTTGCGCGTAATGATCCAGAACGAGCTTTCGAAAATTGTTTAAATGATGATTGCAAATCTGGAAAATAGATATTTTCCTTATAAAATATAGACTGCTATCATATTTACCGGGTAAACAGCATTGCATGATCGTGATCTGGTAATCCGGTTTGTAGCTTTACCCATGCCTGGAAATTCCCTAAAGCAACAGTTGAATCGACTCTGTTCGGAGTAAATGACGTATCTTTAATATTCTCTGTCCATGGAGCGTCACCTGGTGTCTACAAATAAACAAACATTACATAAACTCAATTAAATGAAGTACTTCTTGTGATTTGTTTGCTGTGATACTCCTTTAAGTCGAATAGTTAGCCGATTTTTAAATCTCGAAAATCGAGTTAGAATAAACAGTCATGGTAAGAAACAAACACTGATGGAATCGCATGAACTTCAAAAGAAGCAAAACCGGGTTCGGCGACAGGATAAGCGTCTCCTGCTATGAATTTAACCACCGCCATGCGAATAGGACACAATTCGTAAAATTACAGATCAAACGACTTAACTGGTATCTAAAGATCTAATACTGTGGAAACACATCGCTAGTGAGTAGAGGAACAGACACCTCGTATCGATCAACCAATTGATCTACCAAATCGTAAAGGTGATCGTAAAACGTATGAATATACCACTCTTTTATTCCTATTGAAGAAAAAGCTGACCTGACTTTTCATGTGAAAATGAAATTTCTCAGAAATTTCACTGTACTCTAAATACCTAACGGTCGATAAAAAATTTGGTAAATGTTCACCCAACGCCATATTAGTACTACAGTATAAAAATCGTATTTAGTACATTTTTTTCTATAGGCAACTTTTAATAAACGATGGTTGTCTTGTGAAATTTTTCATGTTCCAATATTAACCAGTTATCAAATAAAGTTATATATTGTTATTCAAAAGTAAACCCGTTGACGACATTTGTTTCAAACATACCCAGTTGTACATTTATCTACATGTATGTACTTGTGATTACAACACAAAGGACGGTACGAATGTATCCCGATTTGGCATATCGAATATGGCACCTTTTTGTATTCGAACAAGTACATGTATAAAACAAATAGTATGTACTTAGGTTTCTATCTTACATTGCATCTAACGGCTCAAAGAAAAAACTCTTTAAAGCCAAAAAATATGGACATCTTGGAAATAATAAAAGCAATGAAGTATAAAAATCTGTAATATACTGTAATACTATAATTTTCGCAGATACTTCTCTTCGTGTTTAGCCCTTTCTTAACTATTTTGCAAAAATGTTTAACCCTTTCTAACATATTTTGCAACGATAAGTTTACGCAATTATCTAAGGCTTTTATATTTATATACGACAAGATCCAAGTATACCATATTCGCGTTGATTCATCTTCGCGATATTAGTTTACAGTGACTCGTAGAAATAAACTGTCCGACAAAATGAGTTGGTTGACAATACTCAAATCTTAAATATACAATGTACCTGAGAAATAATAATTCCAGTAAATAAAACAGATATTGTGTAAGATGATGTTTGGATATTTTTATACATGGCGTCCATCTGAAACAATATAATAAAAATACAAAAATTGCTAAGAGAAGTGTAAGCCTGAAATTGAGCCCATTCAACATATGTAATTCGCCGTTTCAAAATCTAATCCCTTCTAGGTAATATTTTTAAACGCGTACACCAAACATTATAAATGGCTAACAACGGTCTAAACAATGAAAAAATCAACCAATAAAGTGGCGTTGTTTGTATTTTGGGGGAACAAACAACGAAAACACCCAAATGTCATTGGAATCTAAACGGCGAATGAAAACGAAAACATTCACAAATAATTCACCGAAACTGAAAGATAAGACATCGAAGTGTCAAAATCCAATTTTGATAGCATAATGTAGCATTCAATCAACTCTAACACTAAATCGCGAATAATGTATATATGATCCATTCATCCTATTTCGACTCTTAACAATTCAAGAGTCTATCCTTAATTGAGGTAAATTATATGGCCTTCCAAATACCGTTTCGATTCCTAACATCACTGACGAAACATTAAATGTCTAAATCCGGATATGGTGTACTTATTTTTGCTTTTTTGTTTGCGGTATACCATCTTTTCCGCAATTTTTTTTTTTGTTTGGTATTAAATTAATAGTAAGAATCCATTTTGTTACATCTGGTGATCGGTTTATTTGGCAATCGCCAATGGCAGTCAGTAAGGTTTAAGAACATCCGTTGTTCGACCTGCTAGTCAAATGCGTTTTGTTAAAATATACTTTTTCACTTTTTTGGTCTTTTGGAAAATGTTGTGTGTGCTGTATTTAGACCCCTCTACCTAGAAATTCATATCAGTTGAAACCCAGCGGATCCCTGTCGTCCACCTTGCAAAGTTTCTCGTCCTGAATATGTTTGAAATAACTGCCACAGGACGATAAGCAAAAAATAATTACTAGTAATCAGTCTTCCTTAAGTATTTTATCTTATCTATATTATTATATAAGAAGCACAAATGTTAATTTAATATATGTGAATCTACAAAAAACAGACCTCATACAACGCTTACCCCGTTGAGAACAAAAGCATAATACTGTCGAACTGTTGTCAGGGCGTCTGTTTCCTTTTCCTGTATTGTAGATTTGTCACTCTTAGCGTACCAACTGAAAAAAGTTACAATAGATATAAGAAAATGTGGTACGAGTGCCAATGAGACAACTGTCCATTCAAGTCACAATTTGTAAAAGTAAACCATTATAGGTAAAGAACGGCCTTCAACACGGTATACCCAAATGTGGTACATTGTACATTTTGTATCAGAACACAAAAAGGTTTTTCAATCATACAACCCAAACGAAAACAGTTTCACACCCATGCTCCCAAATTTTTAAAAGCTATGGCAATGAAATATTTTGTCTATGGAAAAATAATCATTTGGAGAAAAAAAATGATAAGATAAGTGGTACACAGTATGATCAGATACTGAAAATTTTGTCGTAAGGAAATACGGAATCAAAGCGTAAACCACCAACACAGATCACTGGATATAACAAAGTCATGATAATCTATCATTTATATCATTATTAAAGCGCTCTTTTTTTAGCAACACTTTTAACTCAGCTTCTGCGCAAAATCTAATCACAAACGTCGTCTTATACATTCAATTGATGCTAACTGAATGGCATTTACATTCTAAGGGTTTGATGCATTTGAATGTGTCATTAGCTCTTTGCACTATGGTAAAGTTTGGTAAAAAAAAATTTAAATAGACTTTTTACGATACATGATTACATTAAAGTATAAAATATTAGCTCCATAAAACTTACTAACTATAAATAGCATAATCGCAAATTATTAGTAACTCAATCTGATGACTTCCAGTGGCTCTTTTTCGTCTGTGGTATTTTGTCTGATGTTTGAAACTGTCACCTATAGTTCAATTAGTAAATCAATGTTGTGGTATAGAATAGACAAAAGCAGAATTACAGAAATGTCAGTAGCCACTAAACAGACAAGACAAACACAGCAGTATGCCAAGAAATCTTTCGAAAGACACGAACAACTCAGTATAGATATATATATATATAGAACAACTAATTCGGGCACGGTCTGAAAGAACATACAAGAAAGCAGTACATGCTTTAAAGTTAACAAAATAATTCCTACGCATAACTGTTTTTTTTTATAAATAAGTAAAATATTTAGATAATTTGTGTATTAAATGAAGGGACTTGGGACCACTGTAGAGCCCTTGTTGAAAGTCTCTTTTGAATAATACAAAAATCATGAAAATGAAATAAGAAGGCCTATTTTGCCTGTTTCTCAGATAAGAAGTACTTATTGTACTACCAAACTTCCGTGAACTAGTAACTCTAATATGCAGTTAAAGGTATGCTCATTTTTTAGCACAAGCCATGATAATGTATTGTTTTGACATGAAATGGCTGTCACTTTATCTTAACTTAAGAAAAATAGCTTTAAATGCCTGAAATTGCAGAATTTTACATATAAATCAATTGAGTTATATATACATACATGAATTAATGATTTTATATTCCTATAACTTAAAATAAGTTTAAGTTGTAAGATTTCTTTTTATTAAAAAGAGAAATCACCAGTTAGGGCGCTACCATTTGATTTTTATGGGGGGGGGGGGGGGGGCTAGGATGAAATTTAAGAAGAAAGGCAGAACAGGAGTTTTGAGATAAAAAAAAAAAAGGCAGGGTGAGACACTTTGCAAAGAAAAAAGGCAGGATAACAATTTATGTAAAAAAAAAGAAAAAATGCAGGACAAAATTTTTCATCCTAGCCCCCCCCCCCCCCACATGAAAATCAAATGGCAGCTCCCTTAGTTGATTGTAACACAAGTATTCTCCTGATTGTGCAAGCCATAACTGATCAAATAATCAATAACATCTTAATTGTTGTGCACAACAGTTTGTTTATGTTGAATTTTCTAATTCTAAATTGTTTTGTTTTCCTACCGAAGGTCGGTGGGTTTCTGCGGGCACTTCGGCTTCCTCCACCAATATAAACTAACAGCCACGAAATAGAACCATAGTGCTGAAAGTGGCGTTAAACACCAATCAATCAATCAATCAATCAAACAAACAATCAATCGATATTTTGTTTTGATTTAGCAAAATTTCTCAGGCATTTCAATTAAGAAGAATTTGAGTTTGCAAGCATCAAATCAACAGACAGTGTTTAAAACAAAGTGAAACTGAAGTGAAATGAAAATATTTACCTATTTTGAAAACGTCATCAAATTGTACATTTCTTTTACGTTCTTTTATAAGTTGAACATTTTTATATCTTCCATCAAATGTATTGTTTCTTTGTGGAGAAGTCTGCATAATATATTCCTCCCCTGCAAAGCTGAACGTTCCAAACTGAAATCACATATAAAATCCAATTACGCCCAATAAAGAGAGGCGAACGATACATGTGTACCAAAGGGATAGTCAAATTCATATATAGAAAAACAATCTGACAATGCCATGGCAACAAACGAAAAACGACCAAAAGACAAACAACAATATACAAAACACAACATAGAAAAACTAAAGATTGAGCAACACGAACCCCATCAAAAACCGGGGATGATCTCAGATGTTCCAGAAAGGTAAGCAGATCCTGTTCCACATGTGGTTCAAGTTTTGAACATTTGTTTTTCTAATATAAAGTTATGCATTAGTTGGTACATGATTTTTGATATGGGGACTTGCTGCTTTATACACTAAAATTTCAGTAGACACAAATAAAAAACAAGATTCAAAGTAAGTAGTATGCCAATTTATACTATTTCGTAAGACGCGAACAACTCGATATAACTTATGATCAATTTAAGTTGTTAATATATCTTTTTATTGAAAAGAGCCATTGATCTCCCACTCAAAAAACAAAACAACAAATAACAAAACAAACTAGAGTCAGGAGCCTGTTGTTCGGTGGTTGTCGTTTGTTGGTGTGGTTCATAGGTGTTTCTCGTTTCTCGTTTTTTATATAGATTAGACCGTTGGTTTTCCTGTTTGAATTGTTTTACACTAGTCATTTTGGGCCCTTTATAGCTTGCTGTTTGGTGTGAGCCAAGGCTTCGTGTTGAAGGCCGTACTTTGACCTATAATTGTGAACTATGTATACACTGTGACTTGGATGGAGAGTTGTCTCATTGGCACTCATACCACATCTTCTTATTTCTATAGAGTCTCTAAATAGCCTGTGTCGCCAATCTAGGTCTATGTGCATATTCAACAAAGGACACTCTCCAATATTGTAGAAGAGTAAAGAATTCATGACAAAAATCTCTTTTGTTTTTATTTTGAATTGCGTATCGTTTTGTCTGTTTGTTTTCTCTCTCTCATCTTTAGTTTTTGCTCAAAACACAAAGAACACTCATTTAAGGGCAATCACTCCTATAAAGAGTGACAGTCTACTAACTATATCAGCAAAATGTGACTTGTTTGTAGATCTTGCCTTGCTGATCATTTGTGATATTCAAAGTTTCTATTTATCTATTATAATTTTTATCATATAAGGCAAAAAGCAAAAACATAAGTAAAATCGTTATTAAAGGGCAATAACTCCAATAAGGAGTCGTCAGACGATTTCCATCATGTTTGTTTTAATTGTAGATCTTGTCTTGCTGATCGTTTTTGCTTATTTAAGTTTCTATCTATCTATATAATTTTTATGATATAAAGCAAAAACGCAAATAATTGGTTAAATCGTCATCAAAGGGCAACAACTCTAATAAGGAGTCGACCATCACACGTATTTGTAGAACTTGTCTTGCTGATCATTTTTGCATTTTAAAGTTTCTCTCTGTCTATTATTGTTTTCAAGAAAAAAGGCAAAAATGAAAAAAGTGGTAAAATTTGTCATTTTAGGGCAATAACTCCTATAAGAAATCGTCTGGCAGTTTTGACGTATAGAAACAATTGGTAGAGCTGAACATTCTGAACGTTTGTGCCACAGTAAGATTTTCTCTATTTATAACGGTTTTCAAAATAATGGACAAAACTTGCATTTAACCCCTAATAGTGTGTTCTATTTTTAGCCGTCGGCCATCTTGGTTGGCAAGCGGGGTTATCGGACACATTTTTAAACTAGATACCCAAATGATGATTGTGGCCAAGTTTGGTAAAATTTGGCCCAGTAGTTTCAGAGGAGAAGATTTTTGTAAAAGTTTATGACGACGGATGACGACGGACGCCAAGTGATGAGAAAAGCTCACTTGGACCTTTGGATCAGGTGAGCTAAAAATGAAGAAACAATATACTTACAGGACATAAGAGTAACATTTGTTAACCATGCTCGTTTTTCAGTAATCTGGACAATGTTTTATTAAAAAAAAGCCCCCCCCCCCCCCTCCAAAACATGCGCAGGTTAAAGCAAAAGGCAACACTAAAAATTAAACCTAAAGCAAATTAACCCCTTTAAAATGTCTGATAATGTTGTCTTTATTTACTGTTTTTCGCTAGCTACCTGGCACGTGAAGAGGGATCGCAACGTCCTTTTACAACTAAACCTTTCCTAAAGTAAAATTTCGAGAATAAATTTGTCAGTACTTTTACAGAAAGATGAACTTGGTTTTTTGTAGTTAACCTTCATGAATTGTTATGAAACGTGGACAGAAGCTTTTTCATGATAATTAAAAATAGCATCAGAAGAAAATTGTTATAATTTTGCTATATTTTATTTTATTTTTTTTTTCATTTCCGTGCGTTACTGATAAATTGACTTTGTTTTTGGCAGTCAACATTACACGTTTACACGGATAGCAGCAAATGCAGGCAAAACACAGCGTTTTCGGAATCCTTTTCGATTTTTTCTTGTTTTGGTTGCCTAGGTGTTGTCCTTGAGCATCTATTCATTATCCGCGTTTTTGTTTTTGATTTCAAAGAAATATGTTGCATAAGGAAAACCACGATCGTTGACTTTTTAAACTGATTCAAATTCAAAGTGAATTTAATTCAGATAGTGAAATATTCTATCATTTTCTGTACCTAATAAGCTACAAAAATGTAATACATTTAAACGGTAAAAGGCTTGTATACCTATGATCAAATTCAATTATACTGACTGTCCATGGGTTTTAATTGACAAAAAGTCGGAAACAAGGTTACTTCGTGCGTTTATTAGGGTTAACATTATTTACAGAGCTTATAGAATTTTTCCCACAAAACATTTTTGGTTGATAAATCTGCATTGTAAATATCAACACCCACAAACTATGTTCGTGTTAGACTGTCGTGTAAGACAACGTTTTTAGTCATTTCATTTTCAATTTATTCATATCGTCGTTGATATTGGGCTTTGCCTTTGATATTTAATACACTGTTATTTAAATAAGAAACATTGAAAGAGAAATTTGTAAACATTTCTATTAACCTCAAACACGTTTTTTTTTTATGTACTTCAAACTATAAAAAAAAATTGGAAACGAAATATTTATATGCAAAATTTACATATCGTCATATAATACATTTGTACCCGTATTTATTTTTAAAGTGAGCGAAATGAATTATCTTAAATCGATTTTTGAATACACGTATAGTCTTCTAAATGGTATATTCCAGCTGTGTCTGTGGTGTAGAATTTAGAGTCATCCACCATGTGACATTGTACTTAGTATCTAACTCAGTCTATCATGTAATACATTGAAATATAATTCAAAATTACATATATCAAATCTCTGTGGCAGTGATTTTCAAAAAATTTATTTCAATTACTCGGAGTATGTCCGTTAGATTTGAAATTAGAAAAAAAAAAAAAAGAATTGGAGTATATTTTTGATGGGACCAGTTTTTGCTTCTGTTTGCTGAAAACGATCAGGGAAGGCCAATTTCTTTGTAAATAAATAAATGAAAAAGAAAAACAAAAGGGGTGGTCGCTAATGAAGGTTTTCCTTGAATAAACACAATTCCGAAAAAAAAAAACCGAAACATTGCGTACATAGCACAGTATCAATATAAGGCCAGACATGTGATTCGCATCAAAATGGGTGGATATTAGATCAATTTCTATGAAATTACATAATTTAATTGCATATGAATGGAATATTTCTTTTGGCTGTTCGGGATGTATAAATACGCAGTTCCGTAAGGTCAGAAAGGGAACGTTTAATCTGAAACTTCGAGTGAGGAGATCTATGAAAAACTCTCTTGCACCAATCATTTGTGGAGTTATTACATACCATCACTTTCGAAATCTCCTGGCCTCCATTTCGATCGAACCACTCTACATAAATTCCCTATTGATAGTTAATTTATTATCGTCCAAAATATTTATAAAATATTTACAACTGGACCACTATTGTTTAAATATATAAACATCTAGTACATTTCATCGCGATTCGTTTGAAAATCTATAAAATAGATGTATTGCATAATCGCTTTCAGTTTTGAGTAGAGGCTTTTCCTCCCCCGCTTCATACAATCTGGGAGCAGTATTTGTATGGCCAGAATAGACATACAATTTACACAAGCTGCAGAAGTTATTTAAAAAAGTTGCATGTGTATAATACTCAAAATCGCAAGATGTCAAGTAGACAATATAAAAATAAGAAGATGTGGTATGATTGCCAATGAGACAACTCTCCACAAGAGACCAAATGACACAGAAATAAACAACTATCATAGGTCATCGTACGGCCTTCAACAATGAGTAAAACCCGCATAGTCAGCTATAAAAGGCACCGAAATGGCAAATGTAAAACAATTCAAACGAGAAAACTAACAACCATTTGATAAAGATATGAATTGTTGATGGGAAAATTTGCCAAAATATTGGAACTGACTGTTCAAACATTAAATCACGTCTTGAAATTCCGAGAGAAAACATGAAAACAAATCCTATATGCCGGCGCCTTTCAAAACATTATGCTTTTGTTCATAATATTCGTTTTTTGCGGTTGTTTCGATATCGCCTGGAGTGCAGTTTCTAAATCGTACATTGGAAATACAGTACAAATGTAACAAATACATTAACTGCGAGTACATTCATAATATAAGAAAATAAGATGTGATGTCCCAGGTTCGGGGATGGTTCAGCGTTTAACATTGTTACTTTGAGATGAAGAACAGCAATAAAAGCGCTGTCCCTTTGCTTATTGTGTGTCTTTTTGCTCTGCATGTATTGATTTTGTGTCATGGATGGATACCCCATATCCTTTGTTTTTCTATATTTAACCCCACCTTATTCTTTATGTTTCTTTCCAATTTAGGTGCCGTTGGTTGCTGTCTGCCTTATTTGTTTTTCGTTTGTTGTTTTTAGCATTACGCAAGGTTAGTTTTCTCGTTTATTGATATGCTTTGGCCGTCTACAGCTTGCTATACAATATCGGTTGTGCTTATTGAATGCCGTGCAGTGCCTTAAAATTGTTATCATACTCGTCTTTTGGTCTTTGGTTGATAATTGTCTAATGGCAAATTAACATACCAAAGTTTCTTATCTTAAATATTTTTACCATGCTTTGTTTTCCTTGTAGATCTGTTTGAACCACAAATGATGCATCATTCTTTACGTCTTGATAAAAAATGGAATCCTAAAAAAGAAAGGCATATATATTCAACATTGTAAAAATCATTTGTTTTGCTGGTTAGAAGGGCATAGACGAGGAAATTTATTTTCTATAATATCTGTTTCTTGTTTTGCAGGTTCAAAGGACATAGACTTAGAAATTTTGTTTGCTCGACGTAAAATTGACTTTCCATTCTATGAAAGGAACAGACAAAAAACAACACTGATTATAATCAGAACATTCATTCCATATTTAGTATAAACAAACGTACCAATAAATGAAATCAGGCACGGAGTTCCGTCCGAAAAAAACTACATAGTACTGTCTAAAGAAAACCTTAATAAATAAAAAAAATAATAAAAAGGATAAAATATGAAAAATATATAATACCTCTTTTTCACGTCCATTGTATTTTTTCGTTGAACCATGTTTCATGGTATAGATTGGAACATTCGTATCAATCTTGTCATTGCGTACAAGGTGAAGCTTAACGTTTGACCTTTCTACTTCAAAGTCAAGGTCATATGTTTCTATATGGTTTAAGTTGTCTGTAGACCTTCTAGGTCGATGTTCATTTGATATTTCAATATCTATTACGTCTAAAAATAAAAAAAATACAATTTGAACATAAAAGACATTAAAATCGTTTTTACTGTTTATCTAATCATTAGCATTAAAATGTAGTTGCTTACTGATGAGCTTACAAATTCTATTGCTTTCTGCATGTTTGTTTTATTGGCCATATCATGTTTCAGTATCAGATATACAAATATTTAGGACCCATGCAAAATTTCGTTTAGGGATCCATAGGTGGCCGGTTGTAAGCAAAATGTCTGTCCCAATAAAAAGTGCCCTAAATTTTTAATTTGTATTCTAAATACCCGGCATTCATCCCAGTCTATCTATTTGGCAGAAGCTACTTACTTGCTGTTTAATTGTTAAATTTTTTCTCGTCCTCAACATTCGTAGAGTGTTGTCATTTGACGTTAAGCAAACCACAATCAATCGATTAACTGATTGATTAAAGACAAGTATTTACTACGGACATATCTTTAATCTTAGCGATACATTCTTATTATTGAAAATAACACTTTATAAACATGCGTCCAAAGCGCTTTTCTTGATTGACCTTCATCAGGAACGCTCTAACCTAAACATATGAAAGCCCCGGATGTATAAATACGTAAAAACGTTTGGAGCTATATGACCAACACAGGCATAAAAAGAATAGGAAAATCCATATAAGGTCAAATTTGCCTGCGTGATAAAAATTTGTATAAACAAAAAGTTCAGAAATAAAATATTGATTCATTAAATGCATCAATTTTCATTAGTGCCTTGTATATAAACATAAAATTTTCCTACTGCAACCATTTCGGGAAAAGGGGGATAATTTGTCTCAACTAGAGAAAGATCTATCAATCTGTTGTATGCTTGATTGTTGTTTGCTTACCGTCTAGTGGCACATTTTTCATGTATATTCAGGAGAAATTTACTATTCATAAAATGATAGGTTCGGAAAGTTGGCGGTTGATAAATCTTTAATATGTTTGATTGTTGATTGCTAAGCGTCTAGTGGCAAATATCTGAGGTATATTAAATATAACAATAGATAAAATAATAAGATCGGCAAAGTGGGCGGTTGACCAGGATAAATTTGCAATAATTTTCTAGAGATATCTTTATTCTGTAAAACTGTGTTTCATTCTTACCGTGATATTAAATTTGAATTTTGTAACAATAGATTAAATAATAGGATCGGCAAATTGGGCGGTTGTCCAGGATAAATTTGCAATATGAATTCACTAGAACGGATTAATTTTCTACAGAGATATTTTTATTCATAAAACTTTATTTAAAAAAGTCTGTAAAAATGTGTTTCAGTCTTACCGTGATATTGAATTTTGTCTTTAAATGGGAGTTTTAGGAAACATTGGCTCCTCGCAATTAACAGTACACCTATGATGATTAAGATTTGCATTTCGTCTCTATAACTCCATACGAACAGTACGGATGGTTTACACGTTATACATGCTGAATCTATCGTACCGATGCTTTATGAATTATACCCAATTTAAAGCTTAACACTTGTTTGTGTTATGACCCTTATATAAACTTGCATATGAAAGCATTTATCTATTAAATTTTATTGAGATTTCTATTGCGTTCGATGAAGTCAGGGGTGACTGATTTCAATGTTAAAGTTCATACCGTGACTGTTTAATAATTCATAAATATTTTATAAGATAGATTGAGATCTTTATGGTTTTGGGATTGAAAAAATTAAGAGTTAATGAATAATTCATTGTACTTCTTACAAAACTCGAAACGATTGATTGAATTGATATTGTATTTAACGTCCAGTTTAATACCAACAAAAAAGAAGAAATAAACAAAATGTGTTACAGTCTAATGATAAAATATACAGAATCAACTTCAGTCTGGCGTCTCATTTGTAGAAATTAACTGGGTTTCGACAAATGTCGAAATGAATGGTCATACGAAACTCTTTATCTTTATCTTTATTTTTTTTCTCAATAAACCATCATTTTGACAAGGTATAGAGAAATACATATGTACAATATATACAATATATAATAAAATACAATTAGTACAAGACATTTGATCAACAATAATAGGGGTAGCTTCACACTAGATTAAGCCTGGAGTACACACAGAATTATTTATGTTAAGTAAGTTTTCAAAGTTTAATAAGCTTTGTTTTCTTTTTTGATGACATCAATAATTTATACTTTAAGATATTTGGTCTGGTGTAACTATATTTTTGTATGTTAATTTTTCTCTCCTGTTCAAAAAATGGACATTCCAAGATAAAGTGAAATTCATCCCCGATTTCATTTTTTCTACACAGATTACAGTTTCTGTTTTGTCTGTTGGTGTTATACCATCTACCAGCTCCAATAGGTAATTTATGATTTGTTGTTCTAAATCTGCAAAATTCCACAACATTTTTGTTATCTAAAATATCTAAGTAAACTTCCGAACAAAACTTATCTTTAAATACTCTGTAATTTACAGCTTTGGGTGATTCTTCTAACGATAAGTGCCAATTCTGTTCAAATTGATCTTTAAGGTTTCTACTAACTGTCAGACGCAGCCAATTCAAATTCATAAAAGTTTGGGTGTTCCAAATATATGTTAAGCCACATTCATTTAGAATATTTTTTATGTGATCTAACCATAAAAACCGATCTCCGTTCACATATGACAATTGATAACATAAGTTATAAACAATTTTTGACAATTTTGACTCTTTTCCAGAAAGAAGTTTAGCCCAGAATGATATCATTCTATTTTCTATGTCAATTTCTAGAGGATATCTTCCAAGTTCACCATATATCATATACGATGGTGTAGAAGATTTTAAATGTAGCAGCAATTTACAAAATTTTAAGTGGACTTTTTCGATTATTTCGTTATTGCTGAATCCCCATACTTCGCACCCATACAGTAAAATAGGTTTTATCATTTTATCAAATAATTCGAGCTGTGTTTTGATTGCGAGGCCGTGATTTCTGCCTAATTTTAGAACCTCATAAAAAGCCTTAGTAGCTTTGTTGGCTATGGACTGTTTCGCTCTCTTAAAGTTCCCATTCCTGGCCAATTCTATCCCTAAATAATTTAAACTGTTCACTATTTCTAGTTCTATTCCGTTTAAGTTAAAACTTAGGTTCCTTGGAAGTGTTCCTCTAGAAAAAACCATGATTTTACTTTTATCAGCATTAACTTTCAGTTTCCATATAGAACAATAATCTTGAAATGAGTCAAGTTGCCTTTGGAGATCTGCAGGTGATTCTGCCATTAGCACAGTATCATCAGCATATAAAATTACAAATAATTTTAAATATGTATTAAGTTTGAGTTCAATTTCGTTAGAAATCGTTTTCAGTCCGTTTAAGTTACAGTTTGATAAGTATGACTCAAGGTCGTTCATAAATAAGGCAAAAAGAAAAGGGGACAAATTTTCCCCTTGTCGTACACCGTTACTACAAGGGAAAAATTCTGACTTACAATCATTATAAGAAATACAGGACTTTGTACCATTATACATATTTACAATTTAAATTTATATTATACATGTTACCATTCATATTATTCACTAGCAACTTATACCATAGTCCATCCCGCCAAACTTTATCGAAAGCTTTTTCAAAATCAATAAATGCGCAAAACATTTTTTTCTTCTTGTTTTTTAGAATTTCAAAAAAGTTGAAAATTATGAATAAATTATCAATTGTTGAATAGCCCTTACGAAATCCACATTGATTTTCATTCAAGATAAGAAAGTCGTTTGAAAACTCAGTTAATCGCTCACTCAAAATTGCAGTAAAGAGTTTCCCAAGGCAACTCAGAATTGTTATTGGTCTATAATTTTTTGGGTCCATTTTGTCACCCTTGTTCTTGAAAATCGGTTTAATATTTCCAATAAGCCAACTATCCGGGACAACACCTATTACGAAAATAATATTAAATAGTTGCTCGTAAATGCCTATGAATATATTTTCTGTAGACTTAATATATTCATTTACGATTAAATCCTCCCCTGGGGATTTATTGTTTTTTAATTTTTTAATACATTTTTTAATTTCGTCTTTTGAAATGTTCCTATTTATACTTTCATTCAGACGATTAATATCTCTAAGAAAAAAATGAGGACCTTTGATTTTGAAATAATTAAAAAGCAATTAAGATACCATCATAATGAAGGAGAATGTGTCACAAATCAAGAGCTTATGGGGTTATTTAGAATTTGAGATCATTAACGCAACAGAATTTTTGAAATTACTGAATCAAAAATTTCAAAAGAACTTCTTAACTTATTGCTCCAAAAGCGCATCGGTAGATACCAACATTTGGTGAAAAAATTAATTGTCACACGAATGACAAGGTAAATGCATTCTTGCTGTAGTCCTTGACAAGTAGTGCTTGGCGGATTCGGATGTATAAACACGTAGCCACTTTAGCTGTGATAATCATATAGTGTAGCCGGAACAGTCAAATACAAGTGAAAATATGGTTTGTGTGTAGTGTAACCATACAACTGTTCCGGCTAAAGAAGGGAGCTCGGTAGTCAAAACTATTCCATTTTCACGTATCTTTAATTCTTTTCCTCTATTATAGTTAATTACTAAAACTTTTCTAAGGTATTCACTCTCGTAGTACGTCGGCAATTTCGAGCAGTCTCCGGTGCAAAGCTCACATCCGCTCCGTACTTCGTAGTGTAGTGTACTGAATATACGGAACGGAAACGAGCGCTGTACGGAGATTGGTACTCCGGCTTCCTCAGGCAATAAAATCTGACGGCCATAATATAATCAAGTGTGCTGAAATTCGCGTCATACACAATCAATCTATCAATAAAACATATATTGGGCTTATAGTTGATTATGCCATACGCGCATTTCATATACAAAAGATTTATAAGTGGCGCTCAAACAAACCAACCGGAAGGACAAATCGAAAATGTAGTTGAAGAGCAGTGAAAATTACATATTCAAAAAGTGATGCCAAATCTGGCTATTAAAGACTTTCTATACCCGCAGAAGAAAAACCTTATTGTTCATCTTTTAAGTACAGAAAATGAACGTTTCACGTAGTCGATGGTTACTAGTTTGGTATGGAAAGCCAACGGGGTCAGAATTCTTAATTCGTAAATTGTCAATTTGTAACTTGTAACTGTGAAGTTTTAAAATTCTTAATTCGTAAATTGTCAATTTGTAACTTGTATCTTTGTAATTTCAAAATTCTTAATTCGTAAATTGTCAATTTGTAACTTGTAACTGTGAAATTTCAAAATTCTCAATTTGTAAATTGTCAATTTGTAACTCGTATCTTTGAAATTTCAAAATTCTTAATTCGTAAATTGTCAATTTGTAACTTGTAACTGTATAATTTCTAAATTCTTTATTCGTAAATTGTCAATTTGTATATTGATGTTTTGTAACTTGAAACATGTCGTTAAATGTCGATTCGTTAAATGTCATCGTTGTATTATGCTACGGATCATTATGACGACAGACGGCGCTCTGTTTCTTTTTCTGTGTATAAGCCTCCTGTAAGTAGGAGCAACTCCACATGGAGTATATACCCTTTGTAATTTAAATCCGTGAATTATGTACAGCACATATATATAAAAGAAAACAAATAGAAAAATAAAATTTTTATTTTTATATGGCATGTATACAGGAACCCAGTTTTATTTTGTTTTCTGAAGACGACAGGTTGCGTTTCGTTCGAGAACGGGAACTATATAAAATATAACCCGAATAATTCAGTCCCTCCGCGTAATCGATCTTTCCTACTTCCGAGGTTAATGAAGTAGTCCTAGATCAGCGGAATATAACGACTGAATTACTCGGGTAAATAGATATAAGGAGATGTGGTAATAAACCGTATGATTGCCAATGAGACAACTATCCACCAAAGTTCAAATAAAGTCGATGTAAGCAATTATAGGCAACTGTACGGCCTTCAAGAATGAGAAAAACCCATACCATATAGTCGGCTATAAAAGGCTACATCATTACTGGAAAACCCAGGAAATAAACAGTTTCTATTAATCCTAAAATGCTATTATCGGTCCATTTTATTCTGACTGAGGGGGAAGGACTGACAGATACATATATATATATATAAATGAATATATAACAAGTCTAAAAGGGTACAACATCACCAAAAAATAACAATAAAATGAACAAATGTTAAATATATCGGATAACAGATATCCTTCATCAGTATGAATATGATGTAAAATGAAACTATTCTGATTATAAAACTATAACAATCTTGAAATTTATACAATAAAACAGTTAAACCCGAACAACCTAGAGACGCTTGTACAATTCTAAATTTGTTTGTAAACATGACGTAGGTTATATAGCTATTGACAACAGAGTCTGCAAAAATATGCATTAAATACAAATAGTAATGTGCGATATGAACGGGTACAATTCTAAAATTTAAAAGGTGACGACAGTTACGATGTTACAACAACGATTTCGTGGAAATACATTCTCAATAAACAGCACTGACCGATCAAAACTTGAATATTATTTCAAATTTGACAACGGTAGAATATTTATAACACAGGCTGCGTATTTAAACATCCCAAATAAATAGCAGTTTGATATTGATTAGAAAAAAATAAAAGTAAATATTTGAACGTGACTGCGAATTTATACATCCCTCCCAAATGAATAGAACCCTGTAATTTAAACTGGTATAATTCAAAAATTCCTTAAAACTGTAAGAGTCCAGTACGGAGGCCTAAAATACTGGAAACAAGTGATGGTAGGAAAATGAGTGATGGTAGGGAAAATGAGTGACTCATTCTATGTTTTTTCATTTATGACCTCTGGAGAAACTGTCCTTAGCTTTCTTATCCAAAACCTTTCCGGAGCAAGTCTGTCGACCCTTGACCAACCCTCATTGTGGTCTATGATTGTGATGGTAAGGTTTTTGAGATCAGCTTGGGCGTGCCCAGGTGATCTCAAATGACGACTTACGTTGAGGTCGGGCTTGCATGTGTTGTCACTTCGATGACCATTCATGCGTTTGTTGAATGGCTGTTCTGTCTCGCCAACATACTGCATGCCACATCGACACTGAAGAAGGTATACAACATTCTGGGTTTTGCAAGTTACATCGAGAATATAGTGTACACAGACCCCTTGGAGTGGCAAGTAAATGTTTGAGTATTCAGTATTTGTTGGCAAGTCAGACATCGTCTGTTACCACACGACTTGCACCAGCCTGCAGTTGAACAGCTTTTATTAGAGGAGACGTCAGCTCTCACAAATAAGTCTTTAAAAAATATACATGCCTGATAAACTTTTCTGGTCTAGAAGGAATTGCCGCCACCTGAATTTTCGTTCTATAAAAATTTACAAAATGTGTTGCAAACAAAAAGTCCGATAAGGTGTTCTCCAAATATTCCCGATTCCCTCCCTACACTCCGGCTTCACGCCCCGTACTCGCGGTATCCCGCCCCCTTGCCACCCCTCCTCACAGTTTGCCACCTTTTTGCTCTCCAAAATGAGCCTTGACAGACCCCCCTTCCAACCACAAATCATGTGAACAGATTTTCATGGAGAAATAAAATTATTGTGAACAGATTGGCGAGATTTGTTTCTGTGAGGTCTTCTCTCTGACCAGCCAGTAGAAGTACTTTTCAAAAAATAATTCTCGCCGGCAAGTTATTCTTGTAACACCATTTTTAGCGCCTTTCTTGTCCGAAAATTTATACCTAGATTGGAAGACATAACATCTAACAGATTGCAGATATTTGCTCTCTAAAATGAGCTGTCATATATGAAGATTTTCATGGAGAAATAAAATAAGGGTAAGCGGATTGGCGAGAATTGCTTCTGTAATGCAAATGGCGAGATGGGGAGACCTTCTCTCTGACCATTCAAGGGGTTAGGGTATCACTTTGGTTAAAATTAGGGATAGGTGTGTAATAAAAAAAGAAACAGTTTCATAGTTTAACGATCATGGTCATTGACAAAGGGGACACCACCAGGACATCACACTGTTAAACTCCTAGTATATGTTATGTCTTGTCGAGCCAGTAATCATTCTCTATCTGTATCTGTAGGAATACGTTGTGGATACCAATACTGGCTTTAATACAACGGTAGAGAGAGCGCCGTCGATTTATTGACGGTGCGCGAAAGCAGTTTCTGAAGCACTCAACGCTCGGTGTTCGTACTACAGTGTCTTCAAGGTGAAGAAATATTCGTCTGGTTCTATAGAAGGGACCAGCCACTCAACCACCTCTCATAGAAATATTTGCTTCTGGCTTGAGCGTCTTGTCTGTATGTCTTGTAGTTCCAGTTTGCCGAGCATGTTTGAGAAACAACCATCTCCTCTGGATTTGTAGTCTCCTGTTATAAATCTTGCAGCTTGTCGCTGTATTCTTTCAAGCTTGTTGATGTTCGTAGATGTGTAGAGGTCCCATACTATTGCTCCATACTCCATTATTGACCTGACCAGTGAAATATTTGCGGTTTTCTTGCATTCTGGTAGGCAATATCTCAAATTCCTTATCAGGAATTCTAGTGTTGAGTTTGCCTTCTTGGATACTTTGGAAATATGAGTAATCCATTTTAGGTCCTCGTTAAGTTTTCTGGTAAGTCAAATTCCTTTAGACTTTATAACAAAATATTGCATATTCAATACATTTTTAATATATAGTATACATTAACTATTGTAAGTGACTCATTTAAAATAATACTTTTTTGCTCATTCAAAATTGTTTTGCAAAGTACAAACATGATATTTCATGTATTTAGTATGAAATTTTTGACCCGGTCAAATATTAAGAAGAAATTTCTTGCCAAGTGACAGTCATATATTTGCAAAGTTGAAAAGGGGATACATCTGTATATACCTTAATAAAGGAAGTGACACACCCCTCCCAGGTGTGGTGACCAGTACAGTAGACATACATGTATATTCGAGACCACTTCTATATATTCCGAGTCCCTGTATATATGCCATATAAAACAAACAATGTATTTATCTATTTGTTTTCTTTTATATGTATGTGCTGTACATAATTGACTTAAATTACTTAGGGTATATACTCCATATGGAGGTGCTCCTACTTACAGGAGGATTATACATCGAAGAAGAAACCTATGCCATCTGTCGTCATAATGATCCTTAGCATAATACAACGATGACATCTAACGAATCGACATTTAACGAATCGACATGTTTCAAGTTACAAAACATCAATATACGAATTTCAGCGTGTCTATGGCAAATATTAAAGTGACGTGGTTACAAAGGAAGAATGGCAAAATAAGAAATAGTATTCGAATGTTAGATTTAATGAATTATAAAGTCGCAAATTAAGAATCTCAAAGTTACAAATGTTGAATTTCAAAGTTGCAAAGTATAGATTTTCAATATACGAATTTTGAAATTTCACAGTTACAAATTGCCAATAGACAATTTACGAATTAAGAATTTTGAAATTACACAGTTACAAGTTACAAGTTACAAATTAACAATTTACGAATTAAGAATTTTTAAATTATATAGTTACAAATTGACAATTTGCAAATTAAGAATTTTGACCCCGTTGGCTTTCCATAGTTTGGTGATACTCTTGGGGACATTTTCATCAACCAGCAGTGGTAACGTCCCAGGTCAGGTTTTTCGTGTCGTAAATATAAGACTATACAATTGGTGTTTTGTCTAAGAATATAAGTAGAAACATAGCCAGAAATTCGTTTTAACAAAATTTCCATTTAAGAATGTTAATTCATAGGATTCTACCATGTAATTCTTTATTTTTGTTGAGATACCGAACTATGTACTTTTTGTTCAGAAATCAGAGTAAATATTTATCACATTTTTTAGGAATGTAATGTTATACAAAATTTCGAGCTATCCATGATAAGCCTGACTCAAGCTAGCGAACAATTGTAGCGAACAATTAGCTAGCGAACAATTAGGAGGTATAACTAAAAACCACAATATCACATAAGTATATCACGTTTTTCGAGCTAGCGAACAATTATGAGAATACATACAATCTTAAACAAAAACGAAAAAACTAACTTAAAACAAAAGGGAAACAATACTTCATATATAAAGAATACAAAGCTTTTCTTTCCTAACTAAATAAATCCACATAAGGCATTCAATATACAGCTGGATTACAATGACCATAAGTTAACACATTGACACAATGCATTTTTAGGGAATGGGGGTACACTTTACGTTGTTTGGTCCGATTAATAGAGATTGTGACAGGATACGACTATATAGGTGTTTAAGAGGAGATAGTGCCGCATCGTTTAAGAAAATCTCCAGAGTGGTTTATGTTCAAAAATCTGAAGTTACGGTTAAAAAACTGAAAATTTTATTGTGAAATTGACAAAATGAGATAAGGGAGGTAGGGCACTAAAAGAAAAATTTGGACCATTTTAAAGAGATTGTGACGGGCAACGACTATATAGGTGTTGTAGAGGAGACATTGGCGCATCGTTTAAGAAAATCTCCAGAGTGGTTTATGTTCGAAAATCTGAAGTTACGGTTAAAAAACTGAAATTGTGAAATTGACAAAATGAGATTAGGAGGATAGGCCAATTTTAGTTAATTTTGGACCAATTTCAAGAGATTGTGACGGGCAACGACTATACAGGTGTTGTAGAGGAGACAATGGTGCATCGTTTAAGAAAATCTCCAGAGTGGTTTATGTTCGAAAATCTGAAGTCACGGTTAAAAAACTGAAATTGTGAAATTGACAAAATGAGATTGGGGGTTAGGCCAATTTAAGTTAATTTTGGACCAATTTCAAGAGATTGTGACGGGCAACGACTATATAGGTGTTGTAGAGGAGACATTGGCGCATCGTTTAAGAAAATCTCCAGAGTGGTTTATGTTCGAAAATCTGAAGCTACGGTTAAAAAACTGAAATTGTGAAATTAACAAAATGAGATTAGGGGGGTAGGGCAATTTAAGTTAATTTTGGTCCAATTTCAAGAGATTGTGACGGGCAACGACTATAAAGGTGTTGTAGAGGAGACATTGGCTCATCGTTTAAGAAAATCTTCAGTGTGGTTTATGTTCGAAAATCTGAAGTTACGGTTAAAAAACTGAAAATTTTATTGTGAAATTGACAAAATGAGATTAGGGGGGTAGGGTACTAAAAGAAATATTTGGACCATTTTAAAGAGATTGTGACGGGCAACGACTATATAGGTGTTGTAGAAGTGACATTGGCGCATCGTTTAAGAAAATCTCCAGAGTGGTTTATGTTCGAAAATCTGAAGTTACGGTTAAAAAACTGAAATTGTGAAATTGACAAAATGAGATTAGGAGGGTAGGCCAATTTAAGTTAATTTTGGACCAATTTCAAGAGATTGTGACGGACAACGACTATACAGGTGTTGTAGAGGAGACAATGGTGCATCGTTTAAGAAAATCTCCAGAGTGGTTTATGTTCGAAAATCTGAAGTTAAGGTTAAAAAACTGAAATTGTGAAATTGACAAAATGAGATTGGGGGTTAGGCCAATTTAAGTTAATTTTGGACCAATTTCAAGAGATTGTGACGGGCAACGACTATATAGGTGTTGTAGAGGAGACATTGGCGCATTGTTTAAGATAATCTCCAGAGTGGTTAATGTTCGAAAATCTGAAGTTACGGTTAAAAAACTGAAATTCTGAAATTAACAAAATGAGATTAGAGGGGTAGGGCAATTTAAGTTAATTTTGGACCAATTTCAAGAGATTGTGACGGGCAACGACTATATAGGTGTTGTAGAGGAGACATTGGCGCATCGTTTAAGAAAATCTCCATAGTAGTTTATGTTCGAAAATCTGAAGTTACGGTTAAAAAACTGAAAATTTTATTGTGAAATTGACAAAATGAGATAAGGGGGTAGGGTACTAAAATAAATATTTGGACCATTTAAAGAGATTGTGACCGACAACGACTATATAGGTGTTGTAGAGGAGAAATTGGCGCATCGTTTAAGAAAATCTCCAGAGTGGTTTATGTTCGAAAATCTGAAGTTACGGTTAAAAAACTGAAATTGTGAAATTGACATAATGAGATTAGGGGGGTAGGGCAACTTAAGTTAATTTTGTACCAATTTAAAGAGATTGTGACGGGCAACTACTATATAGGTGTTGTAGAGGAGACATTGGCGCATCGTTTAGGAAAATCTGCAGAGTGGTTTATGTTCGAAAATCTGAAGTTACGGTTAAAAAACTGAAATTGTGAAATTGACAAAATGAGATTAGGGGGTAGGCCAATTTACGTTAATTTTGGACCAATTTTAAGAGATTGTGACGGGCAACAACTATATAGGTGTTGAAGAGGAGACATTGGCGCATCATTTAAGAAAATCTCCAGAGTGGTTTATGTTCGAAAATCTGAAGTTACGGTTAAAAAACTGAAAGTTTTATTGTGAAATTGACAAAATGAGATTAGGGGGGTAGGGCACTAAAAGAAAAATTTGGACCATTTTAAAGAGATTGTGACGGGCAACGACTATATAGGTGTTGTAGAGGAGACATTGGCGCATCGTTTAAGAAAATCTCCAGAGTGGTTTATGTTCGAAAATCTGAAGTTACGGTTAAAAAACTGAAATTGTGAAATTAACAAAATGAGATTAGGGGGGTAGGGCAATTTAAGTTAATTTTGGTCCAATTTCAAGAGATTGTGACGGGCAACGACTATAAAGGTGTTGTAGAGGAGACATTGGCTCATCGTTTAAGAAAATCTTCAGTGTGGTTTATGTTCGAAAATCTGAAGTTACGGTTAAAAAACTGAAAATTTTATTGTGAAATTGACAAAATGAGATTAGGGGGGTAGGGTACTAAAAGAAATATTTGGACCATTTTAAAGAGATTGTGACGGGCAACGACTATATAGGTGTTGTAGAAATGACATTGGCGCATCGTTTAAGAAAATCTCCAGAGTGGTTTATGTTCGAAAATCTGAAGTTACGGTTAAAAAACTGAAATTGTGAAATTGACAAAATGAGATTAGGAGGGTAGGCCAATTTAAGTTAATTTTGGACCAATTTCAAGAGATTGTGACGGGCAACGACTATACAGGTGTTGTAGAGGAGACAATGGTGCATCGTTTAAGAAAATCTCCAGAGTGGTTTATGTTCGAAAATCTGAAGTTAAGGTTAAAAAACTGAAATTGTGAAATTGACAAAATGAGATTGGGGGTTAGGCCAATTTAAGTTAATTTTGGACCAATTTCAAGAGATTGTGACGGGCAACGACTATATAGGTGTTGTAGAGGAGACATTGGCGCATTGTTTAAGATAATCTGCAGAGTGGTTAATGTTCGAAAATCTGAAGTTACGGTTAAAAAACTGAAATTCTGAAATTAACAAAATGAGATTAGAGGGGTAGGGCAATTTAAGTTAATTTTGGACCAATTTCAAGAGATTGTGACGGGCAACGACTATATAGGTGTTGTAGAGGAGACATTGGCGCATCGTTTAAGAAAATCTCCATAGTAGTTTATGTTCGAAAATCTGAAGTTACGGTTAAAAAACTGAAAATTTTATTGTGAAATTGACAAAATGAAATAAGGGGGTAGGGTACTAAAATAAATATTTGGACCATTTAAAGAGATTGTGACCGACAACGACTATATAGGTGTTGTAGAGGAGACATTGGCGCATCGTTTAAGAAAATCTCCAGAGTGGTTTATGTTCGAAAATCTGAAGTTACGGTTAAAAAACTGAAATTGTGAAATTGACATAATGAGATTAGGGGGGTAGGGCAACTTAAGTTAATTTTGTACCAATTTAAAGAGATTGTGACGGGCAACGACTATATAGGTGTTGTAGAGGAGACATTGGCGCATCGTTTAGGAAAATCTGCAGAGTGGTTTATGTTCGAAAATCTGAAGTTACGGTTAAAAAACTGAAATTGTGAAATTGACAAAATGAGATTAGGGGGTAGGCCAATTTACGTTAATTTTGGACCAATTTTAAGAGATTGTGACGGGCAACAACTATATAGGTGTTGAAGAGGAGACATTGGCGCATCATTTAGGAAAATCTCCAGAGTGGTTTATGTTCGAAAATCTGAAGTTACGGTTAAAAAACTGAAAATTTTATTGTGAAATTGACAAAATGAGATTAGGGGGGTAGGGCACTAAAAGAAAAATTTGGACCATTTTAAAGAGAATGTGACGGGTAACGACTATATAGGTGTTGTAGAGGAAACATTGGCGCATCGTTTAAGAAAATCTCCAGAGTGGTTTATGTTCGAAAATCTGAAGTTAAGGTTAAAAAACTGAAATTGTGAAATTAACAAAATGAGATTAGGGGGGTAGGGCAATTTAAGTTAATTTTGGTCCAATTTCAAGAGATTGTGACGGGCAACGACTATAAAGGTGTTGTAGAGGAGACATTGGCTCATCGTTTAAGAAAATCTTCAGAGTGGTTTATGTTCGAAAATCTGAAGTTACGGTTAAAAAACTGAAATTGTGAAATTGACAAAATGAGATTAGGGGGTAGGCCAATTTAAGTTAATTTTGGACCAATTTAAATAGATTGTGACGGGCAACAACTATATAGGTGTTGTAGAGGAGACATTGGCGCATCATTTAGGAAAATCTCCAGAGTGGTTTATGTTCGAAAATCTGAAGTTACGGTTAAAAAACTGAAAATTTTATTGTGAAATTGACAAAATGAGATTAGGGGGGTAGGGCACTAAAAGAAAAATTTGGACCATTTTAAAGAGATTGTGACGGGCAACGACTATATAGGTGTTGTAGAGGAAACATTGGCGCATCGTTTAAGAAAATCTCCAGAGTGGTTTATGTTCGAAAATCTGAAGTTAAGGTTAAAAAACTGAAATTGTGAAATTAACAAAATGAGATTAGGGGGGGTCAGGGCAATTTAAGTTAATTTTGGACCAATTTCAAGAGATTGTGACGAGCAACGACTATATAGGTGTTGTAGAGGAGACAATGGCGCATCGTTTAAGAAAATCTTCAAAGTGGTTTATGTTCGAAAATCTGAAGTTACGGTTAAAAAACTGAAAATTTTATTGTGAAATTGACAAAATGAGATTAGGGGGGTAGGGCACTAAAAGAAAAATTTGGACCAATTTCAAGAGATTGTGACGGGCAACGACTATATAGGTGTTGTAGAGGAGACATTGGGGCATCGTTTAAGAAAATCTCCAGAGTGGTTTATGTTCGAAAATCTGAAGTGACGGTTAAAAAACTGAAATTGTGAAATTGACAAAATGAGATTAGGGGGGTAGGGTATTTAAAGAAAAATTTGGACAATTTTAAAGAGATTGTGACGGGCAACGACTAGATAGGTGTTGTAGAGGAGACATTGGCGCATCGTTTTAGAAAATCTCTGAAAAAACTGAAATTGTGAAATTGACAAAATGAGATTAGGGGGGTAGGCCAATTTAAGTTAATTTTGTACCAATTTCCAGAGATTGTGACGGGCAACGACTATACAGGTGTTGTAGAGGAGACATTGGCGCATCGTTTAAGAAAATGTCAAGAGTGGTTTATGTTCGAAAATCTGAAGTTACGGTTAAAAAACTGAAAATTTTATTGTGAAATTGACAAAATGAGATTAGGGGGATAGGGTACTAACAGAAAAATTTGGACCATTTTAAAGAGATTGTGACGGGCAACGACTATATGAGTGTTGTAGGGGAGACATTGGCGCATCGTTTAAGAAAATCTCCAGAGTGGTTTATGTTCGAAAATCTGAAGTTACGGTTAAAAAACTGAAATTGTGAAATTGACAAAATGAGATTAGGGGATAGGCCAATTTAAGCTAATTTTGGACCAATTTCAAGAGATTGTGACGGGCAACGACTATATAGGTGTTGTAGAGGAGACATTGGCGCATCGTTTAGGAAAATCTCCAGAGTGGTTTATGTTCGAAAATCTGTAGTTACGGTTAAAAAACTGAAAATTTTATTGTGAAATTGACAAAATGAGATTAGGGGGGTAGGGCACTAAAAGAAAAATTTGGAGCATTTTAAAGAGATTGTGACGGGCAACGACTATATAGGTGTTGTAGAGGAGACATTAGCGCATCGTTTAAGAAAATCTCCAGAGTGGTTTATGTTCGAAAATCTGAAGTTACGGTTAAAAAACTGAAAATTTTATTGTGAAATTGACAAAATGAGATTAGGGGGGTAGGGTACTAAAAGAAATATTTGGACCATTTTAAAGAGATTGTGACGGGCAACGACTATATAGGTGTTGTAGAGGAGACATTGGCGCATCGTTTAAGAAAATCTCCAGAGTGGTTTATGTTCGAAAATCTGAAGTTACGGTTAAAAAACTGAAATTGTGAAATTGACAAAATGAGATTAGGGGATAGGCCAATTTAAGCTAATTTTGGACCAATTTCAAGAGATTGTGACGAGCAACGACTATATAGGTGTTGTAGAGGAGACATTGGCGCATCGTTTAGGAAAATCTCCAGAGTGGTTTATGTTCGAAAATCTGTAGTTACGGTTAAAAAACTGAAATTGTGAAATTGACAAAAACGGAAAAATTGATGAAATTTTCGTTTCCGTTCTCTAACTTCAGTTTGCCTCAACCAAATGTTATGAAACTTAGACACAATGCTTATTAACACAAAACGGTCTCAACTGTATGTAGAAGTTGACTCATGCATATTTAAAATCTTGAAAAATAGACCAACACTCATCCTTCATGTTTAAAATTAATTATTTCCCAATTATTCAAAGTGACAATTTATATACCTTCAGATATTTATTGACATGTACAATATATTTCAGATCACTTGAAGTAGTATTGGCAGTAATTTTAAAGTGATCATTTGATTAAGCATTTGAATGGGCTTGATAGTGCTTTTTTTTTCGATATCTCACTTTTTGAAGTAGTCATTCAAAATTCGTAATTTGTCTAAATAAACATATCTTTAATAAATAAATATCACAAAATAATAAAGAAAAAACATACGGAAACAGAAGAGGGCAAGTGGCCGAAAATTGTTTATTTATTACAATAACAAAAATAGACATAATTTGAAGGTCACAATTATGAAATGCTTACGTTTTCCCTTTTCTTTAGATTACTACGTATTCGTGAACATATACATGCAAACAAATAAATATTTTCCTCTCATTCTACGTTTAGAATTAACAATGGGAATGGAATTAAATGAGGTTTTTCTAAAGATTTAATTATGTATATTTCTGTTAATATTTGAAATGGATGTTCTTATTATTTAGTTACTTTTTGTTGGGTTGCTTAATGATTGACATTTGCACTTCATTTGGTTTTATTTGTACCGAATGAATACTCATTCATTTTACAATAACAATAACAATAGGTCTTGACAGATACAAGTTCTTAATTACTTCATTTAATTTAAGGATGAAAATGCAAAGGGATACTGAATTGCACATAACTATTACATCTTATTTACTTTTGTTTTAATGAGTTTGGACTGATGGGCATAAATCCTTCATTTGAAACAATTAAACTTGTTATAAAATATTGTAAGAGGAAATCTGTCACTGAAACCAATTAATCCACCTTAAAATTTGATGGTTCTCCCATTAAAATTCTAACCTTAGAGATTTGGTAATTGTTTTAAATGGCTTTCTATAATCATTATCATGATAATCTATCATGTGTCTCTAGATTTCAAATCATGTTTTATTAAAGAAACAGGGAAGGGGGGGGGGGGGGGACACATTGAATGAAAAGTGATATTACATGTTTAATATAACATAACAAAATAACAAAACATTTAACATAAATAGTTTAAGAAAGGTCGTAATGGAATTGTAGCAAACTTTGCACACTTTTAAATGAGTTTGTAAATCAACAAAAAATACTCCGGCGATATGGTCATTATTTTTCATAACAATTCTTTCGGTGGAATTTTGATAAAGTCGTGTATTTCTTCCTGAAAAGGTTCTGTTTCGTACACATCGCTATGTGTGATTTCTCGAAATTTCTACATTTTCTGCTATTTATCCGTAGCAAGTTAACTTCTCCAGCTAAAATTTTACCGCTGGTAAATAATTTGTTATTTGTCTCATAATTGTTAAATTCATATAATGGCACTCATACATATAAGTTTTATAACATCCAGAATCAATTTCAAACCTTCGTTCAGTTTAATAAAGGAAATAAAATACGAAACATTCTTACACACTTTTCAAATATTCACAAATTGAACCTTATATACCCGTATATATAATGTTTTGGTGAAACACTTATATTTTCTTTCCTCCTTCATATTCAACTGACTTGCCGATTGCAGCCTGCAACCAACAGTCCGCTCCGGTATCACTTGGTCCAACTCTTTATTGGAATGATTGAAATCTACATTGTAATCACAAGTCAATTTATCTACAAAACTACTTTTGAAATAACAAATGTTTTTTTTTCAATTCTTAATTTTCATCCTTATGATACTTTACTTCAGAACTTGTTCCTGTATTGTTATGAATTTCAGTTAATGGCCAATTTCTTAGTGAAGATTCGTCTAAATTCCATTTAATAGATACATTTAATAACGCTTACCGTTACCTTGATGGCATTTCTGCTTCAAATAATAAAGAATTCCCTAATCATACTGCTGAAATTTACCCCAGATAACTTACTTTAAATAAAAGTAATACTTGTATAAACAGCAATACTTTTGCTTTTATGCAGATTTTGACATATGATGACATTTCAGTTTCATACGAACAAATTCGTAAGGGTTCCGTGGAACCCAGTGTCTCGCCTACTTTTGCTGTTAGTCGCAGGCTCAACAAAAATGGAGAAATAATTATTACAAATTTTCCTCTAGATACTATCTTCTGATTGTAAGAAGCTTCTGTTCAAGTTTGGAAGGAATCCAGGATGGTTTATGAATCTAATAAATGTTTTAAAAACTTTAACTGCAGACTTATGTAATGTTAACTCGAAGAAAAACTAAGTCCATTTATAACTAATATACGGAAAAACAGGAATTTTTTTTTTACAAAATTTCCTTCTAGATACTAGCTTTTGATCATAAACAAGCTTCTGTCCAAGTTTGGTACAAATCCAGGATAGCCTTTAAGAAAGTTATTAAAAGTTTGAAAACTTTAACCACAGAGTGAATGTAATGTTAACTGGCAGAAAAACTAAGTCCATTTATAAGTAAAATACGGATAAACAGGATTATTTTTTTAACAAAATTAACTTTTGAATACTATCTTATGATCATAAACAAGCTTCTGTCCAAGTATGGTACAAATCCAGGATAGTTTAAGAAAGTTATTAAAAGTTTGAAAAACTTTAACCACAGAGTGAATGTTATGTTAACTGGCAGAAAAACTAAGTCCATTTATGAGTAAAATACGGATAAACAGGATTTTTTTTTACAAAATTTTCTTCTGGATACTATCTTATAATTATAATCAAGCTTCTGTCCAAGGTTGGTACAAATCCAGGATAGTTTAAGAAAGTTATTAAAATTTGAAAAACTTTAACCACAGAGTGAATGTAATGTTAACCGCCAGAAAAACTAAGTCCATTTATGAGTAAAATACGGATAAACAGGATTTTTTTTTACAAAATTTACTTCTGGATACTATCTTATGATCATAAACAAGCTTCTGTCCAAGTTTATTAGAAATCTAGGATAGTTTAAGAAAGTTATTAAAATTTCAAAAACTTTAACCACAGAGTGAATATTTGTGGACGCCGCCGACGACGCCGGACGACGATGACAACAACGCCGACGACGGAATGTAGGATCGCTATGTCTCGCTTTGCCGACAAAAGTCGCAGACTCGACAAAAATCAAAAGAAAACTTCACGACGACAAAATAGACGATTTTGTGCCCTGGATCGTTTTAAAGCGTGAATTGATCGGTCTTTTTCGAGTGTTATCATGTTTTTTTCGTGTGAATATGGTGTAAAATGTTAACAAACAGACTTCATCTCTTTTCGTAAGACGGGAAATAAAAGTTTAAAAAAAACGTCCAAGGTAAAAACATCAATTGAAGTTATACACGTTGAATATAAAATTATCCTTAGAATGCTCTTTTTGAATATTCAAAAATGTGTAATAAAGCCATCTGTAGGGTGTAGGTAGGTGAAATTCTAACATAAAAACCGATCTTAAATTGATACTTTAAGTCAGAAGAGCATACGTTATGGAACAAAATAACATCTGGTTGAGACAAATTGGAGTTAAAGAGAACGGAAATGAAAATTTCAGCAATTTTTACTATTTGTAAAGTAGTATAACTCTAGAACGGTAAAAGTGACGCCACCAAAATTAAAATTTGATCTGTGTTTTGTGGTAATAAGCATCGTTTGTTGATGTGGTTCATAAGTGTATCTCGTTTCTCGTTTTTATATAGATTAGACCGTTGGTTTTCCCGTTTGAATGGTTTTACACTAGTAATTTTTGGGGCCCTTTACAGCTTGCTGTTCGGTGTGAGCTAAGGCTCCATGTTGAAGACCGTACTTTGACCTATAATTGTTTACTTTTATAAATTTTGACTTGGATGGAGAGTTGTCTCATTGGCACTCATACCACATCTTCTTATATCTATATATTGTGTATAAGTTTTATGAAAATTGGTTGAGGCAAACTAAAGTTAGAGAACGGAAACCAATTTAGGGACGTATGGACACAGGGACGTTCAGACGGACAAGGGTAAAGCTTAATGCCCCTCCGCTACGGCGGGGCATAATAAGCTAAAAATATTGATAGGTTATAGAATTCCTTTTTGTGATATGTATATGATTTTTTTTTAAATGGGGCGAAAAGGATGACTCGGACTTTTACATTATATTTAGCATTAACATTATTTGGGACGTACAGACGCACGGACGTAAAGACGGACAAGGGTAAATCTTAATACCCCTCCGCTACGGCGGGGGCATAATAATCTAAAAATATTGATAGGTTATAGAATTCCTTTTTGTGATATTTTTTTTCACTAGAATTATTTCACACGCGAGTAAATGTAAATATATTTATTTTCTAAAAAAATATAAGTTCGATATCGCACAGCTAATGCTTCTAAAATCTAGAAACAACTGATTAACATAAAAGTTGACAAACACTAAAATTGGAACAGGTGCAACCTAGTTCACGAGAAAGATAATAAACCGTTATTAGCTACCACAGACGAACATCTATCAACTCTTGCCATAAACTTGCGTATCGTCCCCATAACATTTATGAATTTGACAGATGCTGAGTTCGGACAGAGAAAACAATAAACATTGATATAAACATCTATTACAATTTTAAATTCAAATCAAAGTTGTGTTTTAAATTTCGTTTTTGTATTACTGTTCTCTCATATTTTCCATTATTTTGTAAAAAAAAATTGAAATTGTCTACGTCAAATAATTTGACAAAGTTTATCAGAAGTTTAGCTATTACCCTATTATACTCAACGAAGCTCGGAGATAAATGTACGTTCACCCGTTAGAACGTTTAACGACCGTTGACTCGAAAAAAGGGAAGGGGTGTGGTTTGGTAATTCAACAAGATAATTCCAAAGCTTTCAGACAAATTACTTCTTTATTTCAGCAATCACTTCTTTTTTATTAGTAAAATAAAATTAATAGGACTGTATTATATTTCT